CGATTGAACAATGTTAATAGTTTACTCACACTGAAAGAGATAAAAAAGGAGAAGAAAAACAAAGAAAAAAATGTTGATCACAAATAACAACTGAACCTTGTTTCGATTCAATTATTATTTGCTTCTCGTATTTTCCTGTTTTTGTCTTCCTTCTCTGAATTTTATTCAGATTTTGCGTTTCACCAGAGTTTAGACTTTGTCAGTAAAGTTGTGTAAAGATGTTTAATGATTAAGGATGTTGTCGTTGTTGTTGGTTGATATTTTTATTATAAACTCAAATAGCTTAATATGTAACTTGCTTGGTCTACAGGTTTTGTTTTCAGTTACTCCTGATTATATAACTTCAACGTTTACTCAGACAAATGTTGAGATAAAGTGTTGTATAGTACAATATTGTGAATGTTTGCCTTTTCCCCCGTTTTTTGTTTCTTTGCCTTTACTCTTGTACTCTTTCCATACAAGTTCAATTTATACTCGTTAACTGTATCAACCAAGTGAGCATGGTTCAGGATGAACCGATAACAATGCGCATCCCTGTGAACGAATCAAGTCAAATTTTCTGTTCTTCTTCCCTTGCGCTTCCCCTTTGTAGTTAGTCTTTATATGAAACCTTTCCCACCTTTAAACGTCACACTTGCTTCTAAGGCAGATCATCCTGGCAAGTCAACTCTTTCTGCTCTTGGTTCATCTACTATCACAATTTGATATGATTTAGCTCCATGATCAGTGGCGCCATCTTGTGTATCTTGGTCCATTGAAACTCTTTTGAAACTTCAGTTTTTTTTATTTTCTCACCTGTCCAACACGTGGAAACAGCATGGACGAAAAGCTACAAAAGATAGAGCAGGTAAAGCAATTGGTCTCTACCCTGTCCAAAAATAAAACCAACTCAAAAGCAATTGATCAAATTAATTCAGTGCTTCAATCTCTGGTCGATTTAATCATCGAAGAAGGGAAAGACTACAATAGTGTTGTCCTAAACAAACTAACCAACCTGGAAAAACAACTAAACAAAAACAGCAGTGAAACCAGGAAAGCTAAGCCCAAAAAATCTAAGGTCATAGTAGTGAAACCCACCAACGGAGAAAGTGATGCCACTGAGATTGGTATGAAAGTTAAAGATCTCATTAAACAGGATACTGATATCAACTGTCTCAACATTGTGGTTAACTCCAATAACACGAGAATTGTCTTGGAAGACGATACCAACGAGCTCAAGGTTAAGGAGCAGCTTGAAAAAAGTGATCGCAATGATTTAATAAAGGTTGAAACACTTAAGCCCCTGCTTCCTCAAGTCTCGTGTATTGTGACCCATGATCAAATTGAAGATATTGAGGTAATTAAGAAAAGAAACAACATAACATCTGAAGAACACTTCCAAATTGTGGTCAGCAATGAAATGCCAACTAGATCCAGCTACAAAAGAAATTTCGTGATCCTACGAATGTGTAAATCTGCTAGAACCAAAATAGAGGAAAGAGGAAAAATATTCTTTGGCTCCGAGGCTGTTCATTTCAAAGACAACTTTAACGTAAGAGTTTGTTCCAAGTGTTGCAAAATCGGTCACACTGCTAAATGGTGCTCTAATGAAGCTAAATGTGGTAACTGTTTAGACAATCACGAAACCAAACAGTGTAGTCAAGAAAAAAATAACAACAACAAGTGTTTATTGTGCATGCACAGTGGGATTCCCAACGCTAACCACAAACCAAGATCAGCTAATTGTACCTCTTTCAACCTTGCAATTGAAAGAATAATACAAATCACTGACTATGAATACTGAGTTTCATGTAGTTGCTCGCAACTGCCAGAAAATGCAACAAAAAACACTTGAATTACTAACAGAACTTAAACCAAATACTATCATACTGATGCAAGAAGCTCACTTGGCCAGTATTGCTGCTCAAGACGCTAGAAACTTCACCTTCATCTGTCACTATCAAACTTTTACTGCAACACTCAAATCATCAGTCAAAGCCACACATAAAATTGGAACCTCGACATTAGCCAACATCATAAAGATAAATGGTAGAAACTTACTCTTCTTCAACGTCTACATTAACCCAAGTTGTACCAAAAATGAATTGAGAGATTTAACTGAGGAAATCACCAAAATAAGGAAGAGATACAAAGACTTACCTACGTTATTCCAAGGTGATTTCAATGCTCGACTTCGTCTCTGGTCTCCCACACCAATTATACCAACAACAAAATCATTGGATGCTACAACTTCTTGACGAAGGACTTACAATGTATATGTGGAAAATACAAAGGCCCTGATAACCTACACTTTCTATTCCACTGCTCATATTTCAATGGACACAGAGACTTCTTACAAAAAATTAGTAAATCCTCTAGAATGCCTCTACGAGACTTCATTTTGAAAAAGCCAGATATAGCTTACAAATTCCTAAGAGACATACTTGACACAATTGAATTCATGACATCAGAAGATTACCAAGAAACCCTTTATCAATAATTCTTTCAATAATTTACTCTCTCACTACCCATCTCCCTCAATCGCAAATTGTACTCCCTTCTCTTTTCACAACCTAAAAATAACTCTCACTTTTGTAAAACCCACAATATCATGTATAGATGAGCGTTCCAAGCTTATCCAAATCATACGTCCATTCCCAATAAAGGAAACTCTTACAACATGACGAAAGGAAAGAAAACTAACTTTTGAGCAAAAAGTTTGAGACAAGATGCTTTGCAAATCATATCTTTTTGATTGGTTTACCGATTTTTTAAATTGAATCATTGACAAATCGGGCAATCATTCAGTTATCACATTTGCTTGTTTTTCAAAAACTTTTGGCATTTTTTTGAAATAACTTTAGCTCAAAGAGTTTGTACAGTATCATTAGCTGTATGATGGCTAACATTTAATTTCCAACGAATTGTTTTGAAGCCTGTAAAATTTTGCCATCAGTCATCTTCATCACTTTTTGCTTACGTATTTATTTTGAGAGATTTGAGATTTATTCAGAGTCACCATTTACAAACCATCGGTTAGCCGTCGGTTACCAAACACAAAGTTTTTTCAAGCTTTGAGTAAGAGATAACTTGTCGAATTGAATGTGATTTTGATGCACTATGCCTCTGAAATTCATACTAGATATTTGATGAGCCCGATCTTATTTCCTGAGAAATTTCATTGTTACAGCTAATCCCATTTACGAGTTGATTGGCTTAGTTCAAGTTGTTTCAAACTTTTGTTTGTTCAATAGGTTACTTTGCAAGAAAACTAGAGGTCTCTACTAACTTTAAAAATATTGATATTATTCGAAGAGCCAAATTGAATCGAAACATTGAGTTGATCGTTTTTCTGCATATTTGCGCATGAAACCAACACATCCGGTTACAGAGAAAATGATAATAATAATAAAAGCGATAAAATGATATAGTTTGGACATTGACGTTTAAAAGTGAAAAGTAAAGTAAATTTGTTGAATCGTATTTATCAATTGATGCCAAGTATTTTTTTATTCAAAAAGTGAAAAATTTATCGTATAATACTGCAATGGCAACTCAAGTGCAAAGTCAACTCATTTTCTTAATTCTATGGATCGGTTTGATGGTTGCAATAAAAGGTGCTGACGCGTATGCATGGACAAGGCCGGGATGCCATCGATTAGGTAAGCTGACCAAAAGTTGTCCTTTAAACTGACATGCTTTGACCTTTATTGTTGCGCAGGTCATACAAGACGAGTGACGATAAATGGATGTGTGGAATTTGAAATGACAACAAATGCTTGTCGAGGTTATTGTACATCTTTTGCAATTCCGTCAACAGAAGATTCGCTTTTATTTAATCGTCATCAAGTGATAACTTCCATCGGTGAATGCTGCAACATCATGGAAACAGAAGATGTAAGACTCGTTTACTCAACTTAATAAAGTGTCAAAAAACTATTTTTCGTGCATGTTAGTTTAGTCATGGCTTTCAGGCAGTGTAAAAATTTCCCTTAGAATCCTTTTCGTTTTCACGACAAATTTCATGACTTTATATCAAGGTTTCAAATAAATTTTGCGGTTAGATATGAAGTTCAAATCAGAATTGACTGAAATCTCAGTAAAATAAAGTAAGCACCTTCGGTATTGATATAACGTTGCAATTTTTCATCAATTGATGACGTTTTCGTGATCGTTCGAAAATTTATTGCAAAAAATCAAATAAAGCAATTTCGCCCTCCATTCCTAAGTAGAAATTATCTTCGTTGAATTGGTTTTCCAAAAATTAAGACAGATTGATGTTCATAGAGATGAGATCAGGTACTTAGGATAAATTGGTAAGCATTCAGAATCTGAGGTTAGAAATTTTGTGAAGAGCCGCTAGAAAAGTTGATGAAAAAAGTTGGAGAAAAAATTTTTTTAGCGATTTTTGTATTCTTTCGAAAACTTTAAAGATGCAATAATTTTGTGGATATTTGTCCAATTTTGGTGTTTTTCTGCCCTGATTAATTAAGGCTAAGAAATGTTTTAACGAAAAAAGATCACGATCAAATCTTTTTTCATAGCGAACCGAAAACTTAATTGACACCCTAATGCTGTATATTGTATAGATATGTAGATGAGTTCAAATTCAAGCTAACGATAAGACTTTAAGATCTTAAGATTTTAAATATTGATATAAAATGAAAAATAAATTTGTTTACAACTGAACGTTGATTTGTTTAAATGTCACTAATTGTCATCTTTTTTCTCCATTTACTTTCATTGATCAGGTTGTAGCTCGAGTAATGTGTCGAGATGGACCGCGAACGATTGTCTTCAAGTCGGCCAAAAGCTGTGGATGTTTCCATTGTAAAAAAGAGTAACAATCTTAATCAAAACTGTCAAGAGACTTTCATTGTTCCTCTTCTCATTAGTCTCATTTGACTCTTGAACTTTTTTTCCCATTTTCGTTTATCTTGTTCATTCTTTTCATTTTCATAGCCTTTGACTAACATTCATCTTGCAATTGTCTTCAAATAATGGTTTACACGGAATAAAGATATCAGCTTTATCCTCCCATCATCATTACCATGATTATTATTTTTGATTACTTTTCTCCCCCTTTTAGTTTCACCTTTTCTTTTTTTCTACAAAACTATCTTTTCTTCATTTCCACTGATCCATTCAAAATATTCACATTTATTTTCTCTTATAATCAACTTGAACTTGTATCATGAAATGCTACCAACATAACCTCTTCCAAAGTGAGCAACAGTCAAATGCGCTGCTCGAAATCGTCAATAAACTTTTCCTTCTTTCATCGAATCTCAAATTTTTCCAATCGTCAAAAATGCAAATATTATTTCCATTTATAGGAGTAAATGAAGTCATCATAATAATGAGTAAAAATACGGACAAAAATAATCTTTCCACTAATCGATTCTATTAATACATTATCATCATGATATGCATAAGAAACATTATAAGGTTTCTTGTTCTTCTTTTGGATAAATATATTTATGTACTAATAATAAATCAAGTGACGGTAAAAATGGCAGCAAAAGGCGAATGTCATTTTTACCTCTTCATGTGACAATAATGATGTTAATGGAAGGTTGAAGGTAATTGTGACAATAATAATCAACTTTAATTTTCACTAATGAATAAAGAAGAACAGACGAACCATTAACTCAATCTAATTAATCCAATGTTGTGTCCAAAATCACAGTTCTAAATGAACAGTTGCATTATTGAATGTTAATTATGCGATGAACATGAAAATTGAATGATAATCGAGAGAAGAACCTTTGACCATGTTAATTGAATAAATTGCTTATTATTTATGAACATTCTAATTAATGTTTAGTCATTAGTTTCCAACCGGAAACAAATTATTCTGCCGATTGCAACAAAAAAAAAGGTTTTGTTTGATTTTCCGCTTTTAAATTGAATCAAAACAATTCCACATTTCATTTTAGTCCAAATTAATTGACATGTGTTTACATCCTAATTAACTTGGCCATTAACTTTTTGCTTCTTCAATGCTTTTCAACTTGATTAACCTTCGCTTAATGGACAAAATTGTTGACCTTTGGGAGGGAAAAAACTCCCAGTCAATGTTGTGATAGTCAAGTTTCAAGGCAGCTTTTAGATTGCAATTTTTTTGTTGAAAATTTTCTTGATGAAGTGATAATGAGCTGTCAACGTGAGATTTTAAATTAATTTTCCAAGCTCAATCAACTTTTATCATGACTATAATTTTCATTAATTGAGTTGAAATTTGGCTTCATTTTCGGTGAAAATTTTCTTTAACCTTTTTTTGTTCAATTCTGTTTCTTTGTATTGTTGACATGAAATTTTAGGTTTTTTCTTTGCCAAATTGACTGGTTCATTGAAACTTATTTTTCTTTAAGATTCAGCTTTAAAAGTTCAGTTTCAACGTGAGTTGCAAGGTAATGTTAACTGTTTCATGCTCAGACTATTTTGATGAACTATTAACATTAACTACTGATAATAATACTATTGGCTACTACTAATTGTAAATGTATTTATTTTATTTGTAAACATTTTTTCTTGTTGACGTTATTAACGAACTTTTGTGTGATGAAATTGATAGTAAATTGTCATTGATTGAGTTTGACGCTTTTTGCTTTCGATGGATCATTCTGAGTTATTTTTTATTCCCTCATGTTTCACGCCATGCAAATGATTATTCATTTAGTAATTGTTTACTTTTCTTCATTGGATTTTGTCTTCTATATTTAGCTGGTTCATTTGCCGTCAACATTGACCAGTCTATTATCATGATGTATCATGAAATTGGAGGGTAAAAATTTGTATCATTTTCTATTGTAACAAGAGAAATTGTTCTTTAGAGAAATGAGTTTTCATGTTATCAGTTACATGATGATTGACTTTGATCAATAGGTAAAGTCAATTTTGTCCAAGTTATACCTTGATCATTATCATTGGTCAAGCTTCTGTTTGACTTTACCCAAAGTTAATATTGAAATGGCTAATCGAAGAGAAGATAATAAAAGAAAAAATGGAGAAAATTGAAATCGAATCTATTGAACCTTTTCCAATCAAATCGACCATAAAGACTATCGATTTCAGTGGAATCGAACTTTATTTTTGCCTGACAGAAGTTCGTTATTAATTTTAAACGCGATGTTCGTTATTTGTTAATAATTGATTCGCTTTTATTAGTTGCAAACAAGTCTTTATTGTTATTGAATTGGGATGAAGATGAATATGTGATGGATTGTATGAAAGTGGATATTGCATAACATAAGAAGTAAAAGCTGAAAGTTTAAAATAAACGGTAAAATGATACATTTCATGTTATTTGAGAATTGAATGAACAACTTGATTCGTTTATTACATTAGTTTTGTTTCCTACCTTTTGCTCTTCGTTAACTTTAATTAAACAGTAATTTCATCAAACAATTTAAAGCAACTGAAAGAGAGCAAAATTGTAAGCTGAAAATGATAAGCTGAAATTGTCATGGGATTAGAAGAGGTTTTGGAAAAACGAAGAAAAAACTTTTTTCTCTTTTGTTTAGTTGACTCGAGATATGCTGATGATGTTGATACGTTTTCATGTGTTATATCTCGTTGATCGAGGAACGCATAAGATACCTTTCAATGGCATCGAAACCTTCACAACTCGCAATTGATGAATCACAAAATTGACAGCTACAGCTAATTGCGTCTACGTATTTGTAAATCTTTAAGGATTGGTGAACTCCTCTATCACAATATGGTAAAAGGGTTGTTCTTATAGCTTTCCGGTTATGAATACAAACTTTATGATATGATTGTTTGTAGGGAAATTTATAATCTGCAATCTGTGGAAAAGAGAAGAAAAAAGTTCAATTAGAATTTCTGTATTTTTTATTCATCATTATGTAGATTTTGAATTTCACTGATTGAAAGTAAATAGCTTTTTTTCATTGATAAATCAATTGATTTAATGCACCTTTCACATTCATGATTCAATACTTAAAATTCATTGTAGCCAACTTCCTCTAGTTATTTATATTGATGTAAATCATTTGACATGAAATATCTTTCAGAATTCGTTTCTCTAATATAACAGGTGCCTTGAAGCATTCTGTAAATTTTTTATGCAAAACTTTTACTTTTAGTCAATTTTTAGAGTCAGCTTTTTGATCATTTCAGAATTGAATGTTTTGAATATGAATTTAAAGTTAATCTGTAGCTTTAGTTACTCTGTTTAATAAAGTGGTGTTTACATGCAATAAACTTTTTACAAACTTCTAATTACACCTAAATTTTTCAGATATTTTTAGATGCTAATAACTCATGCTAGCCAAAGGACATGAGTGTTTCCATACCGTTTAGTTAATCAATGTGTTTTGAGACAAGCTCGTATATCTTTTGTGGAGTCAGTAACAGAAAATAAATTTTATTTAGAGTGAAGGTCTAGTCTTAGTCTACAAGAGTTTGTAATTGCAGAGTCCAAATTGAGTGGTCATAAAACAAAACACATTCTGCTTGATCAATCGATTTGTTTGACCTTTTGAAAACTCATCAAGTCCTTGTTGAGTTCAGTTGATTTGGGTCCTCGTAGAGTGTAAGTTATGGTAGGTAATTAGGAAGAAAAGTATGGAAAAGTTCTGAATTCACATTCTGACAGCTTTATTTGAGTACTAAATTTTAGTTCTAAGTTTCGGTACCTAGATTTAGTGCTAGTTGCGATACTTAAGCTTAGTAATTGTTTATAGCAAAGGGATTTATAGAAAAAAAGGTTGCAAAAGGTTGGAACTGTTCATCTTTTCAACGGGATAAGTTTTTAACTGAAGCAAACATCAGCCAATCTGAAGATTTTGCTTTCTCAGAAAATAACCTTCAAGTGTCAGTTAGAGGGCAAAAAAATAAGTGCCCTTGAATGACCTTGAACGGCTCTTCAACCTGGGAAGCTCTTAGTTCAAGTCTTAGGAATGTAGCCTCCACCTTTCGTGATGATGAACGAGAACAGGCGTACAGGATAAAAAACGATCAGTACCAGTTAGCAAGCAAAAACAAACTAAGAAACTCGAAAAAGATTCTTATCTTCCAAATACTGACCTTCAATCTTCCATGAAATAAAATAGGCAGATTTTTAGCCTGGATGTTTTTTATTGTGATTATGATTCAAAAGATAATTGGCGTTTTAAAAAATAACTGATATGACTGCATGATATTGAAACTTTCTTCTTTTGCGATGTTTAATGAAGTCGATTTTGAATGAAATCTTCAGTCAGCAAGTGTTATTGTTTAGAAACTAACGTCGAAATATTTCGATCACATGCATGAGTGAAATTCGATAGCCTTGACATTGCATGAATTTTTGTGATCTACTAATCTGAGTGCTCTAATGGTCAAGTTTGATGCAATTGATCAGAAATAAGTTAGAGAGTCAGTAAAGAAGTTAAATCTATTGTCGATGATTCTCAGTGAAATCAAATTGTTTTAGAAAGATAACCTTTTTTCAGGAAAAGAAAAGTAAATCTGTTTGATCATCATAATCTCACTTCCGATTGAAATGAAGAAGTTTCAAGTTTCTTTTAGGTTTGAAAAGTGCAGAAAAAAATGAAAATTTTATCCTTTTAATGACCACTCTGTAAGCTAATAGAAACACATTTCGGTTTCCCTCTTCGGATAATTTAATATTGTAATGCTTTCAGAAATTCAAATTTAATTGGCTGAGTTTCAAGAGAAATATTCATTTTTTAACTCAGGTTTGAAAACAATTTCAACAGACAACTTCAAATGAATCCTCCGTTCAACTTTCTTTTTGTTGCAAATCATGAATTCACTCAAAAAGTTGCTTATGATAATCTCAATCTCTAAACAGATTAATTTTTCCTTTCCCAAAGCAAAGGTTTTCATTTTTTTGCAACAATATGAATTCAATGAGAATGTAAATAGTTTTATTCAGAGTTTATCAATCCAATATTTGTCTCAATTTCAACAATGTTTTCTGTGTGTGTGTTCAAAAAGAGTTTCAATTGAATCTGGAGGAAGAAAATATTTGCTCAAAAGTTGATTTCGGAGTAAATTTTTTATTCTTTTTCGTTTCAATTTTCACATTCTTTTTTCCCCTAAAAGTCTGGAAAAATATTTTCCTTTTCTTTACATGGCAACTAACTGGAAGCAATGTTCTCCCCATACATTTGTATTCTGAAATATATCAATTTTTTACTTATTATCATCAGTTGAATCATTACAAGATTGACTTGATTTCCATGGTGATTTGAAAAGAAACGTTATTTATTTATTCATCAACTAATGTTACAAAATGAGAAACAACAAGAAGAAGAGGAGGAAAAATTGTTTCCAACATAATTTTTAACACTTTTTCCTTTGCTATTTATCCTGTCAATTTCTGCTATTTCTCATTCCCTGATATCAACTTCATCATTTTGCATTCATTTCATCTTCATATATCAAATAAACATCTTTCAAACAAAAATTAACTTGAAAAGGTAACAAAAAACAAGCACAACTTGAAAGGTAACAAGAAACGATAAAAGTGCAATATTCATTCCTGGCTAATATTAATGTTATTCAATACTCTTCAACGTCAACCTCAACTTAATCATTCAAACATTTTCCTTGTTTTAACCTTTTCTTAGACAATATTTTTCATCTTTACCTACATTTCATATTTCCTTTTTTTCAAACCAACATTAACATTTAACATCAAGATTCAATGTTGATCCTCTGAACAAATTAATAATGTTAACCAAATTTTGACAATTTACAGGAAAAACAAAAGATTCTTCACTTTTCTTTTTCATGGAAAAAAATGTTTCCCAAGACAATTTGTATCATCTCTGCAATTATTCAATAAGTTATCCAAACATTTTCCCTTTGACTTTTCCTCTCAATCAGATTATCAGATTTATTACACTTTTTACGAGTCTAAAAAAGATGATTGCGGTTGTTAAAAGGCCAAGAATGATACTTAATAGGTTTTACAAACTAATCGGATTTAACGATAATCGCTTTCAAGATAATGTAATGTAATCATCTGTTGAAAGTGCAACCTGTAAATGGATAACATTTACCATTAAAATGCCTTTAATTGAAACTAAATCAACTTTTAGAAGAAGAAAAATTGTCGATAAAAACGATTGAATAAAGGAAACGCCAATTTAGGCCAAATATGATTAGTAAAAAAGGTTGATTCAAACAATGAAATAATGTTGTTTGACGAGAATAGAAAATGATGGAAAAAGTTGAAACATTATCGTTACAAAGTTGACTGTTAATTGGCGAACCTCTGAAAATGGTTCAATTGTGTTGATTGTTCCAATCGAATCAAGTTAATGAAAGTAAAATTGAACCAAAAATAGACTAATAGTTTCAGCAGCTAGATGATAATAATAGTTGCAATAATAATAATCTTAACAGTTGTTCTATTAGCAATAACTATAATCTGATTCCCTGTTATCATTCCCAGTACTGGGAGTGAAACAGGGAAATGAATGAATTTAGTTAACACATTTTGTTCGCTTGTTTTGCTTAATCTTATTTTCATCTCTTTTCATTTCTCATCACTCAATCAACATAATTGTTCACAATTCTCAACCTTTTCTCTCTCCTGTTTTCTGTTCCTTCCTCTTGTAAAAACCACAATGAATCTCATTGTAATTCATTATAATAACTTCAAGTCAACTATTCAACTTTGACAAGTGTTAACCTTTACTTTTACAATGATAATTGTTCAACTGAATAATCGTGTTAACGTAATTTATACAGAAATTTTGCCTTCATTGTTGAAATTGGCTCATCCAGATCACCAGGAAAAATATCCAACACTTTTCCTTCCTCTTACCTTTACTTAAAATTGAACCAAATTATCAACTCATTACTGTCTTGTTTGCTCGTTATTCAAATTCAAAGAAGCAACATTTTCTGTCGACTCGACAAATGGATGAGCAAATATTTGAAAATTGTGCTTTTCTTGTTTTTCCTTGTTGCCCTTTTCAGTCGAGTCAACCTTTGATAAAGATTTGAAGCTCATTATTGAGTAGCTTTTGTAAATTGAGTCAATTTGGTGAATTCATTTATTTGATTAAAAGGTGTCTGAATGAAGGCGAAAAGATTGACTGGAGAAAATGTTTTTTTCATTCAGTCTTGTTTTCAACTTTATTCAACAAATTTTGAATGATAAATTTTGCTTTAATCATCATTATCATGGAATTTATTTTTCTTTTTTTCTATTTCTTTTGTTTTCGTTTCGCCATTATTTTTGGCTGTTTAATAGTTGAAATTGGTTTTATTGTTCAATTGAAATTGTGAGCTGATAATGAGATTAATAAACTAAATAATGAGAAAAGGTTTTTTTCGTTTCTTTCAGGTTCTTCAACTGGATGATCAACAAGAGCTTCATTGGTGAGCAAAATCAACAAAATTTACCTCAGTTTGTGATAACTTATTCATTATGGAATCATTCATGATTATAGAATAAAGGAAATGATGGAATGATAATATGATGAGTTTTACATAATCGATATGGAACGTTAATAAAACTGTGAATATCATGAATTGATAAGAGCAGAAAAAAATGTGTGATCAAAAAGGTTACAGAGCAAACAAGAAAATCAAATGATGAAATATTTATCATTGTTCCAATCAAACAGAACAAGATTGAGTTTCCAAGAAATGTCAACGAAAACTTGTTGCAAGTAAAAAAATTTCAAGTTCAGCAGTTGTTGAAACTTGGACGTAAACAAATTTCAAATTTTCTGCACCTATTAAAGGTATTAAATATTCACCAAATTGGTAAAAATTTTTGAAAATTGATTCATTCTGAGCAGAGGAGATCAAAATTTAAAATCTAGAAGATTTGCACATGAAATTGTATTTCTCGTCAAAATCGGAAGGCAATCATTTTTCAAAATTAGAATATTTTTGTTAATTGGACGATTAAAATTTCCATCTTAAAGAAATTCATGATAAGTGAATGAAGATGATTCGAATGAACTTCAGACAATTTTCATTCACCCAAAATGTGATAACAAAGCCAGGGAAAAGCCAGCTAGCCGATGCTGTCAGACCCAAACATGAGTGCAAATGAACTAGTGGCTAGAAAGGCTTCATGCTGTCAATAAGATAAGACCATTCGTTTTAAAATTTGAACTTTTCACGATTTTTATCGAAACGAAGCTGTACTTTTTCATGATAATTCTTAATTTAGTTAATGCGCCACAGCGGTAATATATTTTATATTGTCAGAACCAGTATAATAAAGGTGGTGAAAATTTAATTTACAGAATGCAGAATGGACATGGGCCAGCTCTTCCAACCCAGCATGTAATTCAACGGATAAGTCTGTTTATAATTCTGATGATGAAGAGGATGGGTTCAATGATTCTAACAGCAAAAATGTAAGAGTATCTAAAGATTTAAATCTCTGCAGTAAAAAACCGCTAAGTTTCCATGCAAAAGAACAAAAATATATTCGATGCATATCACTGGAATAAGTAACATGTACGATTGCAGTTATTGTAATGATAGTTGATTCGCTGTAATTAAACGTTGAAACCAAAAATTCAGACAGAAATTTTAGATTGTTTTGCAGTAAGCAGAAAATAAAAATCTAAAATGATGAGAATTTGTTTAACGAATTCTAAAGATAAAAATGACAAAAACTTTGAATCGGCACCAATTTAAGAATAATAGTGAATTAAGTGACTTTGAACACTGAATTATGGACTGTCGAATGTCAATCCTTCCAGAATAATTTTTTCTTGCTATCAATTGCCTTTTCATAGTTGCACTTAAAAATGTTAAGTTAACATTGAATTTATTGAGTTCATTCTAAAATTGATGTTTTCCAATAGTGGGTCACTCTAATAAGTCAGCTTAGCTCATAACTCTCTAAGCTAGGCTGGCGTTCTAGTTTGCATTCAGTGGAGAAAAGTATTATGAAGTTTTCATCATACATTATATGGATTCATCAATGAAAAGAATGAATTTACTTCAACATTTTATTTTTACTTTTGAAACGAAAACTTACCTCCATTGAATCACATCGTCCCCAACAGGACATTGACGTTACCAAACCCCAGCACTTTCGTCCTAAACCATCGCTTCTAGAGGCATTAAAGGTGAACTCTCGTCTATGACATTCAAGGGTTGACCTTAGATCAATCAATTTAGTCTTTTGTATTCTATTGCTATTAATATTGTTATTGACTTTATTCACTGAAGGATTTAATGGTGTAAAGGGTGGTTTGGACCTTGAAAATGTTCGGTCAGCGGATAAAAGAGATGACGATGGTGAAGATGGTGAAGGTAAAGATAGCGATGAAACAGCAACAGATGATGATGGAATTGATCTTGAAGATGATGATGAAGTTGGTGCAAAAACAGAGGGCAAAGTTGACAGTGATGATGTTGATGATTTAGTCGGTGATGAATGTGATGATGTTGAAGTTTCAAAAAGTTGCAACACAGTTAAAAGTAAAGGGAAAAATGGTGAGAACATCATTTTTCCCGATTAAACCAAAGTTTGAAGGTTGAATTAATCAGCACAATTAGATGATGTAAATTGTTACACTTTTATGATTCCTCTGGAAATGCCTCTTCTTCAAGATTGTTCACCTGCAGGGAACCGTGAAATTGCACCAAAATTGTTTTCTTTTGTAATCAAATTGTACAATTATGATTGGATATTCTGTCAAACTTGCATCATTATCTAGGTTAACCTGAAAATCTGCAGTTTTTGCCATTCACTGATTACCTCGCCTCTTCACCCAAAATGCCAAATTAAATTCAACTAATTCTAATGATGAGTCGAATCATAATGATGACAATAATGAGGATAATTTTGTTTTTATTTCCACCCCAACTCCCACTCTCTCTCACCCAGTTAGTCTATCCTTTACTTTAAATGTTTCACTTTGCGAATGTTCGATTCTTTTCTACCTTTCAAAGGTCAATCGTTATCAATCCATGATGAAGTGAAACAATGAATTTACAATCGTCTGAAAAAAGAAAAGAAAAAAGAAAGAAAAATTAGTTCGTTTGTCACAATTCACTTGGACTTTTTACTGTCAAATCTTGAATCGATGTAAATGTGAACAAGATTATTGTGAATAAACTCATGAGTTATCATGAAAGGAAGGGAAAAAAGGTAAAGAAAAGAGTAAATGAATCAAAGCATTTCTCTTTTCTTTGATTTTCTTTTTGCTCTTCACCTGATAATATCATGGAGAAATGGTGAAACAATAATCAGGGAATAAAGAAGTGCATTTATCAAGATACATTTCTCTTTTTTCTCGAAAAGGAAAAATTCTCAAGAGAAAAATGTTCAGTAAAAAAGTATCTGAATGAGAGACTGCATTAGTTGAATCGTATGGTAATTAGTAAATATTGATATTGATAAATGTAACTGTATTGAAGGTTGCAATTGAAAAGAGAGAAAAAAAAAGATTTTCCTTTTTTTGTGTCTGAAAAGTCAATAGTTTTACTCCATTTGCAAACATTGAATCCCATTGAATCTCAATTATTGTCAGCTGGTCTTTGCATAAAGACTTTAATTATATTCATAATCAACATTTACTTCTTTTCATTTCAATGAATTTGATTAGTTGCATCAATCTAATGAGAATCATGTTTACCCAACATTTGAGGAATGAATTATTGGTCCAAAAGTATTGAATATTTCATTTTACGGGAAAATGGAGTTTTGACAATTTCTTTACTCTGAAGGGTAAATGTCAAGTTTCAATTTACCTTTCAAATTACCTTTCAATTTAGAAGTTAAATTTGCACTTAATTATTGCTGCTCACCATTTACCATCAATGAACGACTCATTTCCATGTAGATTGGCATTTTATAATCCAACCTGAAGGCATTCAAATTGTTTAATCACTCCTTTTTGTTGTTCATTCAAACAACTTTCAATGAATCTTTTTGCAACTTTTTTTACTTTTCAAATTTAATGCCTTTTATCACTCAACTGAACAAGCTTTTAATGTTACACTTGACTTTCAATTGAACATTTATTGAACTTGTTTTAAAAAAACCTTTCAATTTTTCATTAATCTTTTCATTCTTTGAAAAGTATCTTTTTTGGAAACATTTATCAGATTCAGTTTAGTCAATTTGCAATTGATCAGCTATTAAATTTTTACTCCAACTTTTAATCGAATTTTTGATGGAAAATGAAATTATAACATTCCAAGTTTACTGTTTCTTTATTCAACTGATTCCAACGTGAATTGGAATCTCCTGAAACCATTCCAGTTCGATTGAACCATTGACCTTTTTGAAGGTTTTCATTTTGCACACTCATTCACTTTACTTTTACTCCAATCATTGTTACATCTTTTCCTTTCATTGTTTCAGATAAAACTGATAACATTAGCATTATTTTCTGGTTGAAAGTGTTACACAAGAATATTTTGTTCAAATGAAGTCTTACATGGAAATTTTTCAACAAAAGTCTATTGAAAAATGTAAAGAAACATAACTTTTCTTGTAAAACCATCAAATGTACAAATGTAGGTTAAAAGTGGTTAGAGGAAACTTTTTGTTTTGCCTTTTGAGCAAACAAACTTTTCAGTTTCAAGAATTGCCATTTTACTTGTAAACAAAAGCATTTCTTTGGGTGAACCCATTTTTGCTAGTTTACCTGGGAAAATTAGGCAAACCAGCTCTGTAATTAAATGATTTTTAACATTCAATTTGTTTAAATAAACTAAAAGAATCTTGTTTCCCTGTTGAGATTTGTTTCAATTCAGTTGAAAGTTGTAAAACAACACAATCGATCACGCAATGCAATTTACAGTTTCTCAGCCTTTCAACTTGTTGAAGGTTCAATTTGAAACAAAAGGTTAACAAGTGTTCAATACACTTAACTTGATTGGTAAAATCAATTATTCATTAAATTGTAAACGATGAAATGGAGATAAAGAAATAAGAAAAACTTTCAGAGCATTAAACTTGGAAACTCGATAAAACTCGATTGCAATGGTCGCTATATTTGTACATTGCTGCTCATTGGTAATCGATCAAGTTGCTAATTTTCCTTTCATGTGATATCGAAATTTTTGTCGACGAAAAATGAGTTTCATGGAAAAGTCTGCTTCCATAACTCAACGAGAGGCGATCGCAGTTTAACTTTGACTTGGATTTAATCGAAAACTGATCGAGTTTTTACCAGTCCACCTTGCAATGGAAGCGTAATAGCAATTGCAGATTATTAGAGATGGAGCTGGCTGATTTATCGCCTGAGTCGAGCAACTAATCTTAATTTTTAGCTCAACTTCAACAAAATTAAATTTTTGTCATTGGACCTGACTCATTGCTTAACAAATCTAAAGCTAGCCAAAGTGTCTTTAAATTGCTGTACTTGCAGTGATCTAAAGTCAAAGTTTAACTCTTGTTTCGATCTTGACTCTGCGGTCTTTTGCCATTTAACTTGGACAAGTTGATCAGGACGAAATTGGACCTTTGAACTTTTACCTTGCTAAATGTTATTGATTGCAATTTCGTACATTCTATTAATAACTTGAACTTGAAAATTAGTAATCTTCTTAACGATATATTTAATAAGAGCAACTTTAATCATCCAATGCTCATCATTATTCCCAATACTGTTGTAAACTCATTTTATCACACAAATGATTCAAAATAACCTAATAATGGGAGTTGGTATGAATCAGTAAGTAAATGGTTAAGCCTCTATCAAAGCTTACTGCTCAACGAACCAACTAGTCAGTCGGTTTATAACAGCTTAGCTGGTAAACCAATGAGTGTCGATTGAAGCTAGCACATTAGCTAAGAGCAAAGTCAATTTGTCTCTTCTTTTAAATTGATTTTTAAATGTTGACATTTTGTGTTTAAATCTTTCAATTTAGTTGATCAGTGATCTCCAAGCAATTGACTAATTTTGCTTAACCATTAGTTACAGTCATTATCTTAACAAGCCAGGCCTCGATGAACAAGTGACTTTGATGTACACAAGTTGTTAATCAAACAAGTAAACTGACTCTACATAAGTCACTATCTTTGGGCCTGGAAAACTTGACTACAACCTTTGCTCAAAACCACAAAATTAACAACTTATTAACAGAATTACCTAAACATGAAAACAGGATCAAAATAAAACCAAACTTTGCTAATTATCTGAGTAAATCATGTTAGCATACAAAAAAGAGTTGAATTCATACTTAATCAACTTGAATAAATTGAAAAGCAAAAATGAATCCAATGGATTATGAAGATTATTTCAGTTTTTTATTCGTTTCACTCAAGTTAACAATTAAATGGTTGTCAAATGAAAAGACCAGTCAACATAATTAGATTGCACTGTTTCTCATTAACAGAATCGGTTATAAACTGATTGATTATAAAGCGACAGTTAATCACTAAGAATCATGATTAAACATTCAAGACGAAATATGATTACTAGTAAATGGATCTCTCGAGAGTCAATTTGAATAAACCAAGAAGTGCAACTTATCAAGACAAACAAACCAAACAAAAGCTAAAAACAAATTAAAATTGTTACAGTTAGTGCAAAAGCACCGCTCAATGAATCAACCTTTTCCTCCTCAAATTAAAGTTGAAATTGATTAAAGTTTGATGATCTTTAATCAATGCTCTATCATGATGAATCCGTTAATAGCAGCATATCATTGTTATAGGATGATTCTGATTCTGTGAACGACTATGGTGATAAACAGTTGATGAATATAGAGCTAAATAATGAACATTGAGAGTTTCGAGTTTCTCAAAGTGAATATCATAAACATTTCCAGTAATAAATACATAAATGTTTACCAATTTATATTCATTAGGTAAAGGGAAACATACGAAGGCAAGGGCATCACAAAAGTGCTGTTAATATGAGAAGCTAAAGAAAGGTCAACCTTTTGCTTTTAATTAAACAAATTAACAGAGTTATAATTACCTTGATTTGTTTTCCTTGTAATTTTATATTGGAAAATGTGTTTTAAAGTAAAGTTACATCAACGGTAAACATTTGAAAAGGCAATCTTCACAATTGACTATTTTTTATCCATTTGAGGCTTGACATCAATTACTTTTGTTCAACTGCAATTTAAAGGTAAAATTACAATCAAATTTGCTTTACTTGATCAGATGAATATTGTTGGGTTAAATTGTTGGTTTAAATTTTCAATTACTGTTTGATTCTTGGGCCACAATTAGAGGTGAAATTTGTCTTCTTTTGTTTGCTTTTGTTTTCCCTTTGAGTTGTTTGTTGCTGTGATTGTCTGCGTTTTTAATGAGCACAATTAAATTGTCTTGTTGTGGTTGTTCAATTGTTGACACTAAATTAAAGTTGATTTGAAACTTTGCCTTTCAAGTTGACAAACTTTTACTCCAGTGTTTGGTGTTAATGATAATTTACACTCATTTTTGCCTCTCATTAAATCATTTAAATAATCATGCGTCAATTTTTTCGATCATGAATTTTCACCGTTTCAGTCAAAGAGATTACTCAATTTCAACATAGTTGATACTGATAATGTAAATTTCATCCGATGGTTAACTCATCATCATCTTTACCGGATTGCTTGTTACAATAAAGAGTCTGCTGCCATCTTGCTTTGTTTGGATTCAATGTTGAACATGACTTTAGTTATTGACTTTCATCTTTAAATGTTTATATTTCAATAGATACAAATTGCTTTGGCCTTTTGTTTTGTCGAGTCCGATTAAGGTTAATTAATCAAGTCTTGCTCATTGAAAAAGTGTTTATTGACAAATGTATATATTTGGGAGCAACAATGATTTTAACAAACAAATGGGCAAAAGCGATGCATTACTTTTGACCTTTTTTTCATCTTCAAAATTATCTTGTTTTTCTTCCAATTTAAATTGGTCCGATATTGATTTGATTAATTATGTATTAGGATTAATTGTGTACAATGATACAAGTGTTGGGTTTAGGTTGTGAAAGGAAATTTGGGTTTGTTTGAAAAAAATAAGACAAGATGTAATGCACTTGGTCATTTCGTTTTTTCCCTGTTTGTTTTCCTGAGTCGTATTCCTCGCTTTGTTGAACCATTTTCTCTTTTCATTATCGTTTTGTTTTGTTTATTAAAGCTTTGTCATTTTGCGTTTAAATGGAAGTTTGAACTTCGTTGATCACTTGAAACTGCCATAGATTAAGTTGTGAAGGGTCGAAAAGTCTTTGTAAAGAATCTTTTTAGCTAGAAAACGAAAAAAAAGGATTTTCCCAAAAAATTTAAAGAAAAAACTGGGAAATTATTGGGATTTTGACATTAAATTTGACATTAAATTTGACACTGTTAACAGTTTTGGTAGAGTAAAAAAAACGTAAGCTTTGAAAATTTGTAGGTTTTGGTAAAAGGATTCCTGTTCTTAAGGCTGCATATCATTTAGAAGGAGGAAAAGGAATCAAAGGGTGAAGAATCAATAAGTGGATAGATGCTTAAATATCTCCTTCTATACATTAATAAAGTGTAAAACTAAATATAATAGGGATGTCAAAAGAATTGAATATCCATTAATTAGATTTTCTGGTTTGTCTTTGTAAAGAAACTTTGTTGATAGTTAATTGGATATAACTTTGACTGGCTCCAGGAAAATAGCGTGATTTAAGTTTGCGTATAATCTGAGCCAATTTGGTAACATCATCGAGATTATTCTTCCTAGAAAATCCAAGCAGTAGATTCATCCATTGTGATTTATTGTCTAAAAGTAAAAGAGCTAATCCATCGATTTCCTATGAAAAAAATAGAAACAAAAGATTAGCATTTTTTCAGAAAATTTTACATCTTACTTTAGGTGTTTAAAAAGATACTTACATGCTCATATAGTGTCTCAGAAAGAGTATAACAACTGTTGTCTCTAAAATAATTATATACATCACTGGTTGACCAATTGACTGGGTGAAATCGATCATTTAAATCAATAAGAGAAGACAGTGTCTCGGCTTTTTGAGCTTTCCTACCAGGCTTTCTAGTTCTTTTGTTGTCCTTTTCAAGATTGGCATTTGGTTGAGATCTTTGATCAAGTGAATTTTCTGAGCCATTACTAGAAGTGCATTCCAACAAATCTTCATATTTACGCTTATTGGATCTAAGAAAAGCTCGATCATAGGTTTTCTCTTCATGTTTTTCTCGGCCAAGATTGGTTGTTTCACGGAAGTTATCCATTGATGCAGTTGGCGATTCTTCACGAAAATCACCATTAGACTTTTCAGAGGGGCACTTTTCTTGTGAATTTTCCTGAGAATTTTCGCGAGAATTTTCATCATCAGGTTTTCTGCTCGATGTAGATGACTTGCGAGTTACGGGTTGAGCAGCTCTACCTGATGGTGAAGTTTTTCCTTGTTTCACTTTTTCTTCTTTGGTTTCTTTAGATTTCTTATTTTTAATTTCTTTGTCTTCTTGATTTTCTTCCGCTTGTTCACCGGGCTCTATGTTTTCAGATGATTCAACCTCTTTGGTACCTGAAGATGATGGTGATCCAGCTGGTTTTATTGGCTCTGTTCCCGTCTTCGTCTTAGCAGCTTTTTGTCGATAGTATATTGCACGTTTGAGTACCTTGTTAGTTTTACGAAGACCTCTACAATGTGATGGACAATCATCACCATCATAGAGATCAGGACCAAAAAGATGATAACAGCATTTGAGATGATTACAGACTATTTTACAATAATCGGCAACATCTTTATTATTGGTTACCACAAAAATTTCGTCTCGGAATGCTTTCTTTTGCCATTTGGCTTTAAAATTATTTGTGCGGGTTGCCACAATATTATGTTTACTGAGAAGCTCATCGAAAGCTCTTGAACTCATCTCATTGAGAACTCTGGGAGGTACATAGGCAACCGAAATTATTTTTGCTATAACTTCTTGCATCACCAAAATCACAGGACCAGGGCCAACAAATCGAGGAAGCTCACGAATTTTTGTTTTGCTTAGCAAAGGACCAGTAAAGCATTTATGGTTGAAATATATTCTAGGACAAACGTCTCTAGAACGGGATGGAACTAATTCTGGAGGTATATTGGTTGACTTAGCTTCTAATGATTTGTCAGAAGTCTCTTGATCACCATTAGAGTCATTTCGTTTCTTTGTTGGTTTCTTGTTTTTGGCTGTTAGAAGTTTGGTTAAAGTGTATGAATTGTCCTCACAAAAACCAGACGGAAATAAGTCAGTGGAGTTATAAGGCAAAACAGCAACTAGATCAGATGAAATTTCAACCCAAACTAAAGGCGGAGTAAGTCTGGAAACAATGCCATCACAAATCTGGATAAAAAAATATGTAATAGATTAGAATCGTGATAGAAATGAATGAGTAATACATTAATGATGATGCTTTTGATAACTTACCTTGGTGCGATCATGAGGATGAACAACTTGAAGTTTGTGATTAACTTTGAACTTATGTATCCTTTCGTCTTCCACCAATTTGATTGGAGCTTCGTTAGCTTTATTTTTACTGAGATAATCACTGGAATCATTTGTCGCGTCTTCAAAGTTATATAAGCTGCCACCATGTTCCTCTGCCCAAGAGCTTGGTAGAAGAGTCATATTATCGTCATTCGGGTAACAAGAAACCCATTTTTTGGACTGACTGGATACAATGAGATAATCATCGCCTTTGCTTTGAATGATTACAGGAACCAATTTTCCCAAATCAGAAGGGAATGTCAAGGCTAAATCACTAACTTGGCTGTTCTTAATTGATGATTCTTCCATTATAGGTGGTCGCCTGGCTTTAGCCAGTTTGAGCAAATATTTGACAGTTAAAGTAATTTCATTGTCTTGAGAGGATAAATATTTTGCTATATCCGTGACCCAAGAGTTGTAGAGAAAGACAGATTCATAGGAAATGTCACCTTTTTCTTTAGCATAACCTAAGTGATGAACACGCGGGTGACTGTAGAATATCCAAAATTCAACTGGATTACTTGGTTCAGCGTCAGGCTCTTTCTCGCAGTTATGGGCCCATTTGACTAACAATCGACCACCAACATTTTTCTTGACTTCAGCAAACCAATGTTTATCTGGATCCAATCGATGTGATATTTCTAACATCACACCAGCTTTGAAAACAGAGGAAGGATTGAGCCCACCAGAAACATACAGACTTAGTGGTTTGTCATCTTCATCCGCTGGCTTTTCTCCTTTAGCATATTTTGAGATAATTTCATCTTTATCCTCATCAGATAGTTGCACCTTTTCTGGAGGTTCTAATGAGTATCCTTGTTTATCTTTCAAATAACCATGAGGGTAACATTTATTTGCTTTGACATCAAACCATGAGTCTGCTGAAGAGCCAGACCATCTAATCGAGAGTAGATTTGAAAAAGCATTTGTGATTTGAGCCGGCCAGAACTTTTTGTCTTCATGTTCTATCTCAATATTCATTCCAGCCTCAAAGCCACTAAGCCAACTTGCTTCGATCTAAATAGAGCAGCGATGTTCAACATGGGAGGTAAAGACATGGCAAGAAAGAAAAAGATAAGTACAGTCAATAATAGGTATTTGTAAAAAATCAACAAGCTAACATGTATTAAGAGAGGTGGAATAGAGGTACCAGTGAAGAACAAGATTCACCCTCGGCGAGTATAGAAGTAAAGGATGAATAGGAATATTTCAAAACAACTTGAAATCAAAAAATGAACATAGAAAAGACAGAGGAAAAGAAAGAAAGGCAAAGATCACCGCAGTGTAATAGAGTAATTGTATTAACAAATAAGTTGAAAACAGTTCTCTACTATAAGAAATGAAAGCTATCAAAAAGTATCTAGATATATTACGGTTTAACAAAGGCTCAGCCATTATTTAAAGAGCCTTTAATGTTCGCAATTAAGAGTTAATTTAACCAAATTAATATACTTACGTGCCAGAAAGCATCCTCGGAAACTAAATCTTCATCCAACTCCTCTTCTTCCTCATCTTCCAAAGGTTCTTTTTCAGCTTCATCACTATCATTGGCCATAGTGATATCTTTAAAAGTGAACAAGGAAAGATATAAGCAAATTTAAAAATTGGTCAAATAGAGATAGAAAATAAAAATATAAAAAATAACAATTAACTAGTAAGGATTAATTAAGTTGAGTCGACAGAATGTTTTCAACAGTTTCAACTTTTATAAAAGCATCATAAGAAGAGGCAAAGTCAGTAAAAGGATAAGGTAATGAAATGCTGCTGCTGTGCTTGTTTCTGAAGCTTGTTAACAGCCTCACTGTTAAAAGGAAAGTAAAGTAGATGAAGAGAAGTGAAAAAAAGAATTACTTACTTGAATTATTATTTTCTTGTGAGGAATCCATTATAATACAACTATTTAACTAATAATAAATAACACTTTAACCCAAAATTGAACTCTTCTCGTACCGTTATCTGTCGATTTTTCAAGTTCATCAAAAAAGCAAAACTAAAAAACGTAAAGATTTTCTGAATGTGAAATGTGCTGCAGTGACTCTGTAACTCTCTTTCGGGTAATCCCTTGCTCTCTCTTTCTCCCTCTCTCGCTCTCTACTTTCTGCTTTCTCTGTCTATTTACCAACTCCATCTGTCTTTAAAGACTCTCTTTCTCCAAATTTTTCCCTTTATTTTCTTCTTTCATTCTCTTACTTTTTCACCTTTTCCAATTCCTTTTCTTCATCTTCCCTCGTTGTTAATGCCATTTTAGCGCGAAATCGTCCCTCAGTTCATCGTAAATTTATTTGGCCTTAAACATAGCTTCAGTAGTAGACTAATCTGATTAATTTATATCTTTCTTCAGCCCTTTAAACATTACTAATGAATTAATCAGCATTTTTAAATCTGGTAACACTTTATTCAATTGGCTATGTTTAACCTGATTGTTAACCAGAAAAATATGGAAGTCAGAGAAGCATAAGAAAGCATCCATTTTAACGCTCAAACAAATTTCTACCCAATTCAGTATTACATGTAAATAGGCAACAATTAAAGTAGCCATTTTATTAATTTAATCCCATTTTCAATTAATTACCGAATCCATTTATTAATAAAAACTGAAACTCTATAAATAAATAAAAGCCAACTCTTGATGCAATCCAAGGAGACAGTTACATTGTAAATTGATTCTGGTTCAACATTTGAACCCATTTTTTATCAATCTCCACCAAAGAGTAAAGTAAGTCTTGCTTTGGCCTTTACTCTTTCATCTCTACATTTTTAGGTTGATTTACCTGAAATTGGATATTCAGAGGCTTTGTGGACAATAATTAAAATTTGATTGAAGGTTAATTTCATTGTCTATTTATTTAGGTATACTCAGAAAATATGGGAAACAATGTGAATCCAGAAAACCAGTCTTAAGGCTTCGGGTTTTCAAGCCTTGTTGGGTAAAAGGTACAAGGTTAGATATTCAATTGTCTACCAAATGTTTAATCGTTTCTATAGTTAATCACAGCTAATCATCTGGTCAGTGAGAGACAATTTAAACCACGGTTTTAATGATTAAATAATGTCACATTGAATGAACACTTGAAATGAGACAAAAACTAATTGAACTCTGATTTACACTCTTGTTATTCATTTGTTCATCACTTTGTTCTTCCCCAGTCTCACTTGTCAGTCTTATTTCATTGTTTCTCATTTTATTGTTTAGCTTTATTAAATCTTTTCCAGCCAATGTACATATTTATTGGTTGTTTGTTGATTACTTTGAATTATTAACACATTTACTAAGGAGTTTAACCAACAGATTAAAGATGGCAGTAAAAGAGCACAAATCGAGCTATGAGTGTACTCTGATTGAGCTTGACCTTTTAAAGATTCGAGAAAGATCAAACGGCCTGAAAAATTCACTCATAGATTTTCAGATTTTGATAGCTTTGGTCTTCACTCAATCATTTGGGTCATCTGTGTGCGTCGACCTCTGTATGGGCCAAAAGTATGGCTGAGTGTAGAGACCAGTTGGTTACTGGTAACTGGTTACTTGGGTAGAGGGGAAGAAAGTAACCAAGTATTGACAATATAACCAGTTACTTTAATCGATAACAAACTAACCTGTTACTTGCTGGTTATTTATGGTAAATAAATTGCAGTTGAAGGTTACAGTTAATAATATATTAATAATAATAGCTATTTGATGAACTGTTTCTATGAGATTTTTCACTACCAAACTGTTAATCTTTCAACTCTTTTCTTTTCTCTTCATGATTTGAAGTCAGAAAAGGCCATCTTTCATTGTTTTACTGTAAAACACCCGTTTAAGGTATTTTCCCCCAGTCTCCATCTGAAAATTAAGTTCTTATTATTGCCGGACAAAGTAAGTGTGCAATACTTGAAGTCGGTTGCTTCATGGTTAAATAGTTCAAATTTACCTCAAGCTCGTCCTGGTGAGAAGTTCTGGTCATTGTGTATGGCTAAATATGCAAAGGACAAGAATACGACCTCAAATTTCGAGCAATTCAAAAACAACTTTTACGAGAATATCAAAAAAGTAGTTAGTAGTTCTGGACCTAATTTAATGAAAGGTGTTCGGTCAAAATTGTTGAAATTTCAAAAGATGGAGCATTTAGCATTCAAAAAAGATTGAAAATAATATTTATCTTACAAGTATTGAAATTTTCCTTAAAATATCCATTCTAAATTCATTAATCGTCAAAAATCATAGATAGTGACTGTGAAATTTGCTTTAAATGGGCCGCTAAAAAATTGTCTTAACCGAGTAATTTACATTAATTGTTACAATAGAGCTTCAATGTTTAAATTACATTTAAATCAATTGCATTTTGGTTCGATTCTATGTGAAAATTATAAATAGTCAACTACTATTGTTCAGTTAATTCATCATTCAAATGAGATCTTTTTCTATCACCAATTTATCCTTTTGTTCCACTTTGCTATTTGCATTCAAGGTTGGCTATTTGTTATTCCTTGCTTTTCTTCGTTTCAACTGTGGAAATCAGATTCTTTGCGAATTCCTTCGCAGGTTAATATTACTTACCTAATAATAATCATTACAACATCCACTAAAAAATCAAACATGGAATCAAACCTGTCATTGAAATTCTATTTTAGATGATGATTTAAACTGATGAAATTGCTGCGCAAAAATCTCATCAAGCCTTTTATCCTCAATTCAATCACTTAAAACATTGAATGAGTTTAAAAAAGCCGCGTAACAATTGAATTGGTTCAAAATTCACTTAAAGCTAATGCTGATTGAGAAAGTTTGAAGATGAAAACATGAATTTTATTTAATATCAATTTAACCAGCTTAAAGGTTTGTATCTCATTCAGGTGGATCAGTGTAATTAGACTTTTAATTAAAATGAAATTGCTGTTGATCCAACTATGGTTTAAATATGTTTAGTATAACCAGTAACTGTGATTATTTGCCAGTTACAAATAATTGGTTACTTTATGGTTACAAAACTTAAGCGCCAATATTGAAAAAAATTTTATCGTTTTTTCACGCCATCTATTAATTGAAAGAAAAGCTCAACATTTTCTGATTCACTTTTAAATTTGCCTCTTAAAGTAACCAAAAATCAGTGTCTAAGCAACATCAAGTGTAACCAAAAAACCAGATTAACCTCTCGTCGTCAATGCCATTTCTTTAACTGTGCTTTAAAGGTAAGCTTTATTTGAAAGGTGAATCTGAATGAGCGTTAAGATTTGGGTTATTTTCAGCAAAGAAGATGCAGAAAAATCGTTCTGCGCTAAGGCTCTAAAGTAAATCACAATTTTCAGTTCCGCTTCACTCTTCTGTTGAATGAAAAGTTTCAATTTATTATCCAAAAAGTATTTTTGCTAAGGAGTAATGATAAAAAATGAAACATTTTAGTGGTTGGTGGGTTTGTATGATCATGCAAACTGAGTCTTGCAAAATTTCTCCGATCGACAATTTTCGATTTAATCGAGGTCAAAGTTGAATCTTGGATCGCCTTTTGTTCAATTATGGAACCAGAAATTGTGTGAAACTCAATTTCCTGACAAATTTTTTGATGGTCAACCAGAAAATGAACTTATTTTGAGTTATAAAATTTTATCTTTTCAATACAACAGGTCAGTTCGATTGTTCAGTTCAACCTTCCCTTTCTGTGATCGTAAAATTACAAGCTGAAAGTTATTATTCATCGATAAAAATTGTTGATACACATCAACGATTAAACAGTTTTCTTGATTTGGCCACTGGCCTAAAAACTTAGAGTTTCAATATTTCGATAATGGTAGCTCGGTTAGAAGTCATTCGCAAATGCTTCGTAATTAAAGCAAACAAAAGGGACTAATCCACGAGTTAGAGAATACGAAAGGTCGAAATTTTAACACAAAAGTTTAACAATAAGTTGTAAATCAGTACAAAAGAGCTGAAAACAATTACTATGATTTAATGGCGAATGACGAATTTATTGAATTGAATGAAAAAGAAACGCGAACCTAACCTAACTTGAAACAAAGCGATCGAGACCGATCGATTGTGGACTGATATAACATGGCTGAATACCTAATCTGAGCTAATTTATCCTTCTAATACTTGATAAAATTTGTGTGTAATCAAGAATCATGACACCATAATGTAATAATTTTTGATCTTCAATCACGGATCTTGAATGATCTGAAATTTCAACATAAGAATGATCTCTGAAAATTAACGAAAAAACTTGAGCATAATTTGCTCTAATTTTTTCACCCAAACCCATTCTGCTTAAATCTTTTTTCTCAATTTAATCAACACCGAGTGCGATAATTGAGTTAAGTAAATGAATTGTGATTGTATTGTCATTTGATATAATTCATTTTTTTCTGAACACTTTTTCACCAACAGTTTGTCAATCACTTTCATCAAGAAAATACATAATTAAAGACTTATAGATGGCACTGAAAATTTATCTTAACTAATTTATATTTCATTTCATTTAAATCTCAATTATTGCATGTTCAGATTCACACAGCCATTCAATGCCGATAAATGGTGTTTTATTATATCCTGTAATTGGGTGTTGAAGTGAAGACACACAAATAAGATACATTTAATGTTGACTCTGAATTAGCCTATTAACTCAATTCTCACGTATCAATCAAGGTGCAAGATTGATAAGTAAATTGTAGCTACTCAGGACAATTCGTTGTCTTCAACTGTCAACCTTTTTGTGTTGAATCCATTTCTCCAATGCATGATGTTTAAATTGTCTTCTGATTTATTCTAGTCACACTGAGCGATTGAGAAACAAGTATCCGTCGACATTGTACCAAATCAATGTTTAAGCCAAAAAGTCGCGATAATAGTGGCAAGAACCTTGGACTCTGCAATCGTTGAAAATTACTCGATTTAACTCGACTCTGTCTTGTAGAAAAAAAATAGTTTAGCAGTTTGGTTTCCATTACAGTTAACTTTCATCTGTGCTCTCGTCGTTGCCACCGCAATGGCCAATGGTTGGGATAATTGGGGCAAAAATCACTGGGGTGGTTGGTCTTCTTCTTATGGTCCTTCACCATGGAGCAATGATTATGGATACAAATGGTCAAACAAGAAAGCTTCAGTTTTCCATGGCATGTTTTTTCATCAAAATTACCAGAATTTATCAGAATCAATGAATGTTAACTCATTTATTGGAAATTTGATTTCTTGGGTTTCCTTCATCTTTTTTTGTCCCGATCCAGTCTGGTTAATCTAGACTTCAAAGGTTTCTTCTTGCATGGGAAAATTACACTTCTGGTTACCGTCAATATAAAAGTATCTATTTTACTGAAAGATTTACGGAAAACAATTTAATTGAACTACCGTATGAGCAGAAATATAACTTTTTACATGTTAGACTTACCTAAAACAAAAGAAACTGACAATAGACTAAAAAATTAGGGAAGACTCAAGTAAATAAAGGTAAAATGTTTATGATTAAAGGATGAAAGACAAAGTGAAAGTAAAAATCAATAGAGATGCAGAAAATCATGTAATGATGACGAGAAAACATTTTTGAATAAAGGATGCAGGGTTGAGCTGGTTCCCATTAATAAAGATTTTAAAAACAGGATTATTTAAACGAAAGCGAATCGAAATTTGATGAGGTCCAATGAAAGTTTTCAAACTGCTTCAATTTTTCATTGAAAATAATTAAGTTTGATCTTGAAAAGCAATGTAGCGAGCTTTAACTATTGTTGATAACAATTAGCTTTCAAAACTTAATAAACCATCATCCATTGTTAATAATGATGACAAGAGAAGACGAAAAGAGAAGATGAAAAGAGAATGAGAAGAAATGCCGTAAAATAAGATCAGTGAACTGCAGATATATGAAAGGTAAAAATATTAAGATCATGAAAATAAATTAAGAATCACAATTAACCTCATCAACAAAACATCCTGATCACTAATGTTAGACAGAAGTAAAAGTTGAAACCAACAGTCAAAGAATAAGCTCTCATTGGAGAAGATCATTTAACTCAATCATCTTTCTCTCGTAATTTAGTTTAATTGCTACTGATTAATATAATGTTGAAATGTAATCTGAATGGCCCATCAAATTGTGCAACATAAGTGTTTGAAGTTAGTTGTGCTGAGAAATGTCGTTCTACCAAATATTGCCTCTTCTGTGGACCTTTTTAATGTTTGTTCAATCTCTGGAAATTCCTGTGGCTCACAGTAAATATTACGATGGTGTCAATGATTATTACATGTATGCGAACAACAATGTGCGACGGGCTAACCGACCTCGAAATAGTCGGCCAGCAGTTGTGGCAACATTTAGGTTTGAACAAAAACCGACAGCGGGTAAAAAATCGGGTTGGCATGTGTCGGGATGTTATTGTCCAGCAAGTAGTTACTACTGTGATTGCTCCAAGGCAACAACTCGAGTTAATATGATGATAAATCCAAGACGTCCCAAGTCAACAACCAAAGCTCGCACTCAAAATAAACGAGTCGTTAAATATCGGGAAAGAGTTAGAGACAAGAATGGTGTAAAAACAAAACCTCTTTCAATTCGAACTGGTTGTTTCTGCGATTCTCTAGGATGCCGTGGAACAGCCTGCAATAGACTTAATGGATGTGTGTGCAATGATGATAATGGAGTGTGTTGGGGAAACAATTGTCAAACAGCTAAACCAGTCAACACTGAACGCAGTTTAGAGTCACCAGTAATCGATCCACCAAGCTCGATGGATAAGCCAACTGACGATTTACTCACGCCATTCATCAGTCTGTTGGAGACGAATAATGGTACTTCTGATGAAAGTAAATTGGTGGAAAGTGAAATCGATCGTGAGTCTCGTGATAAGACTGAAGGATGTTATTGTGATGAGACAACATGTAAAGGACCAGATTGTAACAACATGAATGGGTGTTTTTGTGGTTCCGATAGGTGTTGGGGTCGTTCTTGTGGAGGATTATCTTTAGGAACCGAAGAGGATTTAATTTTTCGTCGGAAAAAATTTCCTGGTTTTGAATATGACAACTCTTTAGATGGTAAAGTAACCATGGTAAAATCCAAGTTTGAAAATCTATGGAATAGCAAGAAAAATATGATGCAAACCATGGGAAACAAATTCGGAGGTTTGGTGGGCAATAAAGTCAATATGGTTCAAAGTAAATTGAATGGAATCGCAGGAACAAAAGCTCACTTGATAAGCTCGGTCGGAAATAAATTTACGGATTTAGCTGCTCACAAGGGTAGCATGGCGATACCCAACAAGTTTAACTTTTTTGATGGACCAAGTAAAACAGCTTTAACTATGAATGAAGTTATCGCCAGTGATCCAGGGAACGTGGTCAATAGTAACGCTGATTCAATTGGAAGTTGGAATGATATCAATCTTCTCAGTGGTAAACCATCACAATTATCTGGTGATACTAAAATGAACAAGATATACACCATGAAAATGCCTCAAAGTGATCGAAATTTGAATAACAATATGATGATGGTATCAAGTAAGGACAAGAATAAATTGATCGATGATATTTCAAGTAAGTTGAATACTTTGTTAGTTACCAAGCCGTCAGATCATGGTTTTGAACATGGCGTTCTAACTGCTAAACCAGTAACTAATATTGATGGTAAAATGGAAACAATGTTGGGCAATAAAGTGGACGTTCTTACTGCCAAAGTGAATAATTTAATAACTGGTGACGCCAAGGGAATGAAACACTTGGTGGGTCAAGTTATTCCAGTGATTAAAGCTTTTCCGATAGACAGCATTGAAGGTGTTCCAGTTCCTCAAATTCAAGGAATGACAATTGGATCAGTTCCTTCGATGCCAGTGGAAACTAAGCCACATAAACCACATAAACACCACTATGCTCCACAACCGCAAATGCATCACAATCAGCAGTTAATGCACCATCAACCCCACCAGAATTTACATCAAAGTTATATGTCATTGTCTTCACATCATTCTCATCCTCAAATTCAACAGCAACAGCTTCAGCATCAAAGTCAACAACAAACACAACATCACTTCAATCAAGAACAACCGCAATTTAATAAAATCCACCAAAACCAAGCACAATTCAATCAGATGCAACAAGATAATATGAATTTCAATCAAGTTCAGCACCAATCAGCCAATCATTTATCAATGAATGCTGATGCATCATCGAGTAAGCCAGCCGGTGTTACGACTCCTAATCCAATGTCAAGAATGGCTGCCCAAGGAGCAAATAGTCAACAATTGAATCAGCCAACAGTTATAATACGAGCCCCTGCCAATGGACCTGTACCAGCAGTTACTATAAGAACAATTGACGCACCTCAATCAAATTCAAACACTAAAGGACAAATCTTCCCAGTCAGTGCAATGATCGAAGCAAATAAAAATAATGGAATGCTTACGATGACACAAGATGATAACCTTAACCGAAAGTTCTAGGTGGAGGGTTATCAGTAACAACATTATTATTCATGTTAATATTATTGTTATTACTGTTGATGTTATTATGAAAATGTGAGAGATGCGAAGGTGGATGGTCAGAGGATGAAGAAGGTGAAGAAGAAGAGGAAGATGATGAAGACGAAGAAAGGCAATTGTTGAAGGAACAATGGGAGCCATTTAAATTGTTGGCTGGGAAAGCAATTAAAGTTGATCTCGGTGGCTCCATGCACTTCTTATTACTAGTTCGCAGTCCATTAACGGTTGGTGAATTAAATAATTTAGCCTCAAATCCTAATAATTGGCCCATGAAGTTAAAATTGGGTGAAACAATTCGCCGTCGTGATTTAACAAACTCATAAGACTCTTCCATCCGTAATTTTTTGGTTGCCATTAAATAAGCCATGCATATTGTTGCTGATCGACTGATTCCAGCTCGACAATGAACCAACACCTTACCATTTGATTGCTTGATTGAATCTGTTGAAATGGAAGAGAGAAGATGAAGAAAAGGTTAGAAAAAATACGATAAATTGAAAAATCCCGCTGATTCCAATTGGTATTGACAAAGGAAACGCAAATGGATAAATTAAATGGAAACAATGGCAATAATAATTGATTATGTATCAATACATTTCTCTCTAACTTTATCAAGTGTTGATGACAAAATTGACGTAAATTGATAATACTATTAATCATGAGAATAGAAGGAAAAAAAGTATAAGAATTGATCTGAACAAATGAGAAGAAAAAAGTAACTCAAAGAGAGTGGGAGAAGTAATATGAATTAGATTATCAGTGGGATATTATTTCAGTTCAAGACTGAACTAAATGTTATTAAACAATCATTGATTATTCGTGATCAATGTAAGAGTTAATAACTTCAAGTGTAAATGCATTGCAATATTGAGTTAAAATTGGAAAATAAAATTCAATTCAAAGTCGATTTATTTTTGTGTGAAAAAAAGTAAAATGACTTTCAAGTAAATATTGTGAAGAATGGCGACAAAATTGTTGATGATGAGGATTATGGATGCTCAAGATGATAATGAACATTTTGGCAAGAACCAATGCAAACACAATGTTAAATCAAAAAATGTAAGAAAATTGTGAGGATTAAAAATGGAAAATACATGTAAATATAGCAAATGAAAATCTGAGATGATGTATCTGGAATTTTAGTAGCGATCTTAACAGTCTGATTGCACTATTAGTGGATCTATTGAAATGTTTGCATCTTGGCGGTAATCGAACACGACTTTTGCAAAATCACGTTCGAGTTTATTTACATTTTTCCTCACCAAATACTCGAAAGCATCACGGTTGTCGAACAGGCTTTCATTTACCAGTTTCATGAGCTCCAAAAGAAGCTGCTCATCTCTTGGTTTGAAGAATCTATTTCGGTCACAAGCTTTGATTCCTTTCTGTCTTTTCCCATAAGAGTTACAGAAAGTTACATTTAGGTTCAATTCAATGTGAAAATTTTAATTAGTCAACTACTATTGTTCAGTTAATTCATCATTCAAATGAGATCTTTTTCTATCACCAATTTATCCTTTTGTTCAACTTTGCTATTTGCATTCAAGGTTGGCTATTAGCTGTTGATATTTGTTATTTCTGGATTTTCTTCGTTTCAACTGCGGAAATCAGATTCTTTGCAAATTCCTTCGCAGGTTAATATTAATTACCTAATAATAATCATTAAAACATCGACTAAAAAATCAAACATGGAATCAAACCTGTCATTGAAAGTCTATTTGAGAAGAATGATGATTGAATGAAATTGCTGCAAATAATCTCATCAAGTCTTTTATCGTCGATCCACTGAAAACATTAAATGTATACAAAAAAGCCGCTTACGAATATAATTGGTCCAAAATGTATTTAAAGCTACAGTAGAGTCTCCACTTACAGGGTGTTAAGAAAGTTCGTGTGTGGGGAAAAAATCATTCCCCTTGCGCATTAAACCCATTTTCTCTTGTTATGGTTAGAATCAATGTTTACATTTTTTTCAAGTAAATTCCTCTTTATGTAATAAGATGTTTGGTATCCATTTTTTTCAATTAACTCATTTATTCTTCTCGGAAGTGAATTGACTAGGGAAACAAGGTAAGCTTTATCAATATTGTTCCATGTTTCTGTTACCCTTATAACTCATTCTTCTTTATTCTTTGGTCTTGGTTCAACAAATATTGAATTTTGCAGCATTGCCCAAACATGCTCTATGGGGTTGAGATCAGGCGAGCCGCCAGGCCAAATTCCGATGCCCCAATAATTATCATCAATTTGTTCCTCAATTAATTGAATAGATTTTTCAGCAGAATGGCAAGGTGCACCATCCTGCATCAACATGGCTAATTCTGGATCCACCATTAGTTCTGGATTTTTTAGTGCATTAAAATAAATAGGAAGAATGACATTTCGATAATAGTCATTATCAATTGTTATTTTATCTTTGATAATATGAAGATCAGTTTTACCAAAACCACAAATACCACCAGCAACCATGATTTTTATAGGGTGTTTTGGTAGAGGAAATTTAGGAAATTTTTCTGGATTATCAGTTCTGAAACGAAAATTTTGAGCATTCGGAGCTTGATGCAATTGAATCCAAGATTCATCAGTGTACAGTACATGTAATCTTCTTAGCTCACCATCGAAATTCATATCACAATAACCTTGCTTCAGTAGATAAAGGGCAAAATATAATCTATCATAAATATTTCCATCACTCAAGATGAATGTCTTTTTCACTTTGTAGGCGACTTTTCCCCAGTCTGTTGACTTAGCATAATTTTGAATAGTTGTAGTTGAAATTGTTTTTTCTTTTGATTCAAAATGACTAGATAAATTCAAATTTTTTGCACACTTTCTTATTGAGCTTACAGAGGTTTCCTTTAATTCATTTGTAATCATCTTTTGGGTCTCTGGTGTCACTTTGCTTGGTCTGCCTGAACGTTCCATATCATTGAGGTTATCACGTTTAATCCACTTATAAACAGTATTCACATGAATATTTAAATTTTTTGCTATAGCAGGCGCCGGTAAACCGGCTTCATGGTAACCTTTAATTTTAGCTCTAATAATTAACTTATCCATTATTCATTTAAACACAAAAATTAACAAAGACTATTACATATACTCAAAGTCAGACGATATGAGAATAGAATTTGAAAAAACCGCTATTTCTTAGCGCATTTTGAAACTCCGCCCCTCACACGAACTTTCTTAACACCCTGTAAGTTGTACAAATTTTGATGGGCGACATCTAACGGAATAAATTTATGGCTAAATTTTGAGACTTTTGTATGGGTTTTGACACATTAATAATTGATTAAAGATGGAAACCGTCTTTTATCATGCAATTTTGGAAGTATTTCGTTGAATAATTCCATATTTGAGGTTCAATTCACTTCGATTAAAAATTGCAAAATTTTTGATTCTCATAAATTTGTGAAAAACATTAACCCGCTAGGTGGCAACCTAACAAAAATACAACCTAAGTGGGTACAACTTAAGTGGAGACTCTACTGTAATACTTATTGAGAAAGCTGAGTACGCATAAAGGATTGTCCTTCATTTCGGTGGATGATGTATTAGGGTCTAAATTACTGTTGATCCAATGATGGTTGCTCTTCAAATATGTTCAATATAACCAGTACAGTGTAAATGTGATTATTTGCCAGTTACTTTATGGTTACAAAACTTAAGCGCCAATATTGAAAACATTTTAACGTTTTTCACGCCATCTATTAATTGAAATAAAAGCTCAACATTTTCTGATTCACTTTTAAATTTGCCTCTTAAAGTAACCAAAAATCAGTGTCTAAGCAACATCAAGTGTAACCAAAAAACCAGATTAACCTCTCGTCGTCAATGCCATTTCTTTAACTGTGCTTTAAAGGTAAGCTTCATTTGAAAGGTGAATCTGAATGAGCGTTAAGATTTGGGTTATTTTCAGCAAAGAAGATGCAGAAAAATCGTTCTGCGCTAAGGCTCTAAAGTAAATCACAATTTTCAGTTCCGCTTCACTCTTCTGTTGAATGAAAAGTTTCAATTTATTATCCAAAAAGTATTTTTGCTAAGGAGTAATGGTAAAAAAATGAAACATTTTAGTGGTTGGTGGGTTTGTATGATCATGCAAACTGAGTCTTGCAAAATTTCTCAGATCGACAATTTTCGATTTAATCGAGGTCAAAGTTGAATCTTGGATCGCCTTGTTCAATTATGGAAGCAGAAATTGCGTGAAACTCAATTTCCTGACAAAACTTTTGATGGTCAACCAGAAAATGAACTTATTTTGAGTTATAAAATTTTATCTTTTTCAATACAACAGGTCAGTTCGATTGTTCAGTTCAACCTTCCCTTTCTGTGATCGTAAAATTACAAGCTGAAAGTTATCATTCATCGATAAAAATTGTTGATACACATCAACGATTAAACAGTTTTCTTGATTTGGCCACTGGCCTAAAAACTTAGAGTTTCAATATTCCGATAATGGTAGCTCGATTAGAAGTCATTCGCAAATGCTTCGTAATTATAGCAAACAAAAGGGACTAATCCACGAGTTAGAGAATACGAAAGGTCGAAATTTTAACACAAAAGTTTAACAATAAGTTGTAAATCAGTACAAAAGAGCTGAAAACAATTACTATGATTTAATGGCGAATATATTGAATTGAATGAAAAAGAAAGTTAATCAACGCGAACCTAACCTAACCTAACCTGAAACAAAGCGATCAAGACAAATGACCAGTCATTAGATTTTGTTATGGACTGAAATAACATGGCTGAATACCTAATCTGAGCTAATTTATCCTTCAAATAAATGATAAAATTTGTGTGTTGAGTAATCAAGAATCAAATCTGACAACATAATGCAATAATTTTTTTCTGTTGGATCTTGAATGATCTGAAATTTCAACATAAGAATGATCTCTGAAAATTAACGAAAAAACTTGAGCATAATTTGCTCTAATTTTTTCACCCAAACCCATTCTGCTTAAATCTTTTTTCTCAATTTAACCAACACCGAGCGCGATAATTGAGTTAAGTAAATGAATTGTGATTGTATTGTCATTCGATACAATTCATTTTTTTCTGAACACTTTTTCACCAACAGTTTGTCAATCACTTTCATCAAGAAAATACATAATTAAAGACTTATAGATGGCACTGAAAATTTATCATTTCATTTAAATCTCAATTATTGCATGTTCAGATTCACACAGCCATTCAATGTCGATAAATGGTGCTTTATTATATCCTGTAATTGGGTGTTGAAGTGAAGACACACAAATAAGATACATTTAATGTTGACTCTAAATTAGCCTATTAACTCAATTCTCACGTATCAATCAAGGTGCAAGATTGATAAGTAAATTGTAGCTGCTCGGGACAATTCGTTGTCTTCAACTGTCAACCTTTTTGTGTTGAATCCATTTCTCCAATGCATCATGTTTAAATTGTCTTCTGATTTATTCTAGTCACACTGAGCGATTGAGAAACAAGTATCCGTCGACATTGTACCAAATCAATGTTTAAGCCAAAAAGTCGCGATAATAGTGGCAAGAACCTTGGACTCTGCAAACGTTGAAAATTACTCGATTTAACTCGACTCTGTCTTGTAGAAAAAAAAATAGTTTAGCAAATTGCATTTAAATAATGATTAAAGTAGCTGAAAGTTAACCCAGAAAAGTTAATAGCTCATTGAATGGTCTCCAATACAGGAATTATTAACTGTAATATTAACTGCAGCCATATTGGTAAACTTGATGATTCCTCTAATAATGGTGATTAAAATTTCGATCAACCGAAGGACAACCATTTGGCTTCTGATTAACTTGAAATTGCCACCTTACAAATCTCCTCTTTTCCGTTGACTACCAGGTTGGTGAGTGGACCAGCCACTTGTATTAATAATAGTGGTTTACCGGATGAAAATTAACGCAACCTTCACCGAGAAAAATACATATTATACTGATTAATCAACTGGATCGAAAGATCAGAAATGGAGTAAACAAGAAAAAAATCATGATAACTGTTAATTGGGTAAATAGTGAAAGTTGTTTTGGGGAACACTTATTGCATAAAAGATCAGCTTCTATTGATATAATATGTAACTGTTGCTTAGCTCGAGATTTACCTGATCTTTGTTGATCTCCTAATCTTAAAAACTAATTATAATCATAATTATAAGGAAAAAAATGGCAAGGGTTAACATTTACAAAATGTTAAGGAAATATTTAGGAGAAGGAGGTGTTTGTAATGGCAGGAGAGAAGGTGATTTTCAAGTAAAGGTAGAACAATGTTGTAAATAAGTGAAAAAATATACTTACATGAAGGAGTTGACGGTGATAATAGTTCGATTGTTTAAATCACTGACACTGAAAATGATCAACTATAAAATGACTTGGTTCAACATCGAAATCAAGTAGAAGTGTTTCGACTCTTGTAAAGACAACAACAAGCAACATTCAATTCAAAGTTAAACTCTTATTCACATCCAACATGTTCTTTGTTAAGGTGAGCTAAGAAATGAACTGTGATAAGTCAATGGTTTATTTTACTTTATTTTATTTTTTGTTTCGTGTGCAAAATTTTCTCTTTCTTTCAAAGTGATTTTCTTTGTGACAATTTATTCTAAATTCAACTTTCTTTTTGGTTTCCATTACAGTTAACTTTCATCTGTGCTCTCGTCGTTGCCACCGCAATGGCCAATGGTTGGGATAATTGGGGCAAAAATCACTGGGGTGGTTGGTCTTCTTCTTATGGTCCTTCACCATGGAGCAATGATTATGGATACAAATGGTCAAACAAGAAGGCTTCAGTTTTCCATCACCGAAAAGGCATGTTTTATTCATAAACATTATTCTGTGATCAATCGCATTGTTTCCCTGTGATATTAATATTACAACTGTTTAACTGCTTTTCATTCCTGACAATTTGGTGCAAATAAGTGTTAAGTGTTACCAGTAAACAAAAAGATTAACTCATTTATTGGAAATTTAAGTGTATAAACGTCAAAATTAGCAGTAAATAAGACATTGAACCCACAACCAGATTGAGTCAGGATTTCCCTCGCTTCTGGAGATTGCCATTTTGTTTATCGTTCATGTCTTTTCATTTCCAACATTTCCAATAGCAATAATGATTAACAGTTGCAATATCGGTGATGGGTCTAAACAGGAAAAGTTGAAATAGAAAAAGATAAATCAGCAAAAGCAAATGAGCGCCAAGACAAAATAGCAATTGATACAAATCTATAAAAAGGTTTAATACAGAAATCCGTTTATACAGAGTGGTGATTTAGTTTAGGCACACAAAGGAGGTTCATTTGAAAAATTTCATTATCGATAGTTTTCCGTAAAATCACGTTCAAAATTGAAAATTGGTTCAATTTTTTGCAGTTATTGGCAAATAAGTCGAAAAAATGGCTGATCATCAGTTTAATTGGTGAACATGAGTTTCAATCCTTCGATTAATTGTATAAGTGTCAACTTTTTTCTAGTCTTTTTGCTCATTTGCTTTGGCCGTTTAGTCTTTTGCTGTCTTCAACCAAACCTCTTTACCCAAATATCTTTTCAAGACATTTTAAATCTTTGTAAATCAACTTTTAAAATCTAATTTGTCTTTTTCTTCTATTCACCTGACAGGAACTCCAAGCTGGGGATGGGGACATGACAAGTGGGGACACGGATGGGGACACGATGACAAATGGGGATGGTCCGAACCTAAATGGGGCGGTAATGATCATTTCGTCTATGGTGTTAAGGTCCATCACGATGTCCCAAAGAAGTGGGGAGGCTGGGGATGGCATTAAATGAACCACTTTCCAACCTGATACCCTTAACCGAAAGTTCTTGGTGAAAGCAGAAAAACCCAAATATTTATTCTCAATTAGGATTAAGCAGTTATCTACTCAAACCTTCATGTCATTTCGTATTATCTATATTTTTTCACCCAAAGCAAATTGTAATATTTCATTCTAATCTAATGTAAAATAGTCCATCAAAATTAAGTAATAAATTGAGCATTTGTTTTTTACCGAAAAGAAAAAAGATTTACCCATTTACCAATATTATAATATTACAACATTACAATATGTTTTGCTGATAAAAATATTACATTTTACGAGTTAAGGTTAAGGGTCAAGGGAAAAAGAGGAAAATGATGAAAAGGAAGATGATAATGCTGAAGATGATGAAGAGACAGAAGATGACGAGTCAATGGTAGCAATTCCAGGTATAGATGAAGACGAGGATGAAGATGAAGATACCTTTGAAGATGATAGAGAAGATGAGAGGGAAGATGAAAGAGAAGATGATAGAGAAGAGGAAGCGGATATGGGTGAGGAGGAAGAATCAGGAGTCCGAGAGTCTGTTGAAGGTGTTGCTGGAGGGTTATCAGTAACAACATTATTATTCATGTTAATATTATTGTTATTACTGTTGATGTTATTATGAAAATGTGAGAGATGCGAAGGTGGATGGTCAGAGGATGAAGAAGGTGAAGAAGAAGAGGAAGATGATGAAGACGAAGAAAGGCAATTGTTGAAGGAACAATGAGAGCCATTTAAATTGTTGGCTGGGAAAGCAATTAAAGTTGATCTCGGTGGCTCCATGCACTTCTTATTACTAGTTCGCAGTCCATTAACGGTTGGTGAATTAAATAATTTAGCCTCAAATCCTAATAATTGGCCCATGAAGTTAAAATTGGGTGAAACAATTCGCCGTCGTGATTTAACAAACTCATAAGACTCTTCCATCCGTAATTTTTTGGTTGCCATTAAATAAGCCATGCATATTGTTGCTGATCGACTGATTCCAGCTCGACAATGAACCAACACCTTACCATTTGATTGCTTGATTGAATCTGTTGAAATGGAAGAGAGAAGACGAAGAAAAGGTTAGAAAAAATACGATAAATTGAAAAATCCCGCTGATTCCAATTGGTATTGACAAAGGAAACGCAAATGGATAAATTAAATGGAAACAATGGCAATAATAATTGATTATGTATCAATACATTTCTCTCTAACTTTATCAAGTGTTGATGACAAAATTGACGTAAATTGATAATACTATTAATCATGAGAATAGAAGGAAAAAAAGTATAAGAATTGATCTGAACAAATGAGAAGAAAAAAGTAACTCAAAGAGAGTGGGAGAAGTAATATGAATTAGATTATCAGTGGGATATTATTTCAGTTCAAGACTGAACTAAATGTTATTAAACAATCATTGATTATTCGTGATCAATGTAAGAGTTAATAACTTCAAGTGTAAATGCATTGCAATATTGAGTTAAAATTGGAAAATAAAATTCAATTCAAAGTCGATTTATTTTTGTGAGGCAAACAAAAAAAAAGCGAAATGACTTTCAAGTAAATATTGTAAAGAATGGCGAGAAAATTGTTGATGATGAGGATTATGGATGCTCAAGATGATAATGATTATTATTGGGAAGATGGAAAATGAAAAAAGAATAGAAATTGCAACTGAAAGTTTCACAAGACACACACACACACACACTCACACCACAGGGAAGTAGACAAGAAATGAGATATAAATATATCTCTATAGATACAAGAGAAGGGGTTAAGCTGAAAATAGTATTGGAAAAAAGTAAGACGAAGATGATAAACAAGTGGGTGTTTGATTCTTGTTTTTGCTCTTCTCATGATGATATGAATGGATGATGAGGAATCATCAGTTTCATCTATTGGGTCACAGTCCAAGGGTGAAATATTCATCATGACTAAATACCGCAAGACCGGAAATGATTATCGACCATGAAGAGTGAGTGAAGAGAGAAAGTTGAGAATGAACAAGAGCATGCGAAAGGAAGATGAGACCAAATATGAAAGGAGGAGGAGGATGATGATGATGATCATGGTGGTGGTGAGGGAGTAAGAGTCACAAGTATACAGTTGGAAGAAAGAGCCAAGAGAAAAGGTAAAAAGACAGAGAATGAAATGTTTTGCTTGAATTGAGTGAGCTTCTGATGGAGACACTTTTGGATCGATAGAGAGGACCTGCTTCATCATCATCATTAACATCAACAACATTTTTCTTCCCTCATCATCATCCTTCTCTTTCTTTCCTTTCTCTTTCTCTGCTCATGCTTTTCTCTCAATGAAAAACCTTTTTTCATTCATAAATTTACTCTTGCTTCTCTATCGATCCATTAACCTTACAGTTTGTACAAACGAGTAAAAAAGCAATGAAAGGCAAAAAACAACAACAAAGTCTTTCTGCTTCATCTTTTTACTTCTTCTTTTTTTCAATGTTCAAGATATTCTTTGATATCAATTTATTCTGTTTTTCTGACCACATTTCACTGCTTCCCCTTAATATGGTTTCACAGGCGAAAGTGAGAGATGAAAGAAACAATCAGATGAAATTCAAGAATCATGTTTATGTATTTACTCTTGTAATGATTATCCTTGTTTGGAAAGAAAAAAATGTCTGAAATGAGAAAAGTAAAAAAACTGGTTCCTTTTTTGAAACTTGATTTTTTTCTCCAAGAATTCAATTCTGAAAGTTCAATTGATAAATTCAATTTCAATTGTATTTTCTTTCTCTCTTTATCTACCTATTTTCAAGTTTAACATTTGAATCAATGGGTGTCAAATGTTGATAATTGAAAGTTGATTTTCAATTTAGTTACACTAAGTGACTCTCTGATTCTTGAATAAATGTCAAAATGATTCAAGATTAAGGATTAAGCAACCTTAATAACATGATTAACTGAGAAATGGAGCAATTCAGTAATTTGGTAAATTGTGATAAATGGTAATGAAAGGTGTTAGGGAAAAAGCACAATTTTGAAAGACACTTTTCAACTTTTTTCCAGTTTTCACTCAACATGTTCATATTGATACACTTTACATTGGCATTAAATGTTTACTCAAGTATCTAAGTTTGACAATAAGTTGAGTGATAAAAGATGAAGAACCCAAATTTAGCATCGCTTGTTGTTAATTATTTTGAGTGGCTCAGGTTAAATATAATAACATGAACAATCTCTTTTTTTGTTTCCTTCAGTTTAATCATAAATATAATAACATTAGTCGGAAAATATGGTGAAAAGTGTGTGCGTTCAGATGATGAGATGAAGATAAAACAACATCTCATTAAGGCATTTTTTCTTCTTCTCAACACATTATCATGAGTTTCACTTGAAACTATTTTCTCTCTTCTCTCTCTAGATGAATAAGTATAGGCCGGAAGCAGTCATGATGATGATAAATTTGTTATAGGGTCAAAGCTGATTGAATCAGTCAGGATAAAGGTAAAAATCAAGTTGAAATGTTAGTCTGGACAAGTGGTGAAGGTGCAAGCAAAATGTTATTATAAGTTGACTTAATTTAGCCGAATGAATCAATTAAAATGAATTAAGGAAATAATTGATTGCTATTGGAAAATAAAAGTTCATTTCCTTCAATACTTTTCATGATTCATTCAAATGATTTTCATTAGATTTTCAAGATTATCTTTCTTCTGTTTTCCTGTTGTTTTTTATCCATTGATCTACATTGTAATTACAGAAGAGCAATCAGAAATGAAATTGACGAAAATTACCTTTTCTTCATTTGACCCAGTTTTTCTTGTTTTACACATTCATTCATCTCTTTCTCATCATCTTATTTCCTTCAACATTTTCATTCACTAATCGATATTTCTTCTTCTTCTTTCAGGTTCATCTTCCATTTTGTTTGTTCAAATTTTTGCTTTGCGCCAAATCAAAATTACAAATGTTGATTGAACAGATTTGTTCAGAGCCAACATCAACAATCATTATCAGTTAAGCGATCATTTTTTTCTCGTTTTTTTCACTAAACAGATTCTTCTTTAGGTTTAGATCAAGTTCAACAAGTACATTTATCATTCATCATTTGTTGATGTTAATATTTTAAGTAATAATATATATTAATGGTGTGCTTGTTCATCCTTCAACCATTAACATTGATAATTACGATGAAATAAAAGCGAAACAGAAATGGCTTCTTCTTCTTCAATATTGAATACAATCGTGAAGCAAACATTTTATAGATTAATCATGTAATTAAAAACAAGATGCAAGAGCAAAAGAGATAAATAAACAACATTATTACGGCTATTAAACTGATCATTGATAGTAACATGAGATTCAATGGAGAACATGATGAAACAAAAATTTGAAGCTCAGCTAACTTGATCATTTCAATTGTACAACTCATTTTGATTAACCTGAAAAATATGTGAAAATGATTAGCATTTTAATTTGAATGAAAAATAATTTGAAAAATAAACTGAGTTCAAGTTGAATCATGTTTTCATTACAATTTGCAATTTACTCTTGTTACTCAAAATGAACTTTATCGATTGGTTTATCACAGTTGAACTGAGTAACAGACTTTTTCATTGATAACTTTTGATACACTAAAATAGTTTCAGAACTGGCCTTGACCTGAATAAAGCTTCTATAGTGAGTATACATGATCAACATGATGGTTAACTGAATGACAATAAAGGTGAATGAAGATGGAGAAGAAGATGCAAGAGGAAAGATTTTGTCTCAATTTTTTCGTTCTGCTAATAAAATTAGCATGATCTTGACCTAAATTGTGTGTTTTTTTACATTGCAATAAAATAGTAAAAGCAAAAAATTGAAATGAATGAAAACTGTTGTCAATGAAGATTCACGAAATTTGGCAGAAAATGGAAAACAGAAGGAAATTGTTTCAATGAATTGTCGCTGAAGAGATGTCAAGAGAATTGGATAGAAAAATTGTGTTAAAAGAAAAGTTGAATCAATTTCATTTTCTCATGATTGCTTTGACTAAATCCATAAATAGCTATTCTGTTGATTAGTAATTAAATAACCAGTTAACTTTTGCTTTAATAAAGTGAACCTCCCTTCCTTTTGATATTATTTACACCATAAACATTGAGTTCATGGTAACAACGTTGAATGTATTTATATTCATTATTGTATAAACATAAAAGTATGCACATGACGTGGTTGCCAATGAAAAACCGTTGGCTTTTGCACAGGAACCGTTTATCTGGTTGGTTTCAACTAGATGTTCATGTGAGAAGGGAAAGAGATGAGGAAAAGGCGCAAACAGAGATTTGCTTATAATGAATGGAATCAGCAAAAATGAGTTAATTAGTAAAATAAGTAAACAAAACGATTTGTCCGGTTGTTTGACAACGGATATGATGATAAAAAAAAACGACGGAAGATGAAGACCAAAAAGCTATCTAAAAAGGTATTTCCGTGGTTATGCGGTTTCCCGGTAAATCACAGACCAAACCCTAAAAGCACTCTTGAAACACACAGACAAAGTAGGTCAGAAAGAGAGAAAGAAAGAGAGAGAGAGAGTCCGTACTTCCGATTCTCGTCTCTCTCCATATGGTTAAACTTATTGATGACATTGATTTAAGCGGATAAAAAAGGTTGATGAGAAGCCCAAGGAGTTCGCAACCAACACAAACAACAAACATCACGCTATTAGCATTTTATGTGATGACCCTTGGAAGAAGCTCTAAGGGAGAAGAGAAAGAAAGAGCAACGGAAGTGCTAACCTGGTGGTGGACAGGATAACACACGGTTAATAACCATAAATGTTGTACAATCTGTTGGCTAAATCAAGGCAACAGCAAGTATTCAGTGAGTTTACGAAACGATATTTTTAAAGTAATTTCAAATTTGTTGCAATGGTTTTTATATTACTTGTTATTCATGCTGCAATCAACGTGACATTTAGCGTATTATATCACTAATTTATTATCAAAGGAGTGAAAAATTGAGAGAGGATGGTTGGTGGAATGATGAAGCTCGGTGAAATTAGAGGATAAAGGTATTGGTTGACTCGCCCAACATTGAAAATTGTTTGTCACCCTTTCAACGATTGCTGCTGTTGTTGACATGAACGAGGCAAACAATGTCTGAACAATGTTTGGACTGTTGTTGATGGCCATGTGAATGAACAACAAAAAGGAAAGCTTTCCTTGTCATATAAACATAAGTTGAAGAGGAAGTCAGTGCAATATGGGCGATGTGTTAATAGGTTTTTCCTGTGTGACCATTTTTTTGCTTCTCACTAACTGTTTCAATTTTTAAACATAAATATATTTTTACAAAATGAGTAAACCTTTTAATTGGTTTCAATGCAAGAAGAGGCCAAGTAACAATTAAGGGAAAAAGGAAAAAGTGATTGAACAGACAAAGCTATTAATATCAGATTATGGTGAAGATTAGGATTAGAGTATTGGAGTGAAATTAAGGGAATCATTAAAATAAATTAATGGTTTCAAGAAAAATGGTCAAAGTAAATATTTTACCCTTTGAGTGAGGAAAAGGGTTAAACGTTTCCGATTTTTGAGAGAGAGAGAGAGAGAAAGAGGATGAGAAATGTCTGAGGCAATTTAGAATGAGAAAGATGAGGATGAAGATAGTTAAGAAGATGAAGAGAAGGAGAAACGGAAGATGGATAACGGCTAGATTTTAGCCGGATGAGGATGCCCGAGACTCCCAAGGAAATAACGGTTCTCATGGGCGGAAGAGAAGAAAGAAATGTGATGATGATGAGAGAAAGAGATAGATAGATTGAGGTAGAGAGCGAAGCTGACCACGCGTCGGAAGCGGAAATGTTGATTCTTCACACCGGAAACCATTCGCAATATTTTAACCGACCGTGATTTTTGTCTCTATTTTTTACCAACTCGTCAGTTAAAAAAGTTATTTCAAGTTTATTGTTGAAACCTATTTTCTGTGCTTCTCTTTGCTCTCTCTTGGTAATATGTGAGAATGAGTCAAATTTTGGCAAAAAAAAGACTTCGATGGCGAGTCAATTGAGTGTAGGCCAAGTTAATATTAGACCATGGGAACAAGTAAAAAATAAGGAGCACGAATGGGCCAAAGATTGAGCACACATTCACTAAAAGGTACCCATTATTAGCATAAAAAACACAAACGGCTGAAAAAAAGAAAGTAATTTGTTTAAAAAAGTTATCGTTAATAACTTTTTTTTTGTTTCAGTCAATGACAATTTCCCAAGTGAAAAGACTTTACAAATGTTCAAAGAATTTGTTTTTTTGCTCAATTTTTGGCTCATCTTTTCATCTCATTTAACATTCAACAATAATTTTCATTGAGAAATGATACAATTCAAGCTTTCTTTGTTTCATGATTTGTCCATAATTAAGACTGAATAGAATTTGGTTTTTTAAAGAAATCATTTTTTTCTTCTTCTTATTGCCATTATTTAATATTAATTTTGGGGAAAAGAAACTTACCGATAAAATCAATTGCTTCGTCAAACCATAAGCTAATCTCTTCGGAACTTGAATCCTCAACTGGAATACATTTATAGATAAATGTATCTTCAAAATAGTTGGGACAATTTTGAGACACATTCAGTAAAGCCGTGATTCCTAACTTTTCCAAGTTACGTTTACATGAGGCATGATAACCACTCCCAAGATAAAGGTAGGGTAATATTTCTACAGGTTCACCTTGATCACTTTCACGAGTAACTAAATGAATTGAATTATCCATATAAAGTGGACCATAAATGGTGTTTAATGCTTTGGGTGTTCTCGGCGAGTGATTACCCTTATAAAAGCTACCCACGGTGGTTCCATTTTTAACCGTTAACCAGGTTAAATGACCGGCAGACGGACTTTTAATCAGATTAGAGTAGCCTGGTGAGATAAGGTGTCCATTTCGTGTACAAGAGTTGGGATAACGATGTGCAAATTGTTGATAGCCTCCTACAATAGAGTGAAATAAATGAAAGCAAAATGAATAATTGTGTTTCAATCATTTAACCAAAATGGTTTTTTTCAATCAAATCTTTAGGTTTGCTAAGAGAGTCAAAGGAACCAAAAAAACTATTGTAACCTTTACAGTATTTATGTGCCCTTTTCAAGATGAAAAATGGGCAAAAAAAGTGAAGAGAGAAACGCAAAAATTTCTTCTTCTCTCTCTCACTCTACCTTTGTTTAATCATCATCTTATTACTTTTAAGTGTGTGAGTCTTCAACGCCACATGGCTATGAATGTTGAACAAAAAAAAACAGCACACCTTAGACTGTAAGAGGCCCAGGAACTTGATGTAATCATGATCATCAAGTAACAAGAATCTTAGGAATCCAGATAAACCAGAAAACAGGTAAATGTATAAATATAAAAAATAGGAACAGGAGCGTGCCCAAAGAAGATAAAAAAGAGAGGATTTTCATTTTAAGCTAAATCTCTTTTTTTACAGGCTTTACTTTGCTTCATTTAACATGTCTTTTAATGATCGGCACTATTGAATAAAAGATACTCTCAATCATTATCATCTCACCATCATCATCATAATGAAAAATGTGGCTCTCTTGCTGAGTGAATGAGAGGGAGAAAGTAGCTCTTCTACTCTATTTTATGAATGAAAATGTTTATTGTTACAATCAAGCTTATTTTCACGATGGTTAGTTACCTTTTAGCTCTTCTCTCTTTTCTTTCTCACTCTTTCAGGTAAATGAGTGAGTGAGTAAAATTGAGTAAGGAAAGAAAGAAGAAGAAGGAAAAAGAGACTTTCCTTCTTCTCTTCAAATTACAACTTCATTCATAAAATCATCCTGCTTCAAACAGGTTTTTGCTTTGTTTTGTTATTTATTTTTTTTCATTCTTTTCTTTTTTTCTTAGCACTTTTTCGTGACATGTTTATCTTCAATCAACATCAATATTAACATCATCATAATCCTTCTCCATGAGTGGTCAGAAAAACTATTGGAATTTCAATTTGCCTTGCAGCTTTTTTGCTTCTTTTTTCTTCTCTTCTTCTTCTTTTCATTCATTTCAAACCGTTTCTCATGCATAGTAGTAGTAATAGCAGTAGTAGTAGCAGTAATGGTTGTAGTTATCAATTGAAAGACTCAAGAAACTGCACGGATTATTTAATTGTTTTTAGTGGAGAAAAGAAGATGAGAATTGTTTTCTCTCTCTCTCCATTAGATGAAAAGTTACATATTTGGAAGAGAAGGAAAAGTGAAAAAATTCATGTCGAGAAAAATGGTAACACAAAAGGAGAAAAAACATGAAACGTTTTTCTTCCTCTTTCCGAGAAGCCGAAGTATAACAATAGTTGAATGTTTTCTTCTCTTCTCTCTTCTCTCTTTCTTTCTCTCTCTTCCTCTTCTTTCTCTAGATTGTATGATAATCTATCACTCAAACGGTGGTGTTGAAAAAATTTATTCATTGTCAGAATCTTGGAATTGAATGAAATCTTCTTACCTTTAAGGATGTAGATGAACTCAAGACTGGTTTCTTGCTGTAAGCACCTGGCAACAAAGCCACATGTAGATTCACTTGAGTTTAAAATTGAATCCTCATAGAGTATAACTGGGAAAAATTGTCCAGCAATCAATCTTTCACGGACAACAATATCGGTGATAATTGTCTTCAATGGTAGTCGACCTCCAGTTCGTCGTCTTTAAACAATAATAAAGACAGATTGGTGATGGTTTGTTGATGAAAATGATGGTAATCAGGTTAATCATAAGGTGATGGTAAATTATCATGAGATAATATCAAGTCAAATGGGTATGCAGATGAGAGAAAAAGAGGTCCAAAAAAGAAAAAGATTGATTTTAAAAGGTAAATCGATTGTGGATTTGGGTAAAGTAAGAAATAACTGATTGAAAGAGGATCAAAAGAGAGGACAAGTTGAAGGTTAATAGATAAATATTTATGGAAAATCTTACCTAAGGATTGGTGGACAATGAACGTTAATAGCGTTTACTATATGAGATTCATTGTGAGCAAGGAAAGGTCGACAATCAATGACCAGCATAACATTTGATTTTGTTTTCAAATATTGTTCCAATACTTCACATGAGATATCAAAAATATTGGTAATAGAATCACTATGCATCACCATATTCTCACTGTCCATCATAAATAATAATAATACTTATCTAACACAGATAAATTTTACAACTGATGATGTTGATGTGATCTTCAATTTTAAGTTACATTTTCGTCTCAAGTTTATTTTGGTTTTGGGTAGCGATTAAAGCGCTACCTACTTAACCTAACAGTTTTCAAAAGCAGCGCCACCAGGTGATACTTATAATAACTGATTACATATGTGTGCTGAAGCTGCCCTCTATGGAACGGTATACCTAACATGTCTACCGATTTTGTCTATTCTTGTTTAACTTGATCATCTTCAATAATAATGAATTTCATCTCAATTAATTCATATTTTGTGAGTCGGATTCCACAGTTTGATTGGACAAGGTTGTGTTTATTGGATGATATAATTGATCTTAGTCTAGGTTTTTAGCTGTTCAAACCTGTTTAGTGATCGGAGGTTCATGATTGCTATGTTGAAGGATTAACGTGTTCATTTACTCAATTTATGCCTTCAATTCATTGTTTTTCATGTTGGTTAAATCTTTAATATTTTAAGTAAGTTCATTCATGACTTGATTGATTTATTTGAAATGTATTGTCTTATAAAGTCAACTTGACTTTGCCAAGCAATTTACAAAAATATGAAACTTAATTTTTGTATTTCATTTTATTTTTCAGTGATTGTGATCTTGATTTGAACGTCGAAAATAAATTGTGAAATATAGAGTTTGGTTAATTTTCTTTTCTTTAAAAGTTCAATACACAAGTAAAATCTGGTGGTAATGAGCATGTACAATTGAAAGTTGCCTCTGTGACAAGTTTGCTTCCAATGTCATAATTGACTCCGTCAAAATAACATTTACCCGGAATTGGTGCAGGTCGAATTGGATCAGGAGCCGTACAATAATCTGTACATTGTTTCAGGGTATCAAAAGTATTAATTGAACCACCACAACCAGAATAAGTGAATGGAAGACATTGATTGGTTGCTGTATCAAAATGATAGCTGGTTACATTTTGTTCACAGTATCCATAATAATGTGCTTGTTTACAATGTTCTCGTCGCATTTCAAGAGATGGTGAAGCTATTCAATGGAAAAAGTAAGTATTTTCATCATTAATGATAAATTTAAAACGCAAAATGGCTAATTAGTGTTTAAAAATCTACTTACGACAGTGAAATTGCGAGTAACAACAACCTGATGGAAGGTAAACTGGTAAACAACCGTCATCCAACATTTTGGTATTGAAGTAGCACGTATGTTTGTGACAAGCTGGATTATTCTTAACGTTCATTGGATTGAATTCGGATGTACAAGAACATGTGTAACAATCTGGTAATTCAATTTGTTGTCCCTCCATGTAAGTCTTACCCTCATAGGAGCAAGTAACCATAGGCTTTGGATCCGACAAGTCTCGAGGACAACGTTTTTCTCCACAACACTGGCCAGGTCTAAATGAATAATAGCATGTCTGATTGATTATATCAGCATCAGGTGGACTGAATATCTCAGGACATTCAACATGAGCGCAGGATATTTCCGCTTCCATATTTGCCGTTACCGATCCATGACATCGACATCGATTGCAAGGGTTAGGAACTCTAATGTCTCTATCAATGTCATAACTCTCTCCACCATAATAACACTCTAAATTGAAAAAAAAGTCAGTGATCAGTTTAAAAAGTGCTTTGATTCATTTATGCATCAATTGAAGTTGTGTGATAACAATTATAACTAGGCTGGAAACTAGGTGAATTGATGTTGATTGATTAAGATATCAGTATTTGATAAAAATCATGTTCTTAGCAAAAAGTATTGATCTATTTTGTAATAAAATGCTTGTCGTTGAATTTGTGAAGAGGGTTTTTGCAATCTAACCGGAAAATTGGGTTAAGTGTTTACAAATTTGTAATGATAAAATTGACATATCATTTCAAATAGTCACCATCGATAAATATCATTTTCATTGATTAAAGAAATATGATACATGTTTTACATCCTAAACTAACTATTTTCTATTTACCTTTCTTTCAGCAAAATCATGGTTATTGGTGAAAAATATAACAGGATGAAATGGAAATGGTAATTTACTCACTGTTTGCTTCTCTCTGAATGGATGGACATTCAAACCGTTCAACGCAATTCGGGCATCCAACCCTTAAAATAGGATTACATCCACGAGCAGCATAATGATGAGTGAATTTCAATTCAGGACAGTTCTCACAATTTGCTGGACCTGATAATTATTAGAAAAAATAGTTAATTAATACGAGTAAATTGATAAATAACAACAAACCTGAAATGGACGTTGAAGCAGCAAATGAAAAGAGTAATGGAATTGTCAGCAAGTGTTGATAAATCATTTCGGTGAAAATTTGAGCCTAGATGGGACAGCAGTTTGTAACTATTTCACTACCAACTAAACAAGTTAACCAGTTTAAACAGAAAGGTAATTATTTCTAATCCCGAGTGAGACTATGTTAAAACTGTGTTGATGGTAATAACGATCCAAGTGAGAATAAGGAGGAGGAGGAGAATAAGGAGGAGAGACAAGTAAGAGATGTAAGAAGCTGAAAATTGAAATTACCAGATGAAACAAAAAGCTATCTTTCTCCTTAAAAAAAGAGTTTACCTCTCTTTTTTAAAAATATTACTTTCAATTTCTCTTTCGCTTCTTTCTCTCCTCTCTTTTCCCCTCTCCTTTCTTCTCACAGTATTTCCTGTGGCTTGCTTCTCACTTTCATCTGTCTCATAATTTTTGCTCTTTTTGGTGTTTACAGCTTAACAAGAACCGGATATTTGGGCTTTCATTTTGTCAACGGAAAAACCTTGAGATGAGAAAAGGATGAAACATAAGTTATAATGGAAAACAAAAGGATGTTCAATTAAAATACACATACTTGTTATACTCTTTTTCACCTTGTTTGCATCTTTTGTTATCATGTAAACTCTCATTCTTGTGCGATATTTCCATATTTTTGTGTCAATTGTTTCTTTCGCCTTGTCTTCCTTGTCTCGGCCTTACTTCATCAATGCTAATTTTTACAGAAATTTATTTCCATTATTGACCAACTTTTCAGGGTGACATCAACGCGAATCCAAATTCAGCCTTCACATGTTGGTTAGCTTAGGAATCAAATAAGGCATCAAATGAGCCACAACTGGCACAACTGGCAACATTTGCTGAAAGTTTACTCTCCGCCAACCTAGTCAATTATTGATTAGTCGAATTTAGTTTGATTGATTGATGTTCATAGCTGATCATCTTGACTTACCTTTTTCTTACACTTGTGCAAATCAACTTTTATCACACAATCATCCCTATTGAGGTCAATTGACATACAATTTCAAGGTAAATTAACTAGCGAGCTCTCAGAAGCCTGAATGAGGAAAAATTATCCATTTTGTTGAAACTAAAAGGCCAATTATAAAACTGAGAATATAACAAGTTACATCGTACATGGTAAACTTGAGTGAATTGCTCATGAATTATGCAATTTAATGGATTGAAGGATGTAATTCATCTCTCAATATTACAAGAGATGTTTAATTTTCGAATGTAATCAACAAAAAAAACTTCAACTTGTACTGAATTTCATTCCATTAGAGACACTTCACTAAAGTTCCATTGGTACAAAAAGTAAAGGGTAACATAATCTAATAGACCAATCTAATTGAAAGATTATTCTTACGTAGAACAAGATTAAATTTTAAATCAATTGATTGTCAACTAATGTTCACTGAATGATCGTGAAGTAAAGAAATAAACAGATTCTGAAATGATTGAACATCTAAAATTAAAACAGGGTTGGTGAAAACAAAGAGATTCCTCCATTACGTTGAGATATTGGTGAAAGCACATAAATAACAATACTAATGTTACAATAAAGCCAAATAATAAAGGTAAAAACAAATAAAATATAAATTAGTTTGCCAAGGAGAAGAGAAACATGAATGACCAAGAAGATGATGATGGTGATGATAATGATGATGGCAAATGATAAAGAGGAAGGCAGAAGATGAGTAAAGATGAAATAATAGCACACAATAGTAATGAGAAGGATTCAAAATACATTTATCATAATGGGAAAGCCTCTTAAACCACGTTTGTCATAACACAGTAAATAACATTGAGTATAAAAAGAGATTAACACTTTATATATCATTTTATTTGAATAAATTCTGGAAATTTGTTGAAAAATATTAATTTAAAAGCTAACAATCAACAATAAAAGAAACAAAAAACCCAATTAAGCGGCAAAAAACACAATGGTTGCCAATATCAATTGGATTGGATTGAGATTCAATCATTGAGTCTTCTAATCCTATCCGGACTTGACCAGTATTAAGATACTCTTTTTGATTAATCGTTTTGTTAATTTTAATGTCTTTTGATAATCGATATTAAACAGCAATCCCAAGTAATTAAAAACTGGTTCACTATTAAATCTATTCAAATCCATTGAACTGAAGAAGCAAACCATTTTCTTGGAGATAAAAGTGTTAAATGTAAACCATTAAATTATTAGATCTATTTTTGTTGATTACCGAGATCATTAATCATGCAAAGAATCTGATTAAATACAATTAAATTTGTTCCATTTACATGTTTAACCATAAATATTTGAAAATATGTATTAAAGACTGATTCGGTAATTTATTTTGTCCCCTTTATTGAGTTTAGCCAACAATATTAATCAATTTTGAAAGATAATCATTTAACCATTTCATTGTGTATTGTTAATTGTTGCAATTGTGTTCGTTCATTTTCATATTTCAAATGAATAACAATTTCACCGTTTAAATTGATTGAGTGATGAAAAATCAATGCAATTTAACTGTTTTCAGTCTCATTTTGTTAGTTAAATGTTGCCATAATGTAAATATTATGATAAAAGGTTTTCCCACTCAACTTGTATTATTTGTCAAAATTAATTATAACAATTTTCACTGTTCAGTGTTAAGGTTAAAATAGTAACTCTGATAATCCATTAACCAGATTAAGATGTAAAGTGAAACAATCAAGATAAATTGCTATCGATTATTTCATCATTCAACTAAATTGATTGTGAAGCAATGAGGTAAAAAATAGCGAGTTAACATTCAAAATCCCAGCAACTTTCCTCTTTATGATAATAAACAATGGAAAATAAAATTATCAAAATTTCGCTGCTTTTTCGCCTTTTCCCAATTCGCAGCTTGAAATGTTCAAAGAACGTTCAATTTTACAGAAAACTTTCAATAACAACTACATGTAAACGTTCAAAATCATATTGCGATCAACATTCAATTCGCTGTAAATCAATATCTTTACAAACATTGAAAAAGTAACGAAAACTCCAATCGGCTTGATTGCAGTCAAAAACAAAGTTAACATTTTTACTTTGGTAAACAATTCGATATCGAACCTCAGGTATTTCTGAAACTCTGAGTGAAGCTATCAAATATCGCCATTCCAAAGATTGAAAAAGAAGCCGGAACATAGAGAATCGAACGCAATCGAACATCTAATTTCGTAAAAACAGAAGTTTTTCGGATGAAATTTTCCATTGAATTCGCTATCAAAATCTTTCTATTCAACAATATTTAACGCATTTTGTACCTTTTAACTTTAAAATTGTTTAATTACAAAAAGAAGTTACAATAAAAATTGCATTTTTGATCTGAAAATGAAAGTTGGTTTTCAAGTTCCAATTGAGTCTCTAAATTCATTTCATTTTAATGAAAATAGCAATTTGCTTTTCGAATGCTTTTACCGTTTAAAATTAAAGTTTTCGGTTCAATTTCAGTTTTCATTTTGCTTAAAATTTGGAAAAGCTTTTTAGTCAATTTCACTTTTAACGATTCTAATGAGTTGAATGAGCAAGATTATAAAGTTATCATGATTATGATGAGCAGGGAAAAGATAAACAAAGTGACTGATGAGTTTCAAGTGTATTTAAGGTAAAAAGGGATTGAGTCTAAAAATGAGGAAACTATTCAGTTTCCGGTTAAAGATTGCTGTGCTTGGATAAGATATTATCAGGATTCCCTGATGGACAGGGATGGAATCGGAATGTATATGTTAAGGTTATAAAATGTAAGCCTTATCTTTTAACAACAATATCAAAGCTCAGATTCTTGATTGGCAACAAAATGATTCTCTCTTTATCATGTCCTTCTCCATGGATAAAACTTATGGCGTGAAGTGGTTTTTAAGAAGAAGAAGAAGAGCGAACAAGAAGAAGATCGAAAAAGTCAAATCTTTCCTTTCGTCAACTCTTTCATTATTAAAGGTTCCTAGCAACCAAACTGAATTCGTGATCTTCTTACTAAATACACACTAAAAGCTGAGTCCAGTCGTCTTTTGACACAACAAGAAGATGAAGATTGCAAGAGATTTCAATGAACAACAAATTTCTCTCTTCTTCCATGGTTAACCATATTGTCGCTCATTTTCACCAAGAAATGTTTCAATCCACCAATTTGGTCAAAAATAATTCTCACTCCCTGTTGATATAAACTCCAAGTTAAACAGTTTTCCTCTTCATTTACAAAGTCAATCAAAGTTCACTTTTGCTTCCCTTTTCATCTTCACCCTGATCTCCAGGTAATCACCAAAATGATACTTAAATTGACCCTCGTCAGACTAGATGTTTATATCTTCTCATCCTTCAGGCTTGTCCAACCATTCTTAGCATTTCATTGTTACTCTGGAAGAGGAAGAAGAAAAAGAAGGAAAAAAAACATTCATCTTGTATCAATTTAACTTTACTTTGCGATAATAAAAAAGCATCTTTTGAAAGCTTTTCTCTTCCCTGTCTTCATCATTATCTTATTTTTATTATTTGAACCTTTCTCATGGACCAACTTTGAATAACAATTCAGTCAACTGAAGTCAACCCACTGTGAGTTAAGTAATTTCAACAGCTTAACTTCATTCAGAAAAGGTCATTTTGCATTTGAAAATAAACGGTCAAAAATGTGAATCAGTAAACATGAAAGATGGAAAAAAGTTGAAGCAAAAAAGTTCATCATGAACATAATGAATGGAGAGAAAAAAAAGAGTTTCATTCTTTTCCTTTTCGCCTGCACTTAATCATTCCTTGAATCATTATTATTATTTAAAACTTGTATCTTAAAATGTTCAATAAAATGCAGATAAACTCAGCGTGAGGTTGACCATTGAATCGCCCTTGAATTTGCGATAAAACTTCAATTAACCAAACAGTGTGAAGTTGAACTTTTTTTCCCCCAACTTTCGACTTTTTCTTGGACAAAATTGTTTGATTTATCGATCGAGTTGATTAAAGGTTTAGCAATTAAACTGGTTTCTTTGAATGCTAATTGTTTCTGTGAACCTCTTTTTTCTTGTAAACCATTTTATTCATTTTAATCTTTTTGCGTTCACTTTATATCACATTAAACTGAAACAAAAAGTTGAAACCAGAAAATGGATATTATTTTAATTCATCCAAGTGGCACAATCAACTAATTTTATTGTATTTAATATACAGACAAATGGTTTGTCAAATTAATTACTCGGAATGAGTTGCAATGTTTTTATACACAAATATTTAGTTGAATCATCGTTAGCAGTGAATCAAATGGTTTGAAACTTTGCTCTTCTTTTCTTGTCGCTCTTCTTTTCCTCATGTTAGTGTGCTTTTTCCTGGTGAGAGGATGATGATAATGATAATGAAGAGGAAGATGGTGAAGAGGATTAAGAAGAGATGGAGAAAAAAAAGAGGAAAGATTAAGGCATAAGGGATGAGGGAAGAGAAGAAGATGAAGATTGGAATAAATGTTTTGATAAAGAAATGGGTAAAAGTATAATGGCTATGATGGATTGCCTTTAGCTTTTTGTTTGTTGCCATCAAAATACTTAAGTAACTTGAAAACAATTGCAGCCGTTTTGCCTTCCATTTTTCAAACCGCAAAACAATCCTGAATAACCATTCGAATCATTATCAGTGTCATTAGTTAATGGAAATGGTTTCAATTCAAATGATGCTCATTTAATGGCTCAAAACTCCAACTCGTCGCAATATCATTCCACGGAGAAAACATTGAATAGAATTGTGAAAATTTCGAAAAGTCAATTTCTACTTTTCATAATTTTTCAGCTTCTTTTGACTGATTTTTGGGTTAAAATTCAATGAAAATCAATTCATTACTTGGAACTTTTCTCGATTTTTATTGAATTTCCTAGTTGAATGAGCTTTACAAGATTTTATTATTTACTTTGCTTTGAGCTGAGAAGATCGAAGTTACAAATTCATCGAGAATTTTCAGTCTTGGAAAAGTCCAAACAGAAATTCTGGAAATTTTCGTCTCTGTATGTGATTTTAATCTGGAGTTGCCGTAATGAAGTATGTTCACTGAAACTCTTTGGAATACTTTTTTTGAAAAGAAAATTTTCCTTTTCTTGATTTTTGAGTTTCTTTTTACTAATTTTGGAATGAAATTCGTTGAATATTCTTGGAACTTTTCTCGATTTTGACGACATTTACAAACTGGATTAACACTCAAAGATTTGATGAAAGATAATTATTTTTACTGAGGAAATGAAAACTGTAAAAAATTCGAACATTTTTTTCTTTTTTCAAGTCGAAAGTTAAGAAAATATGAATTTCATGAAATCTTTTGACTGTTCATGTGTTGGATAAAAATAGTTTTTTGTGCAATATTGATTTGATAAACTTTTAAACGAATCAATTCTTGCTAATTTTATTCAGTTTTTCATTGATTACGATAATTTTCATTCGTCTGTTGGTAAACATTTTTATTAACTCCTGTTGAATGGAGTGATAATAAGTTGATATAAACTGTGAACATTATGTGGTTCCAATCATTTTTGCCTTTCCATTCGTTGATCAGTTTAATAAAGATAATGTTCATTTGATGGTTTGTTAATAGATAAATGTGATTATTGTAATCCAAATGTTTCCCTTATTCTGGTTTGATAAAATATTGATAACAATTGAACTAAAAGGGTGAATATAAATTACCATTTATAAGCATAAAACTGTTCATGTTAGCCGATTATTTGCTCATCGCTTTCCCAATCAATAAATAATTACTCAAGCCCAAGTGTTTCCCATTAGAGATTAACATCTAAATTTAGTTAAATTAAATAAAGTGAAACAAGGAAAAGATTCAATTAAAGAGTAATTATGAACAATTAGAAGGTTAAATAATAAAAGTATTTTTCCAGTTTAAACAAGCAAAACAAGAAAAAAGGCAGAAAAAAATGTTGACAAAAAGACTTGCAAGTTATTGGGATTGATAATACTCACTGGGAGTGAATAATAATATACTTTCATCAGATTGATTAGTAAAGATGATGTAAAAAGTGCAGCTAAAAGGATGAGGAAAAAGTGTCTCAAGAGATGAAAAGATGATGAGAAAGGGAAGAAAAAAGATGAATCCAAAGGAAGAGGAAGAAAAAAAGTAAACGCATAATAATGAAATTGATCAGTTGATTTCGATGTTTTCAGTGAAAGTTTCAAAGAAACTGATAACCAGGAGAATGATGAAGCATTTGAGTTTCTCTTTGTTTTTCGCATTCTTATTGCTCCAATGGATTCTCAGTTTGTTACCTGAACAGAAAGAGATAAAAACCATAATATTATTGGTCTACTTAGCAGAATACACAGAAAAATGATGACAATTTTTATCCATGACCGGATGCTTATTTCCTATTCCTTCATCTTCATCAAGTCAAACTCAACTCTTTACATGACACAATTCATCATCTCTTCTCTCATCTTTTCCTTTTCTTCTTTTCTGGCTCAAATCAAAACTCACACTCGTTCAAATTGGTTTTGACATCAAGTCCATCGGATCATGAATTATCGTGCCAAGAATTTAATTCATCAGTGCAAACTGATTGGTATAATAATGAGCAAAAGTAAATAGAAAAATTGTGTTTCGATTTTGCTTCTCGCTTTGCTTTTCTTGTTAAGAGTTTTCTTTGTTTTTTTGTTCAGGTTAAATATTCATGGATTCATTGAGACTCAATATTTTATTTGTTGAAAAAGCAAAGGACAAGGAAAATGTTTTTATATCGTTTGGTTGGTTATCACAGGGAGAGAAGAGTCTATCTTGAAAAGTTATATCTTATTATTCTGGAGAAGGAAGAAGATGAAAAAATGTTTACTCTCTTCTTATTTGATTTTTTTGTCTCTTCTTCTTCTTCTGTTCAGATTTGGGTGTTTAAAGTGGACATAATACAATATAAATACTCGATGGAAACTCAAGTTGTCGCCCAATCATTAGCATTATCATCATAACATGATATTAAACAGGAAAATTGTGATTTCTTTTCTTTTCACTTTTTGGATAATAAAACGTTCAAGATTGGTAAAACTCATTGAGTTAAGGAAACAGAATCATTAAACAGATTGACAAACATTTAACATAATATAAGCCATTAGGATAATATTTTCACTCCCAGTTTTGTGTCTTTCCAACCAATTGGTCAAACAATGAAAGCCAATTGATTAACAATTTCAAACGATATTCATTGCGATCAAATTGACCAAATGATTCATTATCATGAAACATTGTTTTCCTCTTTTCAAATTTCCAATTGTAATGCCAATTGTTGACCAGAAAAGTAGATTAAAAGTCGAATATAAACTTTTCCAAATAAACTTTTTTCTCTCTTTTCATTACTTACCTTGAATCATGAGATTTCACGATGGAACTTATTGCTTGAAAATTTAAGAGACAATGTTTAATCGAAATGATAACTCAATAATATTTATTATTTTCCAATCAATCTACAAGGTTTAATGTTTTTCAGTTTATTGTAACAAAACGAAAGATTTAAAAACAATTGAATCCAAGTTCATCTGCAATTCACTAGGAAATCAGGGGTTAAATGAGAGATGATTAGTTGATTTGGTGAAGGCAAAGCTTACCTTTAATTATGATGAGATGATTAGCAAAACAATTGACACTTTGTTCACAATAATACAAACAATATTAGTTTTTTTGTCCTTTTATATGTCACTTTAACATCCAATTTGAAAGGCATTTTTCGTCTTCTTGTAACACCATTGTTTAAAGAGAAAAATTGATGACTTTTTCATGATATATTTGAGCACTAATCAAGTTAATTGTTGCTTTTCTCTTCAACACTTTTCTCTATCGATTCATCCAAATGTTTAGGAACCCAAATTAGCAAGATAAATGTTAGTTGTTGAAAGATGTGTTTCGACTTTTGCCGTCTTCGTTTAGTTCAACAGTCAACAGGTAAACAGCAACACTAAAGTAATTGTTATCAACGCAGTAGCTCTTTGGATAACGGTCGATGAAGATTGACTTGAATCTCCGGAGATTTGAGGTACTTGAGTTCGAGAGGTGGGAAAAGGAAAGAATGAAAGATTAATAATCAAAGGATAATTTAGCAACTTACACATTTCGGTAACAACCATAGTCTCTTCATCTTCGGCTGTACTGAAGTCGGGTTCTTTAGTAACTTCACAGCGAAATTTTCCACCAGTTTCTTGGGTAACATTTTCTAACACAATTGTCCCTAAAGATGATTTATTTTGCTGCAGAAATTAGAGAGAAACAGAAAAAAAGTCGATGAGTAAAGTGTTTTAAAAGCCTTGGAAATTGTCGAAGATGCAACGTTTTATCTTTTGTAGAAACGCTTTATAAGAGTTTTGAATGATATTTTGTATTGTTTGCGGTTTTTAACTTGAAACTAGTTTACAGAATTGATGTTAATTTGCAATAAACTGCATTCTATGAACATAAGTAGTGAAATCGCATCAGTTTAGCTGCAAAAGTGGAAGCTTTTCGTGTGAAATTCGTTTCCTTGCGAATTAAACGTCAATTTTACTCAACAGCTTCTTACAGATACTTTAAAACCTTACTTAAAGATACTCTCTGCTGATCATAGAGCACTTTGAAATCGTAATTACAGAGCTTCGAAGACTGAAGCAAATCATGCACTCAAACAGCAATTATCCTTGCTTGCGAGCTCTGCTAATCGTATTCAAAGGCCAAAGAAATATGCAAACTCTTCACGTTCATTATCAACCAAACCTTTGGTCATAAGTCATCGGAAATTTCTCACATTCGCTTACTTTCAGCAGAAAATAAGCGTTTTGTCTGTCGTTTCTTGTCGCAGTTGCATCAAGAACACTTTTTCTACTTCAATGCAGCTTATTTGGATAGTTTCAGAAAGCATTTGGGTTTAGTCTTGCATTCTCATTGATATTACACCTAAAAGCTAGAATTGCTTGCTTTACTGTCTTCAATGCATAACTAAAGATCATTTCTATCGCTTAAAAACCTATTGCTATTGCAAATATTGCTCTTGATGAAGTTAAATCTAATAGAAATTAAATTAATTGTGATCTGTTCTAATGATGTTTGCATAATTGAAATGGGAATTGTTGATTAAGTAAATAGATGTAATGCGAAATGCGTTTTCTGATCCATCACTGTTTGTCAGGTTCATTGAAAAGTTGATGGTTATGTTGAGTTGAAATGCGAAGCGAACTGAGAGTATCTTTGTATAACTGATAAATGTTGAGATGAAAAGCATGATTATTGTTATTATTATTCTGATGATGATGATAAATAATGAAAAGTAGACAAGTCTGATGATAATTCATCTTGAGCGAGCAACAACAAGTACAGTGTTTAGCTGTTTTGTTCAAGGTTCAATTGTTGAAGTTAATGTTGAGGAACAAGAAAAAAGATGAAAAAACATGAGAACCAAGTAAAATAATGGTTATCATTTAAAAAGGCTTTACCTTCACTCCAAGTTGCTTCATCATGACCATCATCATAACCATCCACACTATCAACATCATCTTCATCATCATCTCACTTCCTGGCCTCTTTCCTTCGGTCACTCAACAATCATTAAACTGAAAACTAAATTCACCTTCATTACTTGACCAATAAGCCGAAGCAACACGAAACACTCTCTAACCTCAATGAATAATAATCATGAATAAAATATTCTTACTTCTAAGTGGTCAGTTGATTTTGTCCCTAAAAGAGTTACTGGAAACATCAAAATAATGTCTCTCTGGTAAAGAGACAGACAAGTGAAGAGAAGAACAAAAAAGGGAACCAAAATTTTGGACAAAACAAAACTGACATTTCGCTCTCTTCTCAATGAATACGATGAAAGTTATTTACAGAATGGATGACAATTGTGATGTTTACTGATGATAACAATAAATATGAATTAACATGGAAGACAATCATTCATTTAGAGTGACATTTTCTTATCTAATTCATTGAAGGTAAAATTGTATATTGATTGGGAATGAATCAAGTTTCAATCAGCAAATTGATTTCAAATTAAAAGCTCAATTTAATTTGAAAAACTTCTTCAGAGAATCCAATAGCAATGAAAGATTCGCCTGAAAATCATGTTCTATCAAGTTTTGATGGTTTACATGAAATGCAAAGGAAAATGTTAGCTCAACCTCAAGTTTGGATTTGTTTCAATTCTTGATCAAAGTCAATGCTATTTCAATGAAAAGATTATCACAGTTAATAACATTAATAATGTAAATGCTGGGAATGTTTACTTTGGACTTTTTATTGTTTGTATAATTGTTGATTGCTATTAAGTGCAGGTGATTTCATCAATTGTAATCCTGAAGACAATGCTGAAGAACTGAAAAAAGTAAATAATCTTTCGACTTTGCTTTTTTGTTCATTTCTTAACAGGTAACATGAGCTAATGTGAGGCAAACAGGGATGAAACAAGGGAAGAAGGAAGAGAGAAATAGACAGATGAAGATGAATCTAAAAAAATGGTAAACTTGGATGATGATGAAGCTGTAAATGGAGTTGAAACTGGAAGGAGGAGTTGGTAAGGAAATTGTTACAAAAGTTTGGTTAGTGTTGAAGGAAACATGATGATAATGATGAGAATGATCGTTTGGAAGATTGTTGGGTTACATTATCAAGTCAATTGTGAGGGAAGATCTGGGATGATCGGATGAGAGATGAGAGACAAATAGACTGTGAAAAGTGTTGTGTTTTTAAAAATGGATGAATGTTTTATCCTTTTCTCTCTTCTTTCTGTAGTTATCATAAATGGTGGTTGATCATTTGAAAGAGTATTATTACTCTTGTTGTTGGGAACAATCATCATGATAATGATCATGTTAGTGAACAGATAAGAGCTCAATATGTGAACAACAAGCAATGAAATAGAGACAAAGATATTGTTGTTACACATAAATAAACTTATTTCAATATGTTTCTCGACTTTACTCCCTTCCAAGTTTCTCTGATTTTTTCTTGTTCCTTCTTCTTTCAACTTATTCAAAAGTAAATGTTCAATGCTGGACAAACTTCAATGAATTTTTATTCAACATCTCAATGGGAAAATGAAATATTCATTGAAATTGATAAAATCGCAGGCAATAAAAGCTCATTTAAATCGCTTCTTTTGAAGTTTGCAATTGCAATGGTTTTTAGTTAATCAATTCATCAAACAAGTTAAATGTTTAAAACTGTTTTGCTGACAAATTAAGTCACTAATAGCTAGAACAAAATGATCGCAGAATTCAATTTCGTGTTGAGCTAAAACACGAAACTAGCAATAATGAATAAACTATTATTAAACTAATATTTTAGCATTCAACTTGAGTTTCACTAAACTTGAGAACGCGTTTTAAGCATTTTATTTTAAGCTTTCATAGCAAACACTTTATGTTTGAAATAGCGAAGAAGTTCGCTAAGTTGACGAAAAAAGATGCAAATCAATCTCTTACATTATGATAACCGCTTTAGTTTGACCAATTAAGACCTATTGAGTTTTGAGGGCAATTCTGCTGCATATTGCATTCAATATTAAACTTAATTACTGCAAGAATTGTATGTTTTCTGATTTATTTAGTCAAACTTGTTATGAATCAAATGGAATTGATTGCAATGGCTATTCGAAATCATTTGCTAAATGAATGCACATTATATTCGTAATGAAAGCGTTTAAAACGCAAACTCTTCATTAAAAGAAAGTTTATATCGAAATGGTGCAAAACTCATGATTCGATGTTCGCACTGTTCGGTTTGTGAGTGGAAACTATTTACGATTCATCTTTTTATAACTTAACAAGACACTAGTTTGATGGGTTTGTGACAAATGCTGAATGTGTTTTACTTACATTAATATTGATTCCAACTGCAGGAAATATTTTGGTCTTTGCGGGTTTTATTTGAACTCGATATATTTCCGAATCGTTTCGATACCATTTAATGATTGCCAATTTACCTTCATTTGCTCTAATTGAACATTTAAGTTCATACGATTTACCAACAACGGCTAATTTAGGTACAACAAATTGGGTTATTTCAAGTGACCAAACCTCTGCAATGGAAAATGAATGCAAATGTAAAATGTGAATCAATTTTACTTTAAAATGTCTTTCATTATTCTTCCCTTGGACTTGATTGAAATGTTACTTTTGACAGAAAACAGGTAAATCGAGAAGAACAATTTGATTAATGGTAAAGGTGTGCAATAATGTTAATACAACATACGAAATATGCTAATAGAAGTGAATAAAGTGAACAATGCAAATAGAGATGTTGATTTTTTTCTCGGCTTCTACTGTTTCTGCTTTAACTTTTGTTCATGTTTCCAATAATATTGACATTTAATTGTTACCTTGGGAGTGAAGTAGGAAAATGTAAGATAATAAATGATAATTATCGTGATCATAATGATTAAAGGTAACAGTTAACATGGTGTTCCATCACGAACCAAGTCAACCATTAATATAAGTAAAGCTTGCTGGCCTCATCTAATCATATCAACTGGTCTAAACATTTTGCTATATTATTCAATGTTCAACTTTTTGTTGTGTTTTTATGATCATTTTCATGGTGATAATTGTGAAGATGAAGGTAAAGAATCAACAGAAAATTGGGAAAATCTCTTGTCAGCCATTGTTGAGAGTCTGGAATGAGAATTGAATAAAAGGAAGAGAAATACTTGGGAATCTTGATTAACAGTCTAGTGATTGTTTAGTAATTAGATTAGATTGTTTACTTCGACAATCAACTGGTCAATGGTTGATCAGTTTATGGTCAATTGGTGTTAAACTCTTGAGGTTTAGTTATTCAATTTGCAAAGAAACAGTCAAAAGTGTCGCTAAGTTTGCAAATGAAGTTTATTTTGATCAAGTGTTTAGTTTAAGTTTAGTTTCATTATGTTTTCTCAACTTTTTTGCAACAATTAAGTTGCAATTGTTGATCAATAAAAGTCAATTTTTGCCGTCTATTCATTGTTGTTTCATTGCAAATGATTGATTTGCATGATTAACATTGTGCATAATGATTACAGATATTGAGTTTAAGGCAAAAGAAAAGGTCATTTCCTGATGACGGAAGTTACCATTGATGGATAAGCATTGTTGGCTTATTAAAGGTGAACAAAATGCTAATGAAAAGGTAAATAAGTTTGATTGTCATTCTCGAAATGATAGAAATGAATGGAATAAGTTTATTTCAATAAGATTATTGAGTCAAGTAAAAGTGCTTATAATTCAGCTTTATTCATTTTGCATCAACTTTTGCATTTGAAGTAACTTTAAACATAGAAATCAAAGTCAATTGAACCATTTTAATACAATTTTGTTGTGATAATTACAATAAACTTGCTTTAAGAGATGAATTTGAGGCTTAATTTAGCTTAATATTGGGTTTAAAAGTTTAAAATCAAGTTATACATAAACAAAACTTGGGTTTTCAATTTACGCTGCTCCATTATAGCAAGTCAATTAAGTTACGTTTCGTCGTTCTTTGCGTTTCTCTTGAAGTTACTTTAAAAACGCGTGAATATTATGCATTTTCATCGTATTTGCAATGTCTTTGATCGTGATAAGTTTCATCGTATAACTTGAACAAGAATATCAGATTGCTACGTAATGTGGTCTGTATATCGCAATAACGTTTTATGGAACAAGTCTAATGCAAAGTTGAGTCAGTTTTCGTTTCTCGTTTTATTTCTTTTTGCATTTTGTTTAGTACGTTTATTTCATTGATCAATTTTGACATTTGATTGCTTTAAAAGCACTAAATGCTTACATGGGCTAGAGTCATTTATGCAAAACTAAGCGAAGCTAAAGACGGTTAAACTAAGACCAAAACAGCAAATGTAAATCAGCAAGCAAAAGCCGATCAAGCGAAATGAGATATTCAGAAAGACTCGTTTGTCACACAGCTTGAGATACTCAATGTTGAAAAATATTGATCACTGTCTTCAATAAACTTTGTAACAACAATGAAAGCATACTCAAACTGGGTACCGAGCCTAATGAACGATACAACTATACTACGAGCTACAAGCTCGAGCTCAATGGGTACCAATTTCAATTGTAACCAGTTGATTTAACCACTGGCACCTTTGTCTTTTGCTCGACTCTGGACTGTTCAGACTCTTGTTTTGACTAAATCCCAAGACTTGCAATGATAGAATTGTAAAAATGTGAAAAGTGAAAAATTGTCAAAACATTTCTGGTAACAATTTAAAGATTTGTTTGTAAAGTTGACAAAACTTGAAGTTAATGTCGTTCTTGTTTATTTTGCTGGTGTTTTCACCATCTAACCATCAAGTTCAATGGAAAGCAATTACCAAATGATACTCTTAAAGCTTGAAGGTGAATAAAAAGGCTACTTTCTGTGAACTCAGAGTGAAGCAGGTGGACATTGTATGTTGACAAATGGCGAGTTGCAATTTAAAGGGTCAACATTTCGAAATGAAAGTGATTCCTGATCAATTTGATGAGAGCGAATGCTATCCAATGCCCAAAAGGATAACCCAAAATGATATTGATGTGATTCTGTAATGTAAACCATTCAGTTTCATCTAATTGACTAAATTTTGTATCAATAATTATGTTTACCATTTTGGATCAGTTTTACTCTCATACTTGTTCCATCAGTATTTATAGCCTGATGCGTATGCTTTATATGTACATGATAAAGAGATGTAAGGATAACTCCTAAGGTAATATTAGATAACTCATGTAAACATGGTAATGATCAAGAGTAGAAAGAAGAAGAAAAGAGAGGAAAAAAAGATTTCACGATAATCTGATCAATTTTTATTCTCTTATCAACTTATCGAGTTAAATTATTATAATATTTACTCGGCAAATCGTAATATCAAGTAAACACATTTCCACCTTAACTGAATGCTTCTTCAGTTCTGTTCTTTTTCCAGAAATGACATGATAATTGGGTTCAATTAAATGGTGAAAATGAATCAATTGATTTCTACTTTCAACTAGTTGTGCTTGTTATCCTGAAAATCAAGATTAAGAAGAAGATATTCTTAATTAAAATGAAAGAGAAATGATCATTATCTTCTCATTCAAATGTCTCTGTCAATCAGATTAATCTTCATGAGAAGAATGCTCAAGAGAATAATTTCCATTGATTGAACATCCAATTGGTAAATTCAATTAAATGAGCCAATTCATTTTCCGTTTAAAACTCGAGTGACAAAAATGTCGAATCTTTGTTATCATAAAATGGTAAACATCAAGATATAACACAAATATCAAAGGCTGGGAGTGTTAACTCCCAGTAAACTTTTCTTGTTCCCTGTTCAACTTTTACTGAAAAGAAAGTTTATCAAATAGTTTCTCTTCACCATTTGTAACCAATTTTGATGTTGGTTAAATGTTGTTCCAATTGATTGTTAAAAATCAAATGAAAATCTGTCATGAAAAATGTATTTCAATGGTTTACTTTCATCTCAATCCTTCTCATGTATTTACTTGGAATCTGTTGTTGATTGAAATCAATGGAATGATGAGTAAAGTAAACTTTAAAGAAATGATAGAAAGTTGTGAAGATGATGAGAATGAAGAAGCGGCCAAAATAAATGATTGGTTAAAGTTTATTGAAGGAAAAGGGAATCATTTAAACAGACAAAAAAATCGACTCCAAAGTAAACGTGAGTTGAAAAGCTAAATAAGATTCTGGCTTTTCATCACTTTTTTTTCTTCTCCTCTTCAATAACATGAAGATGAAAAATCTTAAACAGATAGATTGATAGATATAAAAGGTGGATATATTTTACGTTTTTACTTCTTTTCTTCTTCTTCTTCTTCTTTCATCTCATTCTGTTAACGAGGATAAAAAGTGTAACAAGACATGAAAGAAGCAAAATGAAACATAAATAAAAGCCGATCATCAAGTTTGCTTCGGTAAAGTGATGATGATAACAAATTGACAAACTTGAAGAGTAACAAGAATATGAAAAATGTCTTACAGCGATTCTGAGGATAACTTTTAAATCATTGAATTATCCTGATATTCACCTTTCAAGGTAACTTCTTGTTCACATAATAGCTATCAATGCATTTAACTAACTTAAACTTGTTAACATGACAACTCAACAATTGACATCAAAGTTGAACAGATTTTTCACTCAATTTTATCGAAAATTTGAAATAATTTTTCTTCGATTCAGTTTAGTTTTGAAATTTAAGTTTTATTGAAAAAGATTTTCGAGAAAAAATAGTTTAATTTCGATACAAATTTTTGAGTTATTAGTTGAAAGTTTTTACAGAAACTGGAAATTTATTCATTTTGTTTATCCATGAATCGAGTTGCAGCCAATTCTGGATTGAAAAGTATTTTCACATTTTCTTGTTTACCATTTCTATTCATTGGAAAATATCATGAGAAATTGTGTTTATTTTGACCAATTCTTTGGTTCGTCTCTTCATCATCATCCGAATCTTCTTGTTATACTTTTTCATCAATTCTTTTTAAGACCATCTTACAGAAAATTTCCGCTTCAATTGAAATTTTTTCTTCTTTTTTATCAATTCTCAACTTTTTCTCTTCTCACCTCCAAGCCAAACACTAGCCAAATGTTGGTCAATAAGCTATCAAATCTCATTGAACACTACCTTAGGCAAAGAGACAGAGAGAGAAAAATTGAAATCTATTTATCAATAAGTTCAATTAGAATCATAGTTACAACTGAAGGAAAGAAAAAATGTTTACTTTTGAAATCAAAAACATTCGCACCTTTACTGGGAGTTAAAGTTGTCCAATAAATATCAAGACTGAAATCCCAATGGAAACAAACGAAATTGAGAAAACACAGATTGTCAACAATTATCTTGACATTGAACATGAATAATGCAGCTTTGGATTGGACAACTTTAAATTTCATGAGAAAACTCGATTGGAAAGAAATCTTTTTAATATTCATTGTTATTCAAAGTTTTGGTCAAATTATTCAATGATCAACTTTCTGAAAATCTTAAGTTGATACAATGAATACTGAAAAGGTTATCATTTTGATAGACTTGCAATACAATAACATTCATCTTGGACAATGAATATCTCAATATGGACACTTAAGTATTTTTTTCTTCGAACTTCAAATTTTAAACTTTTTTCGCTCTACTTTCTTCTTCCTTTTCAATGTAAACAGTGATTTACAGGGGAAAACGATCATCAACAAATAAAGGTTGGCGAAAGAAAAGCTTCTCTTCTTTACTCTTACATCCAAAAGGCTGAGTAAGTGATTCCGTTGTATTTGTATATCAAGGGAATGAGGAAAAAAGTGAAACAAGAATGAAAATTGTGCCTCTGTTTAACAACATTGTTCAACCATGTGAATAGAATTGTTTGAAACTTTTTTTTTGCTCTTCAACATTTTGAAACATTTTTGCCGAGGTAACAACATTTTGAAACCACCTAAAAGCATTTCACACAATTTACATGAAAATTGTCTCTTCAAGAGTCAACCAGCTTTGCGATTAACCAAAATTATTCACTTTTTCTGTCACATTTAGAATGCTCTTGATCGCCATCAAAGTTGACATAATATTTAATATAAGCTAATGATAACTCGTTGGAAAATGCTGAGTCTTTTTCGCAATTAGAAAGTTTTTATAAGTTTACATTCTCGGATTCGTTCTGCACATTGAAATGAAACTTGATGAACTTTATAATGTAATAAAAATTTTTTATTGAAGTGATTTCAATTTCGATTTATTTAAATATTAATATATCGATAACTCACATAATATTGACTCGAGAATTGTCTGAACAATCTGGACGACATTCTTTTCTACTGATTCACCTAATATTCTCGAAATATTGATACGCAAAGTTTTAAGGCCAGTAAGTAAAGTCAACAAAACTATCGATGAATTGAAAAAAATGTTCAGTCATTGATTTTTATCAATAATTTTTATCGACGGGTAATGAACTTAAGCTCTCAGTCTCTTGAAGCGGCAGGTTTAACTGAAAATTGAACTTATTTATTTTACAGAAACAAAAAATTTTATTTCTCAAAATAAATGAATTTCTGATTGACCATCAAGAGTTACATCAGAAAAAATCTGCTTCCATGATCATTCCTCCAGTCGACCGGCTCATATTCAGTCCTGAAATTTCTATCTTTGAAGAACTTGAATTAACTTTAGCGACGGAAACAGAAATCTTATCAGGGCCAAACACTGAACCCATTTTTCAGCAGATGTTCAATGTATGCAACAGCAGAAATCGAACTCAAAACAGTTCGACTTTCTAGTTTAGAGTCACACATGGTCATAAACTTGATACTTATATGCAAATTAGCTAAAGTTCAAAAATTTTGCATTCATTTTCTTCGTTTCTGATTCTCGAGTTTTATAAGAATACCCATTTTCGACACGCTCTTAGAAGATGTGGCCTCCATTCACTTCTAGCATAAAAAATTACTTTTCCTCACCTCGATATCAGGATAAAAATGTCCTTCACCTGAGAAATTTATTAAACAATAAAAAAATTCCATAACAGAACAATAGTCAAAAGACTTGACTAAAATGCACTAATGATTTAAATCTTGAATTTGGTTAAAATCTCTTTCTGTTTGATGCGTAAAATTATCATGAAAAATATGAATTAAAACAGAAAAATCGGGAAAGTCGAATTCTGGACGCTTTTCATTTAATCTGAACAACATCTGAAAGAGACTTTTTCACCTCGAATAAAATTTGCAATTGAAAAATGGGAAAAATTTGCTGTGAATTTATCTCAATGTTTCCAACTTGTTTTAAATATGTTAATTTCATTATCCCTTTCAGTTGCTCATGAATCCCATTGAACTTAATTATGAATGGAAAGGAAAACTCGGAAAGGCCAAAAATAGTAATTTAAACAAATTAATCTTTTCTCATCTTTCCTTTAATCATAACTTCCATTGAGCAACAAAAGTTCAAGTTTAATCTAAAAAAGGGACTTTTAAATGATTATTTTTATTATCATCATGAAAGTCAAAAGGAAGTTTCAAAAATATATTTCACTTTTCATGGTAATCATGAAGAAAGATGAAGATAAAAGTTGATGATTGAAATGAAGAAACTCATTTGTGTAGATACAAAAAGCATGCATTTATTAGCATTTCCCTGAAACAAACAGTAAAGCGATTGTAATGATACACAAAAATTGAGTCTCAACCATTTTCGAAGCTCAAGTTGAACATTTAATATCAAGATTATTCCTGTTATTATTCATGAAGAATCTTCTTTTCTTTTTTCACCTTTCGACAAACACTTGAAATGTACTCATCATTACAAGTTAACAAGTTTACAAGTTTTGTTTCTCATCAAAATTGATTGATATTATTACCTTTTACATTTTATCTATTTTCAGTTGTTTCTGATTTATCAGGAAAGTTGCTTCAGAAAGGAATAACAATTTATTATTCATTGTTAATATAACATGATGTTCAATTCCCTGATGGAACAATTTTTGTCTCAATTATCTGTTGAGTTTCATCACAATTTTCAATGTTATATTAGTCGAATCACTCCCAGTGCTGGGAGTCTGTCAAAGTTGCAATTCATTTTAAGCAATTGATTTGCACTTTTTTGTCTTCTTTTTTCATTCTGTAAAGTTTTTGTCATTTTATCCCCATTTTCAGCTTGTTCATCATCAATCCAATGACAGCGATTCTGAGTTGATTAATGAACAGTTGATGACATTATTTGTCTCATTAGTTTAGTCATTCATCTGTTGATCTCGGTTAATCTGAAAGTGGTTGGGATTTTGTTGCTATTTGTTATTTGCACAACTTTACGATAAGTTTGAAAAGTTTTTTCGATTTTTTGTATTTTCTTCAAAATTTATTATTAATTCATTGAAGCTTTTTCATGGTCTTTTACATTGTTTCATTCAGCTTTTTTGATCAAAATGTCAATTTCGATAATCAGAGTCTGAAAAACAAAAAACTTTTGCTTCATGAATAACTATTTTTAGAGTTTACGAGATCGAAAATTCATTGCGAAATTTCCTTTCGTGGGTTTCAGTAAATTTATCATTTTTTCTTATTTTTACTAATTTACAAATTCGATTTTTTTCAGTTCAGAATTCAAGATTTTGCCCAAAGAAATTTGTGAATTTTCCAAAAATTAACTTGAACTTTCTGAGAGCGCAAAAAGCGTTGCTCAGAAAATGGCAAATGTCTGATCGAGATAATTGGATGCAAATTTTGGAGCAGAAATCTTGACCCAAATGTTATCCTGATGATTCCAATTAACATGACAGAATTGCAACATTCTGTAAACATTGGCTGCTCGAAACTTTTCCTGAACTAAATTAACTTGAACTTCACGGAAATAAAGTGTTTCAATGTTTTACCTAAACAGATGACTTTCCCCTCATCATGCAAGAACCACCATGAAAACCTATAAAAACCTATAAGAATATTTCATTCCAAAGGTAAATTCAGAGTTAAGATTATCATTGGAAACTCAGAATAAAAATGAAACAAAAACGAGAAAAGTAAATTTTTTTCATTTTCCCATTAAATATCATTTCTGGTCAACAGATTAACCCTCAAATGAATCTCATTTCATTATTTCAAAGTTACTTCAAAAGTTGAACATGAATAGATTAAAGTTTTTAAAACTAAAGTTTTCCTGTGAAAACATGGGAAGCAAGTTATAAAGCAAATGGAAACTTTTCATTGCTGTATTTACAAAAACATCAAATCATGATAAACTTCATGATGCATGTAATATGAATATGGAAAGAAAAAGATTGAACAAAAACAAAGCAAACATTGAACAAAAACAAAGCAAACATTTGAAAGACCAGAAAAGGGAATGAAAAATGTTGAACATTTAAAGTTGAACTGATTAAGATTACTTACCTTTAGCAACATTGAGTATGATATAAAAACAGATGAAATATGATGAATTGAGTAAATCCATTTTGAGATTCGTCTTTTGATATTTATTGTTAATTGTTTCAATTGTATTCCAATTGTTTAATCCAATTTGGTAAACATTTCAATTCTTTCAACTTTTACTAGACACTTACATAGAGATACAATGTTGACTAACAGAGTGACCAAACTTTTTCTTATCCAAACTTGTTCCGATCTTGAATCTTCCCTGTCATCACTTACTCACTCATCATCTTTCAAATGCTCCAGAGCATGAATAACCTTTCAACTCTCTTATCCTATATCATGAAAAATAATATCCTGCCCATGATGATAACCTTCTCAGACTCAGTTGATTCAGAATTTTACTTTTTTCCCTTTCCTCAGCCTTCTATAATTTATCAATTTTGCCTTTTCAAGTTGCAACAATAATTTGTTTATTAAGGATTTTGTTTTGTCTTTTTTTTACAATTTGTATTGATTGTTGATTCTGTAAACAGTAAACATGTTAATATTCATTTATATATATTATGATTAAAATTATTTTCATTAGTGTTGATAATAAGGTAACAAAAAGGTTAACTGTTATCTAAATGGTAGTTGGTTAAATTTGTGTTTACGGTTTACTCATTGCGGTTGACAAGAAACGGTTTTGTTGGGTTGCTGGCTATTGAGTTGTGATTTGAATCATTGATATTTGTTCAGACCGTTGGACTTGTTTTAAACGGTTCATTGTTGATCAATTTTCTGGTTCTTTTTTTCTGACTTTGGTGTCACTTCAATTGGATCAGGGTCAAGTTCATGGTCAAGACAGTCAATAATTAACTATGGGTCACAGGTCAATTCACTTTATCCGGGTTGGCTTTTTAATTGGGTGATGATTAGGTGAGAGAGAGAAACAAGTTTTGACCTGATTTCCTTTTTTTGCTTTGCTTTATTTTCAGTGTCTCTCGGTGAAACAATTGATGTCAACTTGTTTGGATCAAATGTCTTCTGAGGCCAACGATAGACGCCAAAGTAGTTTAGGTGGGCGACCCTTACTTGGTCCAGAGACAACTTGCCAAACCAATCGAGCCAAACGATTGTTGTAACTTGCATCAGCTGTTATCTCAACGGTACAGTTACCTTTAACAAGTTCCAATTGTAAAGGTATACTGTCTTCAAGGATTGTATTGTAACCACAATAAGAGATCCTGTTTTGATATTTTTGGTGGTTGGTGGAGGATGAAGATGAGGATGAGGATGGAAAAAAAGAAGAAAAAAGATCAACAGATAAATCAAATCTAATTTTTTGCGTGTTTTTAACTTCTTTTCCATGCTACTTTCAACTTTCATTCATTCTGGTTTTAATTGTCAGACAAACTGTTATTTTGCCTTTTCACTTCAATTGTAATATTAATGGTTAAGATGATTTGCTGATATCATTTGGACGATTTCTTTTGGTTATCAATCGACTCTGAGATAACTCAGTGAATAGAAATTAACCCGACAAAAGTTCTCAGATATTCATTTTCTAAACTTCAAGGATAAGATCATCAGATAAAATGCATTTCATAATTTTCAGAGTAAGAAAACCATCTCTTGCCACTTAAATGGATAAATCATGAAGCACTTGTCAGAGAGGTTCAAATTTTCTTGCTCCGAAAATCATGAAATGCATTTAATTCGACCTCTAATCGCATCATAAGCGATGTCCGAAGAATGGTCTTTACCTCGAGAATAGCAAAGGATATCTGAGAAATTTCCTTAAACAAAAACTTCAGTATGCTAAGTCGTCTCAGAGTTGACTAATGGCCAAAAGAAATCGTAAAGATTAGTTGAAATGCCCTGCATAAATTAGATAGAAACAAAAATATTAACAGGACAATGAATAAAATCAGATGATTACTTAATAATAATTGTTAAGATGCCTTTCAAATGAATATTTTGAACAGCTTTAAGAAACTTTCCGTTGAAAAGTTCAAGTTTGAAGTGAAAAATGAAACAATCAAACAAACCGTCTAAATTGTTTGTTTAAACATCATTTCGAAGCATATTATTCTAATTTGCTAAATCAGTTTATCCTTTAGTAATAAATCAACATTTAATTTTAATGATTATTTATGACGGTTTGTTTTGGAATGTTTAAATTTGAACAACGGAATGAGACAATTGACTTGACAATTGCATGTAACAATTTAATGTAACTTATTATGTATTTAACAAATTGAATGGGATGCATTTAAATATCTAAATGGATTAAACTTGCTAAATTTGATGTTATTATTGCAATGGCAAATTGATTTAAACTTTTCGCTGCATTTCTTAATTTAATTAATCAACATAACTCAACCTTTTTCACACTTGCTTCATCAATCTAACTATTAATATATCAACAGCTTATGTCTAATAACTTAATTTAAATGATGTTAACAGGGAAAAAAGATTTTTCATCCTTTCATCTTTCATCTCTTTTCACTGTTTTACTCACATTTCGCCATCAGAATTTGTTAATACAATTTTATCAATTCCCCAGAAATCTTTTCCAGAGTAAATCCATCCTCGATATTTTGTGTATTTAACAATTGCTGAGGTAATATTACGAACTAAAGGGTGAGCCACGACTAAGCCTTGGATTAAGGATTCATCTTTTATCTCATCTGATTCACTGGTCAATTGGAATGTTTCATTGCGATCTTTGGTTAAAAAAATCACCTCCAATTTTCCCCAAGTAGATGACTGTCCACTGCTGCTATCGATTTGAATCTTGTATTGATTTGCTGAAACAATGAAACGAAATAAGGAAAATTAGTAAATGCATTCACAAATAAGCGTAGCATAAGGTGCAGACTAAAATGGAGGGAAAATTTTAGGTAAGCAAGTTGAATTATTCAATAAGAACGATGACCATCTTTAAATCTTAATCTTGGATTTAATGGAAGAGTCAGATAAAGTAGTCCACTTACAATGCAATTGTCAGTTAAATATTGGTCAGTAAACAAACTAATGACATATTTTTAAAGTACAACTAGGCTGGACATACATTTAGGTTCGAGCTAGTTTTGGGTTTAGTAAAAGATTCACTTTTGGTAGTTTCAGAAAAACAAACTGGTTTAGGTAAGTTAATGAACAATGAGTAAGCCAATGAGGGGGCCAAAAGAAGGTTAAATTTGAAGGAAAATAAAAATGTTATTTTTAAACAAATTGTTAACAGTTATTTAAAGTATAAATAGACTAAACTGTATATTGGGTTAGTTGTGAAAAAAATATAAACTACTCACCACAGAATGGCTCAGAATCTCTGGTAACCAAATACATTTTACCTCTTCCCGGTGATTGGTTGGCAAAGTAGCCCATATTACCACAGCCAGTTCCATCTTTGCCACAATCAAAGCATTCACCGCGCAAAAATTTAGCATAATTATCACATTGGAAGGCATGAAATTTACATGTGGCCACAACTGAATCAATGAAAAACCTAAAAGCTCGTCTATGATGACAGAGAGACTGCCATCTACCGTAAAAAATATCATTTATGGCTCCTACAAAAACTGAATTACAGCCAACCTGATTGCGTCCACCATTGGGATAAAAGTCAACATGTCCCATGGGTTCAAAAGAGCCAAGTCCACCGCGTAAAAAGCTGTCTCCATTGGAATGAATAATGTCCACAAATTGGGCATCCTCACTGTCCAGTCGTACTTTGGCTGTGTAACCCTCAAATAACGGTGAAGCCGGATCTAGACCAGTGATTCGTGATAGATTTTTAACCTCTGTGCCAGTAAAACCAGCAATATGGGCGCCAAGTGAGAAACCAATGAGATGAAAGTCAGATGATTTTAAACCTTTCTCGTACATTAACATTTTAATAAGTAAAGCAATTTGTTTACCAACCAGCTGAGTGTTTGCCGCTGCTTGAACGTAATTAGGTAAGGCAGCTCCATTACCCCAATCAACAACAATCACATTAACATCATCCTAAATTAAAAATAAAACAAAAGCAAGGTAAGTCTCACCAGTTTTTCAACAGATCTTTGCTCTTTGCATGCCACTTTCTTTACCGCTATCCTAACCAAATTTATCCAGCAATAGCAATAACAATTAATGGAATTATTTATTTATTTTTTCTTCTCTTCATGTTATTAGGTGATTGTGACGCCGATATAATTGGTAAACTGTGTTCACTCAAGTCAGTCAACGGATGAGAGTCAATTTTTTGAAGTTGCCATTTTGAAACGAACTGTAACCAGATTTAATATCCAAACTATTAAAAGTATATTCAACTTAAAATAACTGACTAAAATTAGTTAATTATACTTTCATTTGATTGGATTAAATGTAACAATTCACTTAACCGATCAGGTTATTTCACTGGCTAATTTGAACCATTTTATTCATGCAAAAATTGTACTAAAAGTCCGTTTTTGAATTTGCTCTCATAATCTGTACTAATAGTTGAAACGGTGACTCTCTACTGTACTAAATGACTCGTTAATTTGGTTTTTTGAAAAATTACTTGATTAGTTGATGCAAATTTGATTAGCTTTTAAGATTGATAATATTGAGCCAATTTCATTTCTAATTGATGTCGATCGTTATTGATTGTGTGCTCTTCAATGTATCAATAATGATAACTTTATAATTGTCTAAAAAGTCTTTCCCATCTAATCTGAATCAACTTGAACCCAAAAACAAAATTGGAAACCCAAATTTTGAACCAATTAATCACAATTGGTATTGGTTCAAGTTAACTATTGCTATCAATATAACCACAAATAGCCATGAAATTGTCCTAAAAATAATCAATTGTCAATTAATGAGCATAATTTAGGGATGAAAACAGATCATTGAAAGGCAAAGTCAATTGAGAAATTATAATGTAAAGTCAAGATAATATCAAAAACACAAATCAATTTAACAATCGAAACCCAATATTCAATTTTAATATACTTATAGCCACTTGTTAAGATGATCAAGATATGATGATGATGATGATGATGATGATAAGAAAAAAAACCTTTTTTTTCAATCATTGACCCAAATAAGTTGACCATATTTAGATGAACAGTGAGTTGAAAAAAGTTAATGTTAACATCATCTTCCACGGTCATCTTCATCTTCCTCCTCCTTCAATATAAGCCAATGACCGGATGAGAACTACTTGTTGCATTTTTGTCAATTTGAGGTTTATTTTCATCGTGTATGATGATAATGATGTTGATGAAAAACAAAGCAAATCAAGGTAAGACAATAATTTTTAAATCTATTTATGTGTATGATCGGTTTAATCCTTTTGCCAACCTTCTTTAACATCATCATCGTCACCATCACCGAAAATGATTACAACTCAATCTCATTAACCGAGAGAATCTCATTAATCATTTAACTTGATTAGTGTCACTAAATACAAATATATGAATTACACTTAGTTTCAAAATGGTTTAAAACTCAATCAATTTAATCCCTATTAAGCTTTCACACATCAAGTTAACTCGTTTACTTTAACGTTATTTCTCAATTCTTGTGTGTTTCTGGTTAACTGTTGTTACTGGTTGTTAATTGTTTTGTTTTTTGGATACGCAACTTTTAACATCAGTTTACAATTTACAGGTACCAATCGTCAACAGGAAAAAGACACAATTGTTTCAATTAAAATATTTATAATAAAACCAGTAAGATATATTTTTCACAATGATAAACGGAAGAGTTTTAACAATTCAAAAAATGTGTTCAAGTGATTACAAAGTCAGCTGGCATGGTTGCCATGGTAAAAACAAAAGGCTTTTATCAGAAGATGATTTGTAAGAGTTACTTGAGTGTGATTTTTCCTTTTGATAAAAGTCTAAGGATTTAAAGTTGATCAATTATAATGAAATGTTTTCTACTTGTAATTTACTAATTGTTACTCTTGGCTGCTGTTGTTGTTACGACCGTTAATCCGTTAAATTTAAAAAGGTAACAAAATGTGACTACTTACAACGTATAGTAATGCCTCAGTCATCTGTAAAACCCAAGGATCTCGTCCTGTTGAACCAAAACCATGGATAATTATCTTGACTGGACCTGATTCTTTAAAATCATTTAAACTAGATGTTGTATTGGTCAGATCAATTAAACTTCCCTCAATTGGATTCAATCGAGTGTACAATGTAAAGGTTGTATTAATAACTTCAGGTGCTGCTGGTAAAGTGTCAAGATAATCAAATGGACCTTCATCTCGAAAACATCCAATGTTACGGTAGCAAACCATTTCTTCATCTCTGTAAGGAGTTTTTCAAGGCAGAGGCAACTATCAATCACAATAATTCAAAGCAATAAACCCTGGCTCAAATGTAACTGTAACTGGTAACATGGTAATTGTTGAATTTCAGCTGATAATACATTGGATACATTTAGGATGCTCTATCAACTTGTAGAAGATGGTTAAACCATTAAACGATAAAAAGCTAATTGATTAACCAAGTGGATATAAATTATTAGATAATCTTTGTCTTCTCTTATTTGGCTAACTCTTCATTTGGCTGAAGATTCATGTCGAGAGACTTGATTTATCTCTAATTTACTTTCAATTGTTGACTAGATACAGATGAATATAATGTAAAAAACCTTTGCTGGATCTTTTTACATGATTATTTACTTATCCATTGATGGTATTGTTGACTTTTCTCATATTTCCTCTATTAACCAGCAAATGATAAAGTTAATTTTGACAATTGGTTATTAACTTAAACATTAAATGAAGCAATGAACTATCAGCAAATTACCTTGCTTACCTTGTTTGGTCACAAAAGTACAAAATTAACCAACATTATCAAGATGATGGTAAGGATGGGACGGATCAAAATGGTGTTGACCAACAAAATGAAAATGAAAATTATTTTTACCAAATTTCATTGAGAAAGTGTAAGAAAGGGAAACGTTTAAATACTCGTTTTGCATTTTCTGATTGGTTTCACCGCAAATTGTAAACATTGAACCTTTTTTAGTATTTTTTTCTTGCTTCTTCAAATATATAACATTACTTCAAGCTCATGTTTACTGTAAAGAGATTGGTAAAGAGTTTAAATGAAATAAATTGTCAATCTAATGATAAAAACTTGTCCTGGCATCATCTTAATAAGTTAATTTTGTCAATAAATACAATACTAACCAAAATGAGAAGAAACTGAAAGCAACCAAACAGTTGACTTACCTTCGGACTCGATGTTTGACTAATCTGGAAGATGATGGCGAGGTTGTTGTTGTTGATGTTGATGGTGAAGGTGAAGATGATCTTGAAAAATTGATTGATTTAAGTTTAAATCGTTGCCTTAATTTGGCAACTCTCATGTGATTCCATTTGGCAAGGGAAGAAGCAATGGCGGACCAAATAGCATAATCTCTGGCTGGATTGTTTTCCTCGGCATCCAAATCATTGAAATACCGTTTACTGATAAAAAAGGATGACAATGAATTTGTCAATGATGTAAATGAATTGGATAATGAACTGGTTGAAGATGATGATGATGATAACAAAGATGAAGGTAATTCAACAAAGGAATGGTGAGTTAACGGTGTTGCTGTTAAAGATGATGGTAACAAACGGCTATTGACTAGATGATAAATCTTTGAACTATTGATTAATAAGGGAACACAAGCAATTGTACAATAACTGAGGGCAACAATCAGGACCAAATTAAAGGCCATTTAATCCTTTGGAGATGCAATCTCATAGTCATATTAATCAAAGATGGATTTATGGATAATGGACGATGGACTCTGAAAAATAGTCAAAATGGAAACAAATTTCAATGAGAAATGTTTTTTTTCTTAAAAAAAAGACAACACAAAAAGGACAAAACAAGATTACATTTTAATAAATATACATCAGCCAACTGACTGTTGATATGTGACTTACTGAAGCACCAACACCACCAACAACAAAACGTCTTGCAACGTTAAACTCACAACATGTAAGCACGTTTACTCTCCCCTTATCTTCCTTCGTCTTCTCTTTCTTTCCTTTCTATTTTCCTTTCCAGTTTGTCTTCCCTAATCTCTTTCTTATTTGTCTTTCGCACGTCAAATGTAGTCTTTCAATCTCATCATCATCATCATCTCTCTTTCAGCTTCTCTATTAATTGATGTTACATTAAAAGACATTTTATTCGTCATCATCTTCATCATCAACACTTTTTTTGTTGCTGTTGCTTTTAATCCAACATGTTGATCCTTCTTTATGTAAATTATTGATGTGTATCAATAATAATTTATTTGTTGTATTATGTATTTAAATGTTGATTTCATGTTCTACCAACCAAATTACTCGCATCAATTTCAAATTTTTCAACATACCAAAATGATCAAACAATGCTTGGGACGCTTCATTGTAGGACTCATTGTTACTAGTGATCACGCAATTTTGTGATGATGATAGTGATAATAATAACGATGATGACAATAAAAATAAAACTAATGTCCTGTTGGTTCAAGTATCTCATCATCTTGTTTATCATCATAATCATCTTACCCTTTTATATATCACTTTTCACACCATTTGCACATAAATAAACTTGTTTTACTTTTTTTTTGCTGATTTTTGCGTCTTTTTTGGTACCTTTTGTTGTTTAGCTTTGTTTATAAGAATGAACTGTTAAAGATGAAAAAACACAATCAATATTAATGATAATAAGATTGGTGTTAGCTGCTGAGAAATGATAATCACTCGGTATTGGTATTTTTAAAAATCGAACCGAATCAAGTTTACTGTTACTTGCATTGGGAATAAATTGTTCAGATTATGTTTAACTGTTTAACCAAATGATGTAAAAAGTCAACTGATTAACTCTCATAATCTTTGATCATTATAATACGGATCAATGGAACAGCATTAGACTCAATTCGCTAATTGCTTCAGCGATCATTACAGTTGCAATGTTTACCTCATTTGTATTTTGCTAATTTTAACTGGAATCACTTTTAACGATTAACCAATTTTTTTCACCAATTTTTGCCTTTTAATTTCGCCTTCAATCGGATCAAATTAATTATTAAGTAAATCTATTAAGCTGCTGATTACTTGCCTCGATCCAAGTTGATTTGTATCGATTTTAAAGTTGACTTGATTCGGGTTGATTTGGGTTTCTTTTTGGGTAACCAGATTTGTCAGGTCAAGTGTAATCCAAAAAATTTGTTGAATCAACTTTTACTTTTTATGCCAATCATTTTCATCTTTAACCACTTTGATCCCATTTAAATGATGATTTAAGAAGACAATCAAGAGACAGAGTTGATAGGAAATCGTTAATTTGCAAAACATTGGGATCAATCAATTTCCCATAAACTTATTCCTTTGGTTGGATTTTGGTTTTCAGAAGCTTTTAACCATTCAATTGTCCAACTTTTATCAATTAAATAATTGTTATAATTAATGATCGTCCACCTTGACCTGGTTAGTTTGGGTTAAAAATAGTTGCCATCATTGGTTGATTTAACCACGCAGATTCAATGTAATAAAACATATTCATTTGTTTTCCTTTACCATGCAGTATGATATTGTTCAAAGTGTAATCCAGTTCATCTAATAATTCAAAGTGAGTTTCAACTTTTGTTTGCATTCAAGTTTAAATTATGTTTGCTCTTAGATTTAACGATTGATTTTCAAACAATTAACTTACAATTAATCGTGCAATAGACATCCAAGGAAAGTATTCAAAAATGAAATAGTTTTGACAGTTGAATAATTGTTATCTAAAAGACGTAAAACAACTCCAAGTTAACACCAAGAAGCAAGTTAATTGTCGATCAACTCAACAGTTAAGTGATGATGCGACCAACTAACTTGGTCAACTCTCAATTGAGTCCGTCTTTTGGTCTTAATCAAAGAACAGGTTCGCCAAGCTTGAGTCCAGAGATAAATATGATGTTAATGTCTAATCGCAATGATGACAAAACAACTGACATGGTGAGTTCAATAATCAGTTAACCAACAATTAGAACAGTCTTTTGTTAATTATTTGATTCCATCCATCATTGGTAAATAATAATTTGATTGATTGCGATTATTTCCTTCAATGTTGATCGTTTGCTGAGAAAAACCAAAAACAAAACATTAGTGTTGTTTAAAGTATAAGATTTGTTAAATTGAAATTAATGCAATTTAAAGACAATGAGTCAATGAGTATTTAATTGTTTGGACTAAAGCTAATCTCTATTAATCTGTAATGTTTATCCAATCTGAAATGGTAAATTCAATGGATTGCATATAAAAGTAATGAGTTTAGATTGATTGATTATTATTATTTTTGTTTCTCTTTTTTGCCTGTTTTTTCAGGTAAAAATCGATGAAATCCATAGAGCAGTAACTTTGGGTAATCTTCGTAATGTTCAACAATTAATTGACCGAAAGCGATTGGCATATTGTCGGGATCAAATGGGTGCAACACCTTTACACAAAGCAGTTATTTATGGACAGAAAGAAATTATTGAATATTTTCTCGATAGGTTTCCTTCAACAATCCATACAAGAGATAATGTAAGTAAACATTAAATATTCAATATTGACATTATCATTAATCATATTAATATATCTCTCAATTATAAATAAAGTTTTCAAAAATTGAGGTCGAAATTGAAATGAAGTTGTTCTTTTCGTTTTTGGGTGAAAAGTCAACTTTCTTGGCAAACTTGGCCCTTCAATAAGGCAAGCTTTTCTGGACAGACAAAACTGTAAACACTAAACAATTTAAACTGAATCAAGATCATTAAAAATCTAAATTAGAAGATTATAGATTAATCTAGTTGATTTGAATGATCAGACAACAATGATTTATTGAAAACTAAACCTGAGAATGGACAGAGTTAATATTACCTTTCTCATTTCAAATAATCAATTCAATGATTGTTCAAGGTTGTAAGTTTCATATTTGGTTGTCAGTAATCATGAAAATGAAGCCACCCAAACCTGTGAATAAGAGTAGAAACTAGATTAGAATGGATTGTAATGTGAAATGAGTAAATAATTCAGTAATAATAGTATTCGTCTGTGATAAGATATTGAGAAAAAAAGGGTTCATTTAAATGTTGACAAGGTTGCCTTTTCGATTGTATAATATTGAAAGAGTAATAAATATCTAAATATTCAAACCTTTCTGTTACTCTTTGGTCAGTCTCTTGTCCAGTGTCATGGTAACTTATTTCAATTGACCCAAATTTGTTTTGATTGTTATAGCAATAGAGATCTTCACCAAGGTGGGTGGCAGTTGGGAGATAAAGTGAAAATCTGAAACAGAAACAGAAGAATAGAGTTAATTTATTATAACAGTTTACTTAGTTTCAACATTAACTGATTCTCATTGTTTACCCTTTTAACCAATCAATCTTGATTGTTTACAGCGTGGACGGACTCCATTACATTACGCCGCTGTTTTACCCGAAAGCGCAGACTTGTATCGCATGTTGGCTGAAGCTGGTGCTGATGAGAAAGCCTTGGACATGGTATGTTAATATCTCACTAATTATCAACTGTTAATTTTGATAATCAACTTTATTCATCATCAAATTCATTCAACCAATTATCCTTGTAATATAACTTTTTGAACGTGATTCCAACCTTTTCTCCTTCTTGTCCTGTCTGTCCATTTCACTTAAAAAGAAAGTTGATTTCCGTGTTTAAATCTCCTTCTGGTCCATTTTTGATCCAATTAAGTTTCATAACTTTTCTAATAATAGTAATATTCATGTGTTGGGGTTAATTCAATACAATATAATTATTATTCACATTTAATGATTTATACCATGTTACACGCCTGAATAAATTCAAAACTCCTTGTGTCAATCTATGGACCTTTGTGTCTCCAATCCTTCAAATAAACCCTTTAACCAAGGTCAGATTATTCATTGATATTGATGAAATATTGTTATGTATTTGTGTCATCAGTCTTTGATTATATTGAATTTACCTAATCAATGGTTGCAATCAGTGTTGGACAAATATAGAGCGACCACAATTTCTCTGCCCATTTCAATCTTTTCCCAAGATCAATCGAACATCTGATTGATTGTTAATTTTTCTAGATTTTCATTTTTCTCCTGTTGACATGACGTCTTTCTGATTGACCTTTTTCTTTGCCTCCAAACAGTTTGGTAAAAAGCCAGAAGATTATTTAAATCATCAAGATGGTGTTTCTGTGGTGGTTCTTAGGGAAAGTGCAATTGTCACTCGTCCATTGGGTCAACGTCGAAGCCGTAAATCAGCAAGTCGTATGATTGATCCTCAAAGTTGGTCAAAGATCCATTCATCTAGTAAGAAGAAATAATATTTTAGTGGATTTTGAATTGACGGGAAAAAAGAGAATAGAATCAAGTTTGATTGATTTTAAACTTAAATTAACCTTATTTTTCATCTCTTCTTGTTTGTCTTTTTAAACAATCATTATCATTTTGATTGTGAATAACAGTTTTATTTAACTATCAATGAGCATCGTAAAACCATTTTTAACCATTAACTAATACATAATGGGGAAAATGAATAATTTTAAATCGTCAATTGAAACAGTAATGCATAATGATTGTGATAATTTTTTTTTCAAGTTACAATTGACCTTCTTTCCCAATTTTCCTATTGTTTTCATCTCATTACTATTTTACTGTTGATATCCATTTTTTGTTCTTGATTGATTGTTATTTCTTTGCCTCTTCCATGCTCCATTGTCGAGAACAACAATTCAATTCTGTCGTCAGTTAGCATGGATTTCACCATTTAAATCTATTATTCTTGCTCTATCTTTATCCTACATGACATGGAAATACTCTAATTGTCGCTAAATTTTTAATCAGGATCGTTGATGCACCGAAGTAATATACGAGAGTTGATTAAACAGGGAAACATAACGACACTTGAAGAGATTGTAATCCAAGGCTATGGTGATAGATTAATTGGCGAAACTTCATCAGCTCCACTTGTCCAAGAATTTTTGAAAAATGTTCCACAATTAATTGTAAGTTTCTTTGAATGTCTTTGTCTATACATTAATTGATTGATCGATTGTTTATCAATCTTTTGTCTTTTTATTCATTTTCTTCTTCTTTTTCTTGTTTTCCTTCTTTTCATGATTGATTTGTGTTACTCAGGAACAAATAAATGAACTTCATAAAGCAGCTCAACGGGGTAATCTAAATGATCTGAGAAGCCTTCTGGATAGAAAGGGAATTGTCTTTGCTCGTGATCAAATTGGTTGTACTCCTTTACACAAAGCTGTCTTGTATGGCCAACTAGAGGTTACCTCTTTCCTGTCAAGTGAATATCCAGCAACATTGGATGCTCGTGACCATGTAAGATTATATCAGGAATTACATGATGAATTACAAAGAGTTAAATGAAGATAATGACATTGCCAATAGAGAGGGTAAAGCTAAATCAAAAAATTGAAGTTGAGAAAAAAAAGAGTAAAAATTAATCGATAAATACATTACAGTGAATTAAAATTTACGTCGTAAAACTTGCATCTTGTACCTTCTTTACTCTTTCTTTTGTTATTTCGTTTTATTTTTATTTCTCCTTCTTTTCTTTCTTTCTCATTGAGGCGTATGCATAATGAACTTCGTACTTGTTTCATCGATTTATCATTTTCATCATTTCATTGCTTTTTTGTTTGAATCAATTGTCTTCTTCAAAATGTCTCCCATTCAATTTTGGTTATCTAATGTTGACCCTCTTTGTCCACATTTTCTTGATCATTTAGGATGGTCGAACTGCTCTTCATTATGCAGCAGGATTAGATGATGAACGAGCCATTTACAATATTTTAGTAAAACATGGCGCTTCACCAAATTTACCAGATTATGTGAGTTTCTATGGAGAATTATGAGAATTTTTTGTTATTAGAAATTTATCTTTTGAGTATTGATTTAACCCCTTTCACTGGTTTTATTGTACCAACAGAAAGGTCGATCAGCTGAATATTATGTTCGCTTTCCTGATCAAATAAACATTCAGCAGTTGATGAAACGAAGTCAACGATTAAATGCTAACTACGCAATTAACACGGCTAATCGGATTAAATCAAAGTCTCCTTGCCGAAGTAAGCAACCATTTTCATTTTTCACTTTCCAACGCATTTCTGGTTTTTAAATTTCATCCTTTAATTACTGCAATCAGGTTATCGTTTCCCTTTCAAATTGATTGCTCATTTATCATCCAACAAAAATTGTGATTACTTTTGATTTGGAGCAAATTTACCTGAAATTAGAAGAGAAGACAAAAATCAATAAAATGAAAATAATTGAAATAGTAATTTTAAATTTATAGAGAAATAAAAAGGTGGAAATTTGTGTTCCTATGCAAGTTAAGAACTAGAACGGTAAAGATTGAATTAGCTTAATTGATAAAAGGTACCACAATAGGTATAAAGATTATTTGGGACCAAACTGTTGACCCAAATTTAAAAAAGCTTGGAAGACAAACCAGAGTAACACAGATAAAAACAAAAGAGGTAAGGGAGGGAAGATGAAGGCGAAAAATGAAGAAAAGGCAGAGAATTGATTGATCGAATTGGTTGAGTGTCACGAAAATCGAGTGAACAGCAAAAAAAACTATTTTTGTCTAGAGCACACAATAATGAATACAGTAAAATCCAATTGATTCAATTGATTATCCCATCATATTGATAATTTCATCAAGAACTATTGAACAAAAAATGAAAGTTTTTACGCTTGTAAGCAGTTACCTGTTCCATGCGCATTTAGACTTGACAAATCCAAGTTGTTGAAAGTAATTGCAATTATATAAGAAATAATTACGTTGTACGGTGAATATTTGATTTCCTATTCTGGAGTGAATAGTGAGAAATAAATCTATAATTAAATTAGATCAATGAATTAGTTGCCATGTCTAGCTATTTAAATCAAATGCCATATTAATTGGGATTTGTTTTTTTCACTTTTCACATTTTTTGACGCTGCACTTGTTTGTATACTTGCTCGACTATGCCTATTATCACCAAAGGAAGAGGATTATCACCTGAAGCTCGGAAACCAGATATTCATACAAGTGGGTATAAAAGTGACACTGGACTTAGTGATCATGAAATTGGTGATGCCGATGGTGGATCGAGTAGCGGTTCATTGGGCGATGCTTCACACTCTTTGTTAGCCAAGGCTAATCTCCGATCCAAACCTGGTAGTAGTTTAAACTTTTCATCACCAGCAATATTAAGTAATTCATGTTAATCCATTTTGTTAATCCAAACTCTTTGATTAGTTTGTTTGCTGCCGATCTTATAATCTGCTGGGTCCATCTTTGATTACAATTTTTGCTCGAACAAAAAGTAGAATAGATTCACTGATTGAATTTGTTAAATTGCATGCGTTTCATTAGAAGTCCAGCTTGATCTTTAATGAAATTTTTCCTTTTCCGTTATAAACCATCACTTTAATTAGATTCGTTAGCATAACACAAAGATTTAGCAATTGATTGAAGTTGATAATATGGTGACCGCAAGTTTCGATATGGAAAATTAATCATTAAAATCTGTTAAAAAAACAAAACGTAAACGAATATTTAACATTAGTAATTAGACTTGCTCAGAGAAACATCGTTACCTTGTGTATGTGTACCACTTCGGTTCAATCATGATTAAATTTCATAGATTCCATCTTCCTTCTTCGTCTTCGTCTTCCAATAAAGAGCCTCGTGTTGAGAGTCGATATAAATATGCTCCTGTTGATATTAAATTGAGAAGAAAAAAGAATAGCCGTAGAAAAAATGTTCCTCGAATATTGGTTCAACGGTGGTCTACAATTGACGATTTCACAGAGTCACAAGGTTGTTACCAACGAGGCTTACGAACTGTATGGCCTCCGATTAGGAATAATAAGCCACAATCAGCCACACGCAAGTTCGAGTTACCAGACAATAAAAGATCTACGAAAAGGAAGTCATCGTCGAAGAAATCTTCACCTGTCCGATTGAAATCAGTGAGACGCTTTAGAAAAAGAGGTAAGAATGAACATCGAATTGGATTGAAACCAATGTAAAAGAAGCTTTTGTTTCTTTCTTCTTTACGCTTCAATTTTGTTTTCTTTTTGTCTGAATGAAGTAAGATATAGAATTGGAATTTAAGTCGATTGAAAGATTGAACAGTATTTACCTGACAAGTATTTATGACCTCAATGATGGATTATTTTTCTCGTACAAAAATCAATTTTAATTTTCGAAACTTGCGTCACCAAATTGCTTGCTTCGTGCTTATCCTTTGGGTGCCATTGTAGACCCTAAAATACATTTGCCCTGTATTTCTTGCTTTATCCAATATACCATTCACTTCGTCCCTAGTGCTTTGTCTCGTTTTTGCATTGCGAACTGCGTCTCATTTTTCGAGAAGTTGAACAACATCTCGAGCAACATCGGCTACATCAATTTAGAAATCCTTGTTCGTTGATTAAATTATTTAATTTTAAATTCTAATGCTTTTCTAATTATGTCTCTTGTTTTAACTATAACTTTGCTCAAAAAAACCAAAAATCAAACGTTTTACTCTTAAAGGGGAAGAAGTAACTTCAGCTAATTTGAAGCGTTGGATACAAGAGTTAGATTTAAATTCACTGGAAGGTGCCATTTTGGAAGGACATGGTGATCGCGTAAGATCAAAAGTAGAGATGTACGATGGGGCAAAAGAATTACCTGATATTCAAAATTATATTCATGAAACTTTACCAAAGGTGATGACCAAAATACGTAAGATTCATGCAGCAGTGTCTTGCGGTGACTTGACTGGTTTACAAGATCATTTAGATAAAAATGATTATGCTCTGGCCAAAGATCATTTAGGTATGGCTCCTCTTCATAAAGCAGTAATTTTGGGTCACATTGATGTGGTCCAATTCATACTCGATCGATTCCCTGAAACAGTCAATGCTCGAGATCGTGAAGGTCGGACGCCATTACATTATGCGGCCGCTACAACCCATAAAAATGGTCACAAAATTTATAAAATGCTTCTCCGTTCTGGTGCAGATTCCAGGGCTCGTGATGCTGTAAGTCAATCTAATTTATTTAGCAGAGAGTAAAAAAACACCATCATATTAGTATTCAAATATCATCAAGTAGTCTCAATGACAAATAAACTGCAAAATGTCTAGACTAACTTACTGTTAGATAGGATTTTATAATATAATAACATTGAAATAAAGTAGATAAAAATATCACCTGAAAATAAATTAAACTTACAGTTGAATATAATGGATTAAAAAGGGTCAGATATTCTATTATTCTAATATTTTCAAACTTGACCGTGAATCCTATGCATGTGATTAAGCCTCCTCTTCAGGAAACTGATTTGAATACTAATTAAGGTGAGAAAAATGGACTAAATGAATTAGTCTTAAACAACTCCATTTTGTTTTGATTAGGTTGGTAAAACAGCTGAATATTATAGAGTCCATTTTATGCCATTACCTTCCGAACTTTCTCGATTAGCAGCTCATTATAAGCGTAAAAGTGGAGATGGTCATCAAGCTTCATCACCATTACACAAACGTCGAGGTATCCTTTTGCCAAGCACAAGGGAAAAGATTAGTAATGCGTTACACGAAGGTGATGCTTCTACATTGCTTGAGCTTGTGCTGGATGGTTATGGTGATGCGCTTTTGGGGCGAGCTAGTTGGGGTGAGGAAGCTAGAAAATTTCTTAAAGGTTTACCACATCTTCTTGACAGCATACGGACACTTCATGCTTCCATAGTCAATGGAGAACTGGCAAATGTTCAAAGAATCCTGGACACTGACCCAAATTTGATCAAAGCCAAAGATGAGAACGGGTTGATGGCAATTCATTTAGCTGTTTCTCGGGACCAACAAGAAATAGTTGATTATTTACTGGAAAAATTTCCCTCCTGCCTTCAACTTAAGGATCAAGTAAGTGTGATATCTTACTGTACAGTCCGCATCTTCTAATTATCTTCTTTTTATCTTTTAGTTCGGGAGAACAGGGTTACATATAGCAGCTCAGAATAAACAGCAAGATATTTATAAGAAACTGATTGATGCTGGAGGTGATCCAATGATAATTGACCAAAGAGGCAGAACGGCTGATCATTATTTGAAATTACAGGCAACAGGCGAAGCTTATCTTAATAAATTATTTGCATCGACTCCAGTAAAAGAAGACCCCAGTAAACGGGCCAACGATAAATCAGTCAATGGTGGTGATAAGAATGGTGTTGTTAATGAACATCAAGAAAACGACAAACAAGGCCAACAATCTGAGATCAACATGGAAGAGAAAGCAGAAGAAGATAAACCACAAAATGAGGAAAATGAAACAAATAACATTGAAGAAGACGAAAGCAAAAGCAACACAAACATTACAGAGGAAGCACCAGATGATGGTATTTCCGAAAATAATCAAGTAAATGATGAAAATGAAGCCAGTAATTCGAACAATGAAGTAAAAACTGAATTAGGTAATTAAAACAGAGACTTACCGCAACACCATCACACGAATAAACTGTTACAATAGTCACTAACAATCGCGGCATGCCATTCTAGCCAAGTAAATCCCTAGATTTGAAACTTAACTTTAAATACACAAGAAAAGATAAATTTCATTCAGATAAGGAGAGTGAAAATAGAAGAGTTATCTGGTGAAAAATTGAAGTTTCAATCTTTTTGTTGATTATCTTTTTTACACAAGATGAGCTTATTACGTAAATGACACCATCTGGTGATCAATAAAGATTTGAAGGTTTACCAATCAATTTTATCAATTATTTTAAGAAATATTAGCCAATTTTAAGTTATTTGATCTGATAAAAGAGTTAAAAACTGTAAATCTTTGATTGTGTTACCAATTAGATAAAATGAAAATTCTCTAGGTTTTTTTTAAATACGTCAGAAACTGGTTTAGATAATCTTACAGCAATGCATGTGCAAATCTCAAAATGGCTAAGAAAGCAGAGTATTGCTGAGGGACCCAAAAATTCACCCATCAAATATAGCCATCAATATTCACAAGAAGGATGATCGTAAAAATATCGGTGAATAACAATAAAATAATATGAAGTTATCTATTCCATGCATTTTCCTCTTGGTTAGTCCAGATATTAATTTGCTTTTTTCCATCCTATTATTTCCAAAATTTGTTACACCTAAAGATATGATCATCCTTTTTTTGGTCGCATGCAATTCAGAAAAGGACATTATATAAAGAGATGCTAGAATAGTTCATAAGATAGTCAGAATAATTTAATTTCGTTCAAAAATCTATATTTTCCTAAACGTTTCAAAACTAATCGATTAATTGGTTTAAAAATCGATTCTTTTTTACCGCCGATTGTGGCAACACATATGATCAAAGAGTAAATCTTGTTTTTATGTTGTCTTGTTTTTTTTATTTATGTTTTGCAATATTTCAATATTTCATAAAATTTTCATTTTGTTTATGCCCACAAATTCGTATTCTCATGGCTAAAAATTTTGTCCTCCTTTTACAGAAGAAGATAAATCTGGTGAAGCCGAAATACCAGCTCAAAATGATGAAACTGTGAATGAATCTTTACAACAATCAGCAAGTGGTGATGATAACAATGCTGATTTGGAGGAAACCAAAAGTGAAGTTAGTAAAGTGGACCAAGCTGTCGATGCTAAAACCTTATCTGGATCTGAAGACTCTTTTGATAATGATAACAATCCTGAGGAATCAGATGATCATTTCAATGATCAATCAACCACAGAGAATCAGCAAACTTTGCAAAAAGAAACAGAATCTACAGAAGAAGGTAACACCGAAGCTGAACCTGACAAACCTGATGGTGGTAATAATGTTGAACCATCTGAGGAAACTGATATTGATGAGGAAAAGTTGCAAAATAATCGCCAAGATGCTATCGTTAACGAAAATACATCACCAGATAAAAAGGAGACAAACCAATCAAGTGTTACCAGTAAAAGTTCAAAAATTGCTTTAAAAAAGAAACAAACATCTCTTCCACAAGTTGAAAAAAAAGTTAAAGGTAACAGAAAGGCTTCCCTCCCTTCCGTAGTTAATAATATAAATAGCTCAAAAGATCGTTTAGACAAGAAAAAGGCTGTTAACAATCGCAACACTTCCAATTTTGGTACCAAAGGTACGACCGAACGTGATAAAGAGGACGGAGTCAAACCTAATAGTGAGACCAGCATTAAAGATAACAAAGTTACTGAGGAAGTTGATGCTAATGAATCTGCGAAGAAACTAAGCGACTCAAATGAAGAAGAAGAGCAAAGTAAAGTTACCATTCAAAATGCTTCAAAAATCGCTGAGGCTTTTATTGGAGATCTGCCTGAGGCTGTAAATGTATCAGAAGATACAAATGATCCACCAAATGAGGCTTCAAAATTGCCGTCTTCGATGGAAGAAGTTCAAGGTGATAGTCAAAGCATCAACACAAATGATTCTGCTCCTCCACCGACTGAGAATAATCAAAATACTGAAATAGATAATTCAGGTAAACTTGAAAAAGATAACTTATCGGAAGCCCAATCAAATAGCGAAACAGACGTTGAAAAACAAGCAAAAGAAATTGTCCAAGAATTGGTAGAGACATCAATTCAAGAGGCTGAATCGAAACTTGCTCTTGATGAAGATACAAAGATTACTCAAGAAATAAATTCTTCAAATAGTGAAAATATTAGTGAAGGAAATGGTGAAACTGAAGAGGAAAAAATTGAACCGGAAAATAAAGACGATAAAATCGACTCAAATCAATCGTTAGAGAAACAAGTTAGCGAAGAAAATCCATCTAGTGAAATGGATATTCAAAAGACAAATGAAAATAATGACAACAAAGTACTGCCCACTAATGAAACAAACTCATTAAATAATATTGATATGGAACCTGCTGGAAATAATTCTGAACTAAAAAGTGATCAGCCAACCGATCTCACAGCTGAAACAGTACCTGCCGACAAAAATGCTGAAATGTCAGAGTCAGAAAGCAAAGCTGAGCCAGGAGTTGACAAAACAACATTACAAGTCTCTGATGAAAAGGTAGTGGGTGATGAAACTACTGGAACCAATGAAGAAACTACTACTGAACAATCAAATGCTGTAGCTGAAGAATCAAACCAAGAAAAAGATGAAACTGAAAATGTTATGGAAACTGAACAAAAGGTTGATCTAGTTAGTGAAAATAGCAATGAGGATCAGAAAGAGTCAATTAGCGTGGTTAATGATATAGTTGATGCAAATGGAAATAAACCTGAACAAGCCACTGATGATGATGTAGAGGAAAATGACAAAAAGGAGTCTGGCCATGATCATGATCAACCTAATGGCGAGATTGATTCAAATGAGAGCAAACCTGAGACAGAAATCAATGGTTCGGGTGAACAGAAGGGTCCAGATGTGTTGGACGAAAGTAAATCAAGTGATAATAATACTCTTACAAATGGCAACGGCGATGATCTAAATGAAAGCATAATCGATAACACTGAAGCTAAAGATTTTCTCAAAACAGGATCAGAAACATCCAAACCAAAATCGAGTGAGTCTACATCGAGTCGCTTCTTGAACGAAACATCACCGGTAACAAACAGTGACAGTAATAGTGATATGTTGAATGATTTAATTGAAACATGGCTAAAAGAAGGTGATTTATTACGATTGGAGCATGTTGTCATCGCAGGTCAAGGGGAAAGGTTGATTGATAAAAAATCGCCCAAAGAAACAGTCCAAGAGTTCTTGGATCTTGTTCCTGCTTACATGGCAAAAATAAAAAATGTTCATGACACAGTTGTCAGAGGAAACTTCAACGAAGTCCGATCTATACTGACTCGCAAAAGGTTTGCCTTAAGCCGTGATCATGTTGGTGCAAGTCCGCTTCATCTTGCCGTACTCCATGGACACATGGATGTTCTTGTTTACATTATTACCCAATTTCCCGAAACATTAGATGGACCTGATAACGAAGGAAGAACACCTCTTCATTATGCAGCTGTCATGGCCTCAAAGGATCGACAGTATTATGACATTTTGAAAAAAGCGGGAGCTAATGCTTCTTTAATCGATAAATTGGGCAACACAGCTGATTATTACCTTGATCATCCTGATGAATTGACCATTGGTGACTTATTATCCAATTATAAACATAAAACAGAAAGTGCAACTAAGCGAAAGGAACCAGAATCAGTTGACGTTTGGCAGCGACCTCCAACTGCTGATATCGAATCAAGATTAACGCCATCACCAAGTGATTCTCAATTGGAGGAGGATAAAGGTCCGATACATCATGAAATAGCTGCTGATGTTCATGTTGATGCAAAGATCAAAGAAAGGCCTACTACTGGTAGTACTGTCAATCCTGAAGAAGATGAGGTTAAAAAGGAAGTTGAAACGATTTCAGTTCAATTTAAGGAAACATTGAAAGAGGAAAAAAATAAGCTCCAAGAAAGTATACGTCGAATCATGGGCGCAGTTCCAAGTCAGCCACCAGAAAGTTTGTCATCTGGGGAAGAGTCTGACGAGAAAAAAAGTGAAGATACGGTTAGTGAATATGAATTGTGCCAAGTAAAAGATGAACATGGGCGAACTGTGCTCCATTTAGTTTCTTCAAAACCCCAGAAGAAAGCCATTCTTTATCAAATGTTGGCTTCAGCTGAATATTTGATTCCTGAGAGAGATGAAAAATATCGAACCATTCGCGATGTTGCTGTTGATGCAGGTTTAAAAGATAATGTGCAAGTCATTGATAATTACATTCTGGATGCTTTTGTTCGACGTAATGTAGGTTTTGTACAAAGATTATCCCATGAAGGATATGATCTAACCAATGTGGTCGATGAAGAAGGTCATGATGTTACTTCGGTTCTGAGAAAGAGAAAAATTACATCCATGATAAATCTTTTACAAGACATCACTTATTTTCAAAAATCACGAGAAGAATTGCATACATTCATCAAAAACGATTATATCCAAGGAGTTTTGGGACTCATCGATACAGATTCAACTCTAGTCACTGCTAAAAATCGACGAGGCCGAACAGCTCTTCACATTGCCATACTTTTCGGCAACCTTGATATAATCTCCAATCTTATCGACGCTAACCCAGGAGCCGCTTCAGTTCAAGATAATGTAAGGCTGAATGATAACTTTTTTTCTTAATTTTTGCACTTTTGGCTAATCATAAAACCTTTTTTAATCATTAGCTTGGAAGGACTCCGCTTCATTATGCTATGGCTACTAGCAAAGTAGAACACATTGGCAAAATGCTAATCAAGGCTGGTGCTAATCGACAAATTCGTGATGTTGTGAGTATTTTTTAGCTCTATAAAATATCTTCGAAACTCATTTTTATCCATAATTTCGTTTTTTTCGCAGAAAATGAGAACTCCAAGTTACTATTTCGTTTACAATGATGATATCAGAGCAATCAGATCGGAGGAAAAGGCAACTATTTAAATGAGCATATCAATTGTAAATCACCTGTAACCTTTGTAGACAACTAAAACATAGTGAGAGTGGCCTTTGTATTTAGATAAGTCGCCTTTTTTCCTAGCCAGTTGACAATCCAATTTTTTTGGTTCGAAGACGAGAAACGTTAAGATAAAAACTGTGAACATATCAAAATTAGATTTATAAAAATACAAATTGGATTGCAATTCAATGGAATATGCATTTTTGTTAACAAAATAAATTTTACATGAGAGTGAACCACTAAATTGTGAATCAGTGAGAGTCATAATGAAACTATTCCTTTGTTGATTAAAAATGATTACTGTTAACTGGGTTGTTTATTTTCAAAAAGTCACTTATTTATATAATGCTTCAATTGGCTTTCAACTTTAAATATATGAAATTGAAATGAGAAATCAACTATTCAAATTTAGTTGATTGTCAACAATTTAAATTTGAGAGCTTTGAAGATGGCTTTTAAATTGCTAAAATTTAAACTATTTTTAGTTTTCAAGTGAAGGTGAAATTGAAATTAACTTTGCATAAGGTGAGCCATGAAACTCGTCTTCAATTTATTAATTTGATTGTAATGATGAAGATAAAAAGTGTAAAGATAAATTATTGATGAATTGAATCGAGCAACAAGTTTAGGAATAGATGATTATTTTAGAGAGAAATATAATGATGTTGATCAGGGTTAACCATTTTAAATTGGTTTCAAATATGACCTCAAGGATGACCTTTTTGAAAACCCTAAACTCGATTATAATCTTGATAATGGAAAGTGAAATGATTTTAATTTATTAATAAAGAAGGACAAGCAAACTGATTCGCTTGATTGTTTACAAGTTCAAAAATTTAATCAATGAATCTGAATGAAGATGGATTAAAGTATCTAACATCTTGTTTTAATATTTTGATTTGTTTCATTCAATTCATTTTAAAATTGTTAACATTTTAATTTTACTGTTAAGATTTACATCTTTAATTTGCCAACAGTTTAACAGACAATTGTCTGTTAATTGTAGATGAACGGTAAGAAAGCTTTCGCTTATCATTTCATTTCTGTTTCAAAGTTTATTGACTTCAATGTTATTCCAAATCAATTAATGGTGTATATTTTTATTCCTGTTGAAATATATCTAAAAGTGTAACCTGCTAGTTAACGGATCTATTTGTAATTTTAATTGCTGTTCAGTTAAACAATCAGATAAATTGTGTTATCAAGACTTGGACTACAGATCGTCTCTTTGTTCACTCTGATGTTAACATTTTGGTTTCCTGATGATTGTAAGTGTCTTTTAATGGTAAATGCAAGTTTAGGTTTAATTATTCACAATTAGCAACATCAGTCATCTATTGATGATCTAGTTAACAGTCAGTAACATGGAGTGTTAACAATAATGGTAATCTTCGCAGAATCAACTCTTATTTATCAACTTTGAACATCTCAATAAGAAAAGGAAAATTGTAAATTAAGGTAATTATATTAATTTTTAACAGGTCATTAGGTTGTTTATTAACACTATCCAGCTTAACCTGATCAGTTTGGTTATTATACCATCGATCAACGGTGTAATAAAGCTGCAAGGGTCAGCCCTTTGACCAGACAAGTCTTCACTTAAAACCATCAAATGGACAGACTGAAAATACTGGTGAAAGTTTATTGTATTCAGTCTTATTGGAGTAGCACAAAATGTATCCTTAACCAGTTGTGAACAAAATCCAAAACACTATCATCTTTATTTGCATTTAAATTAAGAAACTTAACATGTTTAATGATTATCACAATATAATTAAATAGCTATTTAGCCTGGTAACCTTGAGGACATACAATTTGATCGATTAACTTTAATCTTTACTGATTTTCTAACTCAAATATGTTGACTCGATCCGCAAAAAGATGGTAAAGATGACTTTAAGAACGAGGAGGTTCAAAAGGAAAGGAAAGGAAAGGAACTAAAGAGGAGGGAGGAGAGGACGAAAAGAAAGTGATACAAGTGATAAGTTTATCCATATATAATACGAAATGTCGTTAAATGTTGGGTCACTTTTTTTGTGCTGACTGTAAAAATTAGAGATAAAAGACACTCATAGTTGAACTCACAGTATGTCTCATAGTTGAACTGTTTAAACGTTAAAGAAACGTCTTTTCTTTGTCTTCTTTTGCATTCCTTTTTCTTTGTCTCTCTGTGTTCTACGTGACTTTTCCTTCTTTTTTCTGTCATTTGTTTTTGTTTTGCAAAAATGGCTACTTTTACCAAATTATCCCTTTCAATGTTTCAATTTTTACTCATCGTTTCTTTTGTAATTAATGTTGTTCAATGTGGACCTAAATGTAACATTAATAAAGCTGATAAATGTGCTGCAGATGTGTTCGTTTTTGGGCATTCAAATATTACGCTACCGGAAAACTCAGAACAAGTTGAACAACATTGCAAGTAAGTAATATTTGTTTCAACAATTTTTTAATCAAGATTCCTTTCTTATGCACTGTTGTGTTGATTGTTGCTTTGAGCTAAAGAAGGCTCAATTCAGACCGACTGGCTGAAAATTTTTACTGGTAACCACTTTTGTTTTTCAGAGCACGCTTTCAAGCTTTAAGATGCGTTCAAAATTATATCCGAGATTGTTTAACTCTATTCCCGAAGCAAGTTGTGTCTTTATTGATTAAAGGAGCTGCTAACAATGCCAAACAACAGTGTAAAATTGATCGTCAAGGTAAATATACAATTTTTTATCAGATAATTTTGCAACCACATGTAACTTGCTATCTATTTTGCAGAGTTTATCGAAAGATCAAAGTGCTATCGTAAAAACCGTGAAGGTTTGGGACAATGTATGAAAAAATTAATAGTAGAATTGGCAGAAGCTGAGAAACAAAAGGATAAAGTTCCATTAACTTGCTGGTAAGTTGGTTTATATTGATTCCGACGATTTTTTGCTGCTAACTTTGAATTTCTTTTCTAAATCGTTATTCATTCATCTTTTTTTAATTTGATAGCATATTACGACAGTACCGAGATTGCAGTATAAAAATATTGGATGCTGATCAGGAACAATGCAAACCTGATGATTCGAGATATTTCTTGAAGATGGTTGAAGGAAACGCTGCTGATGTTTTTGAACTTGTTTGCCGTAACAATAGAAAAATTGAGAAGCCAGTCAACAGCAAAGGAGAAAAGGTTTGCCTTGAAATAAATGAGCGTCAGGCAAAATCATCGAGCAGGCGAACATTGTCTCTATTACCTTCTTATATCAAAATCTTTACCGAATAATCTGGTTCATGTTCCATAACCAATATTCAATATTCTGGTTCATAACCATGTTCATCTACACAAACCATCAACCTGGACTCATAACCAGTTCTGATAAATTTCCGTGTCTCCTGTCTAACAAAACTGTGTCTCCATGTAAATTAAACCAAATTTCACCCACAAGGAAACAAAAGAAAAACGACCTGTATCCAACAGTTTCAATCATTGTTTGTTCTCCTCTTTTATCCTCAAAGTTAAATGTCACCTTTGTAAATAATTTCGCTTTATAAAAAAAATCAAGATCTCAACATTTTTGGTAAAATATTATTTTTTGTCCATGATAAAGATGTCCTTGTCCAGTCAATACTCCAAAAAGAAACGGAAATCAAATTTGTATTCCATATATACATTACATATACATTTATTAAATCAATAAATATGAAATGCATTTCACCTAAAATCAATCGTAGCTAAAATGATATCTCTTAAACAAAACAAATAAATAAATACCTTCAGATACTCACCAGTTTAGGAGTTTTTTACTTTACTTTTTAGATAGAATCAGAATTTAACTTTAAACCAGTGTATATAAGTCGAGATTACATTAGAGATCCAATGCTTGTACTCTCTGGATGTAATCGAATTATAAATTCAAAAAAATAATAAATTGTTGATCAGATCCTTTTAGTTATAAATCGCAAAATTAATAAATTAACTAAACTTACAAAACTTGTGGAAAACTTTACAAGAATTAAGGTTTGCAGCTGCCATCTGCTGTTTCATTACAACAACCCACGAACTTGGAGAGGTAAATTTGAATCAACACTCTCCATAAAAAGTCCATTAATATAAACTTTTTGTTACTCAACCTTACAGTTGAAACTTTTAGCCCACTTAGACGAGAGATTTAAAATTTAACAATTAATTCTGAAGGATTGATTAGTTGCATGACTGATTAGCTGCAAGTTTATTTACTGTTGAACAGATTAAAAATGTTTGTTTTGATTCTCATTTTACTTGATTCATTAGCATTTGGATTTAACGGTTAATTTATCAAAAAGGTTCCTCTTTTAACACACCAAAGATCATTAATATATTATGCAAACTTGACAAAAAATGCATTAACTCTATTGAACAATAGATGGAAACAAAAGGCTATCATCACTCATCAAGATTCATTTACATGAACCTGGTAAAGGTGAAGAGGCTGAAAGATGCGATAAAAAATGGTAAATTTTGTGTAAAATTAATGGAAACACAAAACTGAATAATTGAACAAAGAGAGAGAAAAGATTGAAATTGTTGTTTAATCCAATTTGAATTGTCTTGTCCGCGACCATTAAATTGTCCAAAGGGAGGCAAATTAAGATGATAATAAGTACTATAAAAGGTGTTTAAATGAGGAAGATGTTTGGTTTATCTTTTGTATTTTGTTTCCTTTTATCATAATAATCACAATGTAATTGCTATCATTATTATTGTATTGAAAAGAAACCTTGATAGACCTCCATTGAAGGGCGTAGGTTGTTAGATGAAGATGAGGATGAGCCTGAAGAAGAAATGGTTTTAATGAAGCCCTTAAAAAGATCAACTATGAACCAGAATCCAGAATAATAATGTAAGAAGAAAACAGTTAAGATCTTGTGAAGAGAAAAGGATCCACCTTGAGGCAAGAAGCCAGGCGAGAGGATAAAGGAGGAAGATATGAAGATGAAGCCTGAAAAAATACTAGATGGTGATGATGATCATGTCTTCAAATCTTAAATATAACCTAAATAGGAATCAAATAAGGGCTTATGTAACAACAGCAACCATCAATAGAGCCAACAAAGTAAACTTGGGATAAGCTTCCGGGCAGCTAGAAGCAATGATAAAGATGATGAGAAGTGATGAAAATAGGTTTAAGTTGAGTTGTTCAATGTAACACAAAAAAAGGATTTGGTAATCTTGAGGTACAAGTGAAAGACGCTTTCCATATCCATTGTTTGTCTTTGCAAAGGTTCCATATAAGTACATCAGCTTTTCACCTATCAATAAGGTTTGATGGTTAATCAAGGCGTAAAGATGATGAACCAAATCTATATGAAAAGGCAATGAACACAATATTAATATAAGAGTTGATTAAATTGAGAGTGACAATTGTTGGGTCTATCAATAAGAGTAGGTATTGTGACCAAGACAGATAACTTAAAAATTTTGTGAAAAGGTTTTAGGCTTTTATATCAAAAATAACTGAATTATAATGAATTGTGGGAAAAGCTTCAAATAGTTGATAATCTTCAGTAAATGAGTAAATTTAAAGGAAAGATTTTTATTTGTGTTAAATGAATTTCAGTGATCAGTGTATCGACATAATACAGATTTTGCCATTTGAATTTATCAAAAATACAATGAAAATTTTTGGGTTCAAAATGAAATTTTTGCAATAAATGCCACGAAACTCTCGATGTTATTAAAAATTTTCAAACTAATCACCGTTGTTCGAATGAGAAAATTGTTAATTAGATTCTTTTCATTTACAATTAAGAGGAAGATTGATCAATAGCTAAGAAACATTTTGTTTCATCTTTAGGTTCAGTTGGATATTTTAATGATAGCCTGAGAGAGAATACATTTTGAGGAAAATTTTCTAAGAAATAAGATTTGATTGTTATCCAAATGAGCTTTTAGGTGAATATATTGGACCGTCTAATACTTACAATTGTTAGATCTTTGCTGAAATTGATTATTAAATAAAACTCGTTTGAATATCAGTTGGCTTGAAAGATCGTGATTCATGTTGAACAAAATCATTAAATTGTCGAATCTCGGAAAAGCTTCAAAGTTGTTCTTCGCCACTGACATGGCTAAAATGCTATGTGGTTTAACAATTTTCCATTCTTCTCTGATCATTATTTGTTTTAATTTAGTTGTAAGCTAAGTTTTAATCAAGCCAGTTAATGCCAACTTCCTCTGAAGAAAAGTTTAAAGATAGACTTTGTTAATTATTAATTATTATATTTAATAATGTCAATTCATTAACGAAATAATTGTACAACCGTTCTTCCAAGTAAATCGTGAACCAAAACCAAAACAACCTTACCAAGTGAAAATATCCAGCGTCTCAACATTTGACCCTACCAATGCCATTTTAAATTATGACTAGCCATAATGAACCAGGTTTGAATGAACTGTTGTCTACAGTTCTAACGATCGTTCGTAAGATCCATCTTAATAAATAATTGATTTAACAAAAAATAACCTAATAATTGAAGAACTTGACCAATAAAAATTGAATGAGTTTAATTGAATATGCAATGAAATGAAAAAATGAAACATGACCTAATAGCTCGAGATCAGTCTCTTAATAAGACAAGACTCAAATAAGGGTGGTATATTAGACCGTCATGAGACAGGTAAGTTTACCCTACTGATGACTTGTCGTTGCAAAAGAAACCCTGCTCAGTACGAGGGAAACCACAAGTTCGGACAAAGGGTAAATGTGCCTGCTCGCCCGAGTAATGGCATGACGTTATCGTCTAAGAGATTATGACTGAAGTAAGTCTTAGTCAGAATCCCGTCATTATCGTTTTTTATCCTGTACGCCTGTTTGCAGTCATAACTCATGAACAGTTGATTCTATATACCTCAGACTTGAACCATAAGCTTTGCGTATTGAAGAATAATACTCTCGAAAGCTCAAGGTCACTCAAAGTCACTTCATTATTTGACCTCTAAATGACGAGTTCATTTGTTGAAATGGCAAATTGCTAATTAAAGCTTGTTACATGTTCATAACGCATACCGTTGGAAGGATAACTGAATTTTTGCTCAAAACAAATTGATTGACTGATCTGTATGGACTCAGTATTATTTTTGCCCGAATTAGTTATGAATATTTAACAAGCACTAACCAAGCTGAAAAAGTTACATTTTTAGCAGATGACCTTTGAATGTCAGTTAGAGGTCAAATGAAGTTGTGGCTTTGAGCTTTTGAGAGTATGGTTCTTCAATCCGCGGAAGCTTATGGTACAAGTCTGAGGTCTGTAACATCAAGTGTTCATCATCCAACGGCCCAAATCCGCATTCTTCGTTCTTTATAGACGATAGTAGATAACAGATAGCCATCCGGAAAATTATTAAAAATTAAATTTATACTTACGAAATCTAGAACTAAATCTTGATGAGGTTCGAGTTTTGATTCATTCATAAAAATTTGGTATTAATTTAGTTTGATGATCACTTGGATGGAGCACAAGTTTAGAGATAGATTTATGAATTGAAAACCATAATTAATTTCTGCCCAATTTCCATATGGTGAACAAATCAAGCATTTCGAGTCTTTTCAATAGAGGCCCCTTGTATAACAAATCTCACGGTCCTGCGGATAAGAAAATCCTCGTTAATTTATTTTTTTTAAACATTGATTTTTATAAACTCATGATAACTAATATGAAATAAATTAGCGAACTTCAATGTAACATGTATTATCTATTGTCATGTAATGGAACGTTCCATAATTGATCATTATATTATACAAGAGAGCCAAAAATGGTTAAATTTAATACAAACATCATTATAAATTTATTCATTCGAGTGAAAGTTTGAATCTGATAGCATTGATTAACCGGGCATTTTTTCATTTCAAGTGTTTGCAAGCATAACTTACGAAAGGTTAATGCTACAGACCTCAGACTCGAACTACGAACTTCCGAACTATAAATTGCAATATCACCCGTTATTTGACTTCTAACTGACATTTTCTGAGTGTAAAAATTTTTCCCGGTTAGTAATAGTTTTTAAGATGTTCATAACTCATTCTGGAGCAAGGATAGTGTTTCCAATCCGTTCAGTTAATCAGTTAGATTGTAAAAAATTCGGTCATCTTCCCAACGGAGAGAATTATGAACATGATACTAACATATACCGATCTTAAAAAATTTTAATTCTTAGAAAATGATCTCCAAAGGTCAAATAACGAAATGACCTTGAGTGTTAGAACTTATGATTATTCAATCTGCGGAAATAGTTGGTTCAAGTCTGCGGTCCTCAGCATCAACCGTGTGTTGGTTATGGCTGCAAACAAGCGTAAAATGCAAAAAAACCCAATACTTTTAGTTTCTCGTCCTAAAATCATAATCATGAATTTAATTTTAACAAGCTTGTTATTTTAGTCCAATACGAGATTAGATTGTCTTGAATCAAACATTAGCTTTATGATTGATTTATACGTGCAATTGACAGGATAAATTTGGTGATCTTGGCTACTGTCATTAGACGGTAAATGTGTTAATGGAGACAAATAAAGTTAATTGAGAAAAAATAATTTAACAAGTTATTGACATTGTTATTGAGCTATAAAGGCTATCTGTTTGTGATAATGTTGCTTATTACATTATTATTTGTCACCTTTTTCCTTCCATCATCATCATTACTCTCAGTTTCTGTATTTAAGTGTGCAAAGATGTTGACATGTCAAGA